CATAGCACACACACACATGCACACAAACACACACACACACATGCATCATGATTCGCAATATATTGCCAGGACATGGGTGGCGCTGTGGTCTAAACCACAGAGCCTCTTGGGCTTGCCGATCGGAAGGTTGGCGGTTCGAATCCCTGTGACAGAGTGAGCTCCTGTTGCTCTGTCCCAGCTCCTGCCAACCTAGCAGTTTGAAAGCACGCCAGTGCAAGTAGATAAATAGGTACCGCTCTGGCGGGAAGGTAAACGGAGTTTCCGTGCGCTCTGGTTTCCGTCACGGTGTCCCGTTGTGCCAGAAGCGGTTTAGTCCTGCTGGCCACACGAGCCGGAAAGCTGTCTGTGGACAAATGCCGGCTCCCTCGGCCTAAAAGCGAGATGAGCGCTGCAAACCCCATAGTCGCCTTTGACTTACCTTTAACTTTTTACCTGCCAGGTCAAAAATTATGAAACTGATATCATGATATGGACTTCAAACCGGTTTTAGATGCTATATTGATAGACAGTATTGTCCAGCCCTACCTGGGCTTGTGGTTTAGTTCCCCGAAACAAACTCCTATCAAGACTTGGTTACAGCTTGTGGTTTGTTTGGGACAGCCTTATATCTGGGTGGAGCAGGGAATCAAAAGGTTCTTCTTTCCCTCTGATGTAATTAAATCAATAATTTAGACGTAGCAAAGGCATTATCATAATTTCCTGCCCTTGGGGGAGGCTGCGTATTGCATGAGTTGCTTCTCTGATCTTGCATTCTCACAATGTGGTGGCACACCCAGAATAGCGACTAACACAGATGTGTATAAGGCGAGCCTCTAAAATCTGGGCGAGGGGGTGTTATATGATTGTATGCCTCCGCTGTAAGAGCTTCAGGAAACACTGGTATCGAGATTTTTAGTTTTTAGTTCCATCCTTGTCTGTGTGCATATATAAATGCAAATATAAAACAATGTTTATATTTTCATTGCCCTTGCTATTAGTGTTATGGACAGATTCTGTGGGGCCCCTTCGACTTGGTGTAGTTTAGGGCCTCAGCATATAATAATAATAATAATAATAATAATAATAATAATAATAATACTTTATACACCGCCCATCTGGGCATCTCTCAACAGAATATTAAAAACATGATAAGACATAAATCTGCCCCTGGCTGCATGTTGGGTAGCTGCCAATTGTTTCTCTTATCTCATGCCTGAATCACTCTGATGGTGTGGAAAGCTCTCCATCAAAGCATGGCCTCCTGCTTTGATATCTGAGGCAAGGCAAGGCAGTGACCCACTTGGGATCTCTCTAGCTCAGGGATCAGCAAACTTTTTCAGCAGGGGGCCGGTCCACTGATCCTCAGACCCTGTGGGGGGCCGGAAAATATTTTGGGGAGAAAAATGAACGAATTCCTATGCCCCACAAATAACCCAGAGATGCATTTTAAATAAAAGGGCACATTCTACTCATGTAAAAACATGCTGATTCCCGGCCCGTCCTCAGGCCGGATTTAGAAGGCGATTGGGCCGGATTCGGCCCCCGGGCCTTGGTTTGCCTACCCATGCTCTAGCTTAACCCCAGCATGGCAGCTCCCATGGGAAGAGCCTCACCGTTTTTGGGAGCAACACTCTGCAGCCTGAGGGAGCAAGCTGATGGGAGGTGGTAGAGGAGCACGGCTGCAAATAGCGAGGGAGCCGAACCTCTGCATCCTGCCTCCATCTCGCTCACCCCTTTAAAACAGCAACGAAAACCCTTGCGTTTTTGTTGAGCGTTTTCCAGATAAACCCAACAGTGTAAAATCGGTGTATATAAAACGCACAGAAAGGATCTCCTGAATAGGGGAGCTGTTATACCTTTCTGCTTGTTCAAGAGCCCTCCCACCTCCTCAAAGCTGGGGAAGTGCTATCTAGGCTTTGGGAAGGGAGTACAGTGGTACCTCAGGTTACATACGCTTCAGGTTACAGACTCCGCTAACCCAGAAATAATGCTTCAGGTTAAGAACTTTGCTTCAGGATGAGAACAGAAATCGTGCTCTGGCGGCATGGCAGCAACAGGAGGCCCCATTAGCTAAAGTGGTGCTTCAGGTTAATAACAGTTTCAGGTTAAGAACAGACCTCCGGAACGAATTAAGTACTTAACCCAAGGTACCACTGTACTGTTTGGGGCATCAAATGTTGCTGAAAGCCGCCATTGAGGGCTGCATGGGCTGCATGTAGGATTTTTCTTCCCTAGGTCAAGGGAGGAGAACCTGCAGCTCTCTGGATGTTGTTAGACTCCAACTCCCATCAGCCCAGATGTATGGCCAAAGGTCGGGGCGGAAGGGAGGTGTCGTCCACCAACATCTGGAGGACTACAGACTCCATAGCCCTTCCCTGGAGCCAGCTTACCTTCCTCCCCATCTCTTCACCCACACCTTCCAGACCTTATATTGTGACTGGAGTTGCCGCTGAAAGCACAACCCGCCATTTTGTACCATATAAACCGATAGAGAGCTCTTCTTAGGGTAGGTGTTATGTACTGAGCTGAATCCTAGAACAAAAGGATCCAGAATGCAGCAGTCTGACTGGCCTGCAGGAGCAGCCAATCAGGCTTCTGGAGGAAGTGAATCCGCAACCTGATTGGCCTACGAGAGCAGCACGGAATTAGCCAATCACGCAGGGCCCATTGTGTAATTAATGTATATATAGCTAGACATTTTGGGGAAAGTTTCATTCATTACTACGAGCTGAATAAAGAGCATGAAATTCAATACTCGACTCCGAGTACGGTATATTTCAGCAGGGTTCCCCAAACTTGGGTCTCCAGCTATTGTCGGACTACAACTCCCATTATCCCTAGCTAGCATGACCAGTGGTCAGGGATGATGGGAATTGTAGTCCAACAACAGCTGGCGACCCAAGTTTGGGAATCCCTGGCTTAGGGGATGCCCCCCCGCCCAATCTGTTCACAGCTGGGAAAGCCCCCCCCCCCCAATCTCCAGTCTAGTCCTGGAACATATGTGGTAATGGGATGGGTAGGAGCTGGGAAGTTAGTTGGGGTGGTGAGGGCCAGTGGTTAGAGTTGTGGTTGATAGCCCAGATTTTTGGATTCTCAGGTAAGAGAATAGTCTCTTCTTATTGACAAGGGAGAGTATTCCCAAGCCTGCACATGAGGGGTGGGTTAAAACTGCTCAGACTTCTCGTATTTTTGAGTTACTACGCCAGATGTTATTGCCCTTCTTTCTGACGGCTCTCCTGTCACTCCCCTTAACTCCCTGGCAACAGAAAACTGTTGTCATGGCAGCCAAACCTTGGGCCTTGGCAATGTGCAGTGAGGTATGTGGTAAATTTTGTGCAGAAGGCCCACACCCCTCCTTTGGAAGCGATTCATCCATTTTCTCCCTTAGTGAAAACCAACACATATTTTTTTTCCTGGAGGGAGGGGATTCCAGATGTTTCTTGCCTGAAGCAGTGGAGCTGCTTTGCTTGTGGAGATATCTTTCCCAGCCGCCCTTTTTTTAGGTTAATATCACAACATTATCTGTTTAAATCTTTTTTAAAGGATGGTTTATTTATTACAACCAAGGTTTTTCGAGTGGCTGCCAGGGTTCACACTAACATGTATGTGGTGGTTCAATGCACCATGTAGTTTAATAAGCCATGATTTAGCATTATGTGCAAATCAGGCCTGTGTGGTGGAGTGCAAATTGTAAAATGTGCTTCTTTTGGTATGTTTGCCTGGCACTACCTTCATTTTCCCTGAGTACCAGAGAAAAGCTATCCTTCTCTACTTTGAACCCTTTTCGAGATGAAAGGTTTTCTGGTTCTTTTCTCTGCTGCTTTTATTTTGTGGTTTCGTTGCTGTTCTTGTACTTCCTTCATTGTATTTTATTGTTTTTACCATTGTTGTAAACTGCAGTAAAGCTGGTGGCAAAATAATTAAAGCTGGTGGCAAAATAAATATCCCTTCAACTCAAATTGGGGAAAAAATAATGATTTCTTGTTTATTTACTCAGTGTATATGTTCTGGGTGGCTAATAGTGGAAGTAAAGCATACATTAAAAAGGCAAGACCAAAAAATCTAAATACAGCGTAAAAACAGCAGCAGAGTATCAAACAAAAGTAGAAGCAAAGACAAACTTCAGAAATATCTAAAGATCTATTATTATTATTTTATTATTTATTACATTTATATACCATTTTTATCTCACAAGGATCTCAAGGTGGTGTACATGGTTCTCCCCATTTCATTCTCACAACAACCCTGTGAGGTAGGTTAGCTAAGAGATGGTGACTGGCCCAAGGTCACCCAGTGAGCTTCATGGCTGAGACCTGGTGTCCTAGGTCCTAGTCCAATCCTATAATTTACTAGACAATTTCAAGATTTAAAAGCCTGAGAAAATAAAAAAAGGTGTTCACCTAGTACCAGAAGGTAAAGGTAGAAAGGTAAAGGACCCCTGGACGGTTAGCCCCAGTCAAAGGCGACTATGTGGTGCAACACTCATCTCGCTTTCAGGCCAAGGGAGCTGGCGTTGGTCCACAGACAGCTTTCCGGGTCATTTAGCCAGCATGACTAAACTGCTTCTGGCGCAACAGAACACCCTAATGGAAGCCAGAGACCACAGAAACGCTGTTTACCTTCCCGCCACAGCAGTACCTGTTTATCTACTTGCACTGGTGTGCTTTCAAACTGCTTGGTCGGCAGGAGCTGGAACAGAGCAATGGGAGCTCACCCTGTTGCGCACATTCGAACTGCCAGTTCCAGAATGACTAAAGCGAAGGTGACAGGCAAGGATCCTATAGGGACTGTTATCCATAACTACGGTGCCACCACAGAGAAGACCCATCTTTCTTTCTTTCACACCTCCTCAAATTCTTCATTTATAGCGAGGGAATGTAGGCAACACAAGGCTTCTCCCAGAGCTCGCACCAAACCTTTGCTGTCTGTTTGGCTAGGTTTCAGCCAAATACACAATGACACTCACCTTTGTCATTGTGATGTCAGCCTTTTGCCAGGTAAAACTGCAATACTAGTGGAAGATATTCCAAGTCCCCAGAATGCAGTCCACCACCTAGTGCTGTTTTGTGCCATTTTAACTACCGGCACAATACCTTTCTGCCTTTTATGTGTAAGCCACCTTGAGTCCCTGTTAGGGTTGGGGGTCGAAGGCAGGGTATAAATAATAATTGTCAATGTATGAATTTGAGGGGTTTTCGATACAGGTTTAAAGGGATGTGTTCATCCTCTCGTTCTCTCTCTTGTCTTAGCCAACAAGCTAGCACCCTCCCAAGATGGCGGAGGCTCACCAGGCTGTGGCGTTCCAATTCAAGGTCTCTCCAGAGGGTATCGACCTCCAGCTGAGTCATGCAGCCCTCAAGGAGGTTTACCGCTCAGGCCTGCGGTCCTGGAAGAAGAAATTCAACCAGTTGCGGGTAAGATAGTGTAATAAATGTAGGGGTTACTCGTGCTCAAGTTGGTGCCACTCCTGGCTAGTTTGCCTTGTTAAACCTTTTCTGTCTGGACAGCCCTACACTTCGTGGCTGCTCAGTCGCTAGCAGAATCCGTCAGTGGGCGTTTCTTAAACCTTTTCCAGCATAAAAGTTGTTTGACTCCAAGTCTCCTCCTACTCTCCCTGCGCGGAAGTCTTCTGCACAGGGAGGGCGTGGGTAGCGGAGGACCCGTGCTCTCCTCGCTGATCTCCGGCGAGGAGTCCTGGAGCCCCCTCACCGATTCCCCCATCTGCCCCCCTTTATCCCTGGTGTTACGCTGATTTCCTTCCCCAGCTGGTGAGCCGCCTCTCCCCCTGCTGGTCCCTTCTCCAGCATCGCTTGAGAGCCTCGCCTCCGCCTCTGGCTCCGATGTCAGTTCCCTGACAGATAGGGATAACGAGTGTTATGTACTGAAGTTCTCACCCTGGGCCAGCAGGGGGATACTGTAGATAGTTCAGGTCCACATATGCAAATAAGGGATCGAAAGTGATGTTCAGTGATTGGATAGTTACAGAAAGTTGTTACAGTTACGTTGTACTGGAGTTCTATATAAGCAGGCTGGCACCTGCTCAAAATGCTCTGGAATTAATTTGTATCTGAGGGATAGCTCCGTTGGTAGAGCATGAGACAGTCATAGGTTCTGGCCTTGTGTTGGGCAGAAAAATTCCTGTATTGCAGTGGGTTGGACTAGATGACTCTCTTGGTCCCTTCCAACTCTGCAATTCTATGATTCGGTGACATTCATGTCTTGATAGCCCAGCTCTTAGTTTATTCTTGGGAACCCAACCCTTCCACGTTGGAGCCTTAGGAAGAATTAAACTGTAATCTAGGGAAGCCAAGGCAGCTGAAGGCCTGGGTTAGGTATGAGAGCAAGGCCTCCCGAGTTATCGGAAAGGACTTGAGTCCAGTAGGTTCGGGGTATGGTGCGAATGAAAGTTTGTTTGGCCAAATCGGAACAGGAGGTTCTGGGAACCATTTTAGAACTAACCCTCAAGGGTTTAACAGAGAGTGGAAAGTGCCCAAGTGCCCCCCACCCAAAGAGATCACAGTGCTTGTTCTTCAATAATTAAGGTTCAATAACATTGGCAACCTGTTTCTTTTTAGTCAATAATCCATAAATTTATTGGGTGTCCTTGTGAAGAGGCCGTCTCCATTTGTATTATGGAGGGATGACATACAGGGTTGTTGTAAGGATAAAAGAGAGTTATGAATTAGGAGGTCCTTGTTAAAATCTCATCTCCATCATGAACCCAGCAAGTGATCTTAGCAGTTCAGTTACCTGATTTGAAGATCATACTAAACCACAATTTAGTTTGTTTCCCTCCCAGTACAGCAAAGACAGAAGCTGGTACTAATGAGCAGCTTGCTTGTACTTGTTAAGACTATGGTTTGTTCCTAACTATGGTTTAATGTGAAGGACATGCAAACAGAACCCTTGTGTAAAATGATGTTTGATGCTGAGATGTAGCTTGGAAATTGGGGGTGGGTTGCTCGGAGCAAAAATGAGAGAGCCAGCTTATAAAATGTTGGGGCCTGTTTAATTTGTTATAAGCAACAAGCACCATTAATCAGCATCCGACAGTTCAAAGCACATTCAGTGCAGCTTACATTCTGAGAAAACAATGTGTTGGTTGATTTTTAGGGCTGAAATAGCTATGTTGTCAAGTATAGCCTTCCTGCTCTCCACAAATCCATACTGCTTCTTCAAGAAAAAGTGCACCCCAGCAGTTTTGCCAAGTGTTTGAGGGAAAGGAAGTGAGTTAGCAGTTTAGGGAACTGGGCAAAGTTCAGTCCATGTACCATATTTTCCAAAGAAAGGGAAATGTGCCTTCAAAACTACAGAAGATTTGACTCATGACGATAGCAGCAATCTGTTCACATTCATCTTTTTGTGACCTCTCCTAACAGAACAGTTTTGTGACAGGCGTGTATCCTGCCAGCCCATCCAGTTGGCTGTTCATGGTTACTGCCATCTTGGTAACCCAGTACTCTCGACTTGACCCCTCCATGGGCATGATTGGAAAGATCAAGGAACACCTGCCAGTCAGGTAAGGAGATGGGAAGGGAGAAGGGTGGGAGTTGTGGGTGAATAAATGAGGGGGAGGGAGACTAAAACTAAGGCCTGGTTTTCATACATTCTGGGAAATAATGGTTTCCTGCTACGAGAACAGGCGGCAGCACATCTCAGGCTTGTGTGAATTCTCTAACCCCTCTTGTCACCTTTCAAGCCAATGAGGAGGAAATGGGAAGCCTATGCTTTTAGACAAACCCTTGTTTATGGTGGCCTCTGAAGTTATGAGAACTGTGGATTGTTCACACTTGCGAGAACTACCCAGAATCAAACTGTGGACTTACTTCCCATCTTGTCCTGAAAACATTGTTTAAACAAACTACATTTCTCTGTGTATGAGGTACTATGGTTTGTTTAAAATTGGAAGTAAGTGCTTCCAAACTCCTTCTCCTGGAGAATGAGAGAGGAAAACTGGGGAGCCTACAAATTCAAGGCTTGCTGTGGCTTATTCACATAGTGGGAAATCATGGTTCCATGTTATTTTAAATGGTTTTCTTGGAGGGTTGCTTCAAAACCACTCACAAACGCAGTCCAGGGATGTGTCCATGTCAAACACATTGGAAAGAGTGCATTTTGTTGATACTGGAAGTTGCCCTCAAGTCAGAAACACTTGGGTACTGCCAGGGTCCTTTTGACCAGAGGTGTTGTGGTTGGGAGACAATTTTCTAGTGACAAAAGAGTCCTCTTGAGGTGTTCAGTGTGAACACGTGAAGGGGTTTTCATGCCTGAATAGGATGGCCCCACATATGCTAGCCATGGTACCATGGAATCAGCCTCAAGCCTGAAGAGGGCCTGGCTCATGTAAGAATGTATGCACCTAGGGTTCCTTCTAAGGGGATAACATCTCTGATTGGCAGCAGGCTTTGGAAAGTACATTACTTCATTGCCAAAACAATGGCCTCTTGCTTGGATGACTTTAGAAAAACATATGGAGGATAGTTCTGTCTTGCATTAACATGATGGAATCTCCATATTCACAGAGAGGGGGCATTTGATTGGCGGCTTTTGGAGAGAGATGACTTGCTGAGATGGACCTTTAGTTTAAAACAGCAAGTCCACATTTTAAACCCTTAAGCATTTGTGTGCATGTGTGTTAGCCTGGAGACATCAGACTAGAAGACAGAATTAGGTTTTCTTCTCTTGTTTTAATTTTAAGGCCTGTACGTTTTTCTCCCTCTCCCTCTCTCTTCCTGCCCTTCCCCACCATGTTGTCCTCAGTGACTACCTGTCAGATCAAGGCCTGACAGTCCTCAGTGCCCTGGCTTTTTCCACAGGGCTATGGCTGGCCCTCATTGTGACCATGCGTAGCATTCTCAAGATGCTGCTGTGCTACCATGGCTGGATCTTTGAGGAGCACGGCAAGATATCCAACACCACCAAAATCTGGCTGGTATGTATCGCAGAAGAAGGTACACTATTGGGAAGCAGGCTGAGAGAAGGGAGCATGTTGCGTAGGGCTGGGCGATATCTGGTTTTCAACATTGTGGTAGATCACCAGCTAAACCGATATGTCACAATGTACGAAATAAGGATGGAGCTATGTAGAGGCATTGGCTGGCTTCATGGTTTTTCCTGCATCATGATTTTTGCCTGCTCGGTGTAGTGGTTAAGAGCGGTGGACTTGTAATCTGGTGAACTGGGTTTGCTTTCCTGCTCCTCCACATGCAGCTGCTGGGTGACCTTGGGCTAGTCACACTTCTCTGAAGTCTCTCAGCCCCACTCACTTAATAAAGAATTTTTTTTTTTATTTCCCCCCCAAAGAGCAAAGAAGCCAAGACAGCGAGCGGGATCCATCCTGCTGGCTGTCTTGGCTTCCTCTTTAGCCATGCGCAACCTCTCCAGCCAGGAGAGGCTGTGCGCGGCTTTGGCAGAAGCCAAGACAGCGAGCGGGATGGATCCCGCTTGCTGTCTTGGCTTCGTTTTTAGCCACAGGGCTGGGGGCAGGGGAAGCCCAACCTTCCCCCGACCCCAGCTCCCAGAACAGGCAGCTATCCGCAAGCCTTCCGAGCGCAGCGGGAACTCCCGCCGGGCTCCAAAGGCTTGCGGATAGCTGCCTGAAGCCTGAAGAGCGAGAGGGGTTGCTCCTAATCATGTTGTTGCAAAGTCCTGTTTCTATTACTTTGTGTCTCAGCTGAAGAAGAAATCTTCTGGGGAAATTGTGTACTGTGGACAGGTTTTGGAGAAGGCTCCACTGAAGGTGGAAAATTTTGGTATCTGGCTGCGCTATGATTCTCGTAGCGGAACTCATAGCTGTTACACAGTGCTATCGCGATATGGGAGCCCGTTACAGAGCTTGTGCTCACTCAATTCAGATCATGAAGGTTGAAGAGATCGCTGCTAGCAAGTGCAGCAGACCAGCTGCCAAGCAGTTCCATGATTCCCAAATCAAGTTCCCTCTGCCATGATTCCAAAATCAAGTTCCCTCTGTCGTCAACACAAGCCACGCTTCACCATTAAAGGACCAAACACGTTCTTCTAAATGCAGGCTTGGTTCATTTGCTCTGAGTTTCAATAAAGTTCTTTTGGGGCGCGAGGGGAAAAAGGAGGATTCTAAGTATTCTCTGCTGAGTGCATTTAGGTCCTGATAGTAGGGAGAATTCTAATTATGTTCACCTGAGTGATCAGAGAATCCTCTTTCAGACTTTGTGGCTCCACATTTCCCCCCTTTTTCCTTTTTTTTAATCTCACACAATTTTCCCAAGGAAACTCAAGGACACTCACAAATCCGTAACACAGTAGTATAAAGTTCGTTCTTTCTCTCCACCCCACCCCATCACAGGCTTTGGTGAAAATCTTTGCTGGGCGGAAACCCATGCTATACAGCTACCAAGCCTCGCTGCCTCGCTTGCCTGTTCCAGCCCTCAAGGACACCATGCAGAGGGTGAGTCTGGTTTTGTTTCCCCTTTCCTGCTGTGATTCGAGGATGCAAAAAAATAATAATAGTATCTGCCGCTGCTTTCATAGCACATCAGGCTGAAAGCGGAGGATTGAACGTTTGGATCAGGCACCCCCAAACTCGGCCCTCCAGATGTTTTAGGACTACAACTCCCATCATCCCTAGCTAACAGGTCCAGTGGTCAGGGATGATGGGAATCGTAGTCCCAAAACATCTGGAGGGCCGAGTTTGCGGGTGCCTGGTTTGGGTACTTTCTGATATGAAACGTCTGCACTCCTTTTCCCTCTCTCTGAATGGCCGCACATTCTTTTTTTTTAAAAAATAATTTTTATTCATTTTTGAACATATTAATTGTCATACATACCACAAAGTTTCACATCCTATACAATCTTTTTGGACTTCCATCAGCACCTCTGATGACCCCCCATTTTTATCATTTCTTCTGCATCTCTTAAATTCATATTGCCTTTAATTATCTTAACTAACGTCTTCCTTTTTATCCAACTATGCAATAATTCAAATTATTCACCTCACAAAACTTCTTGCAAACCTACAAATGTAATCTGGTCATCACAATTACTTTTCAAATAGTCCGTAAATTTACACCAATCTTCTGTGAATCTGTGGTCCCGCAGGTTTCGAATTCTTCCTGTTAGTTTGTCTAATTCTGCATAGTCCATCAATTTCATCCTCCAATCTTCTTTCGAATGGCCGCACATTCACGGGGAGCTTGGTTTTCAGTTCTACAGGGTTTTCCTGTTGAAAGGGCCTTTGCAGAAGATTGCCCAAGCGCAAGCAACGCACAACAGCCGTTGTTCTCTCTAGAATGTGAGGCTGTGAGCAAGAGCAATTGCAGAACCCATACCGAACGTGGCCTCCTTCTAATCCCATAATTCTCTCGCCCCACTAGTTTCTCGAGTCCGTACGACCCCTGAAAACAGATGCAGAGTTCCAGCGGATGGCAGGTCTCGCCCGTGACTTTGAACGGACCCTGGGGCCGCGCTTGCAGTGGTACCTGAAACTTAAGTCTTGGTGGGCATCTAACTATGTGAGTGGCCCCTAAAATGGGATTTCGGGGCAGGGTGGGGGCAGCTCCTTCAGCTGTGTTGTGCTGCGCATGGAGAACGTGTGGGTCTTTTTAATTCTCCTTTTCGAACCTCATACCTTGCCCAGGTGAGTGACTGGTGGGAAGAGTACGTCTATCTCCGTAGCCGAGGCCCCCTGATGGTAAATAGCAACTATTATGGCATGGTGAGTTTCAGACACTGGGAGAAGTTTTTGGGAGGGGAGGGAAGGGGTGCTTCACTTTAGTCTCTGCTGACACACACACACCCTTTCTGTATACCTTTTTAAAAAAAAAAAATGATTTATTTGGTTTTTCAGATTAAAATTTTACAGTCCAGCATGCAACATAAAAACAAAATTCCAAGGAATCTCTTGGGCTTCCCTCTTGCCCTTTGTGGGCCCCATTGTTAATCATTTCCTCCTGCATCTTTTATAACAATCCAAATCTTTTATCTCTCCATTGTCTCCAAAATTCACCATTAAACTGCAAGTGATATTCCAATCCTACTAACGATTTTAACTGTTTACAATGGTCTTTAAGATAAATTACAATTTCCCCCCATTCATTATTAAAAATTTGGACTTCCTGATTTCTGATTCTTCTGCTCATTGTAGCCATTCTGGCATAATCCGTCAATTTGATCTGCCATTCTTCTCTTCTTTCCATCTCTGGGCCAATAACATCCACGCAGTTGTGGTCGCATATATAAATAATCTTTTTTGCTCCATTGGGATTTCAGCATGTAGAATTCCCAAAAGAAAGGCTTCAGGTTTTTAAGGTTATTTTAAACATTTTCCCTCCAACTCACTATATATCATTTCCCAAAATTATTTTACTACCTTACGTTTCCACCACGGATGATAAAAGGTGCCTTCTTTTTCTTTACATTTCCAGCATACATTTGACCCCGTTTTATAAATTTTTGCTAATTTACTTGGAGTTAAATACCAACGGTACATCATTTTCATAGAATTTTCTTTTAACGTATAACACGCTGTGAATTTTAACTTTCTGCGTACCAATTTTTTTTTTAGGATTTCATTTACGTAACCCCAACCCCAATCCAGGCAGCTCGTGCTGGGAATCTCGTCTACGCCATGTTGCTGTACCGACGGAAACTCACACGGGAAGAGATCAAACCGGTAAGTGAGATCAAAGTATATGATGGGATGGAGGGGCACAGCCAGTAGGTAGTGTGAACTCCCTCTCCCTAAATGGGGAACTGGAAGTCAGCTTGAGAAGTAGGACGAATGAGGTTGCTGTCAACTTGTTGGGATGTTTGTGTGTGTGTGTTTGTTTGTGAGTATAGGATAGAAGCATAGCAGGTGCCTAGTTGGCTAGTGTAGCTTTATAAACCCAGACCACACCCATACCTTTGAAGCACTCTTGTAGCACTGCAACAGTCGTAGCCTCCTCCAAAGAATCCTGGGAACTGTAGTTTTTAAAGGGTGACAAGAGTGGTTAGGAGAACCTCAACTAACTACAGTTCCCAGGATGTTCTGGGGGAAGCTGTGGCCATTAAAGTGGTACAAGGGTGCTTTTATTGCTAGTGCACTTCACTTTGTTAAACCACCCTTCCCCTGCATTAAATTGCACCTTACATTGCAATGGAATGCAATTAGCTCCTTCTCCTTGTTTTCTCTTCCTGGTCCAATTGCTGTGACTGGCTGAGCTTGCAGAAGGAGCAAGCAGGATCAAAGACAAGAACTTGGGGTGTGGCAAGGTGTAGATATAGAATGTTTTGTTGGCTTCGTAAGATGGACTAAGACTACTGGGCTAGCAAACACCAGCGTTGCTGGCTGTGGCATAGCAACAGCCCGTAGAGTTGCTCTTTATTTAATATTCTTGCATCCCACCCATTTTCCAAGGAGCTCAGGAAGCTGAGCTGAGAGACAGTGACTTGCAAAAGGCACTGGGCATACAGTCTGTATGGGGTACCATTCCAGCTTGAGGGCTCTTATGCCATTCTGAGCAGCCTCCCAAGGGCCGCATATGATAGGTGGGCGGGTCCAGAAGCAAAAGTGGGCAGGACAACATATGCAAATTTTACCTTTGTGCACTAGACTTTGTTTCTGCACGCAGCACTCTCTATCCTTCGTCTGGAGAAGCAAAAGGCATTAAGAGTTCAAGGATGTGGTCTAGCCAAGTCAAAACACTCAGGGGGGTGAAGCAGGGCCAGCAAGGAGTGTGGCCTCTGGAAAGTTCAGAGAGCGAGATAGTGTGTCCTAGAGGGCCACATTCAGCCCCTGGGATAAAGGAATCCATATTCCTACACCAGGCATAGGCAAACTCGGCCCTCCAGATGTTTTGGGACTGCAACTCCCATCACCCCTAGCTAACAGGACCAGTGGTCAGGGATGATGGGAGTTGTAGTCCCAAAACATCTGGAGGGCTGAGTTTGTCTATGCCTGTCCTACACCATTGCCTCACTATAGGCCTAATAGCAACTTTGAGGTCTAATCTTGATTGGCAGCATGGTGGGGGGAGGACAAAACACCCTCCCTCCAGCGCTCTGGTGCAAAATGGAGCTCCCACAGCTGCCGAAAAGTAAAAACAGAACTTCAAGCAAAGCAGATTCCCTCCACCGTGAGTGTTTTGCGTTGACCCTTAAGTCCAGCCCTCTTCTCCACTGTGATTGCTTTGGTCTTTTGGAAGCAGGCAGCACAGAAACAGGGCAGAGGGGCTACTTGGTGAGGGCAGGGCTGGAGGTGACCGGCTTATACATGAACCCAAAGCTGCCAGTATTATGCCTGAAGTTTCCCACCTGGGCAGAGAGCAAGCTTTGCTCTAGGTGCTGTGTACAATGGTCTGCTTGCCAGTCATGTTGCTAGAGCCAGTGTGGTGTAGTGGTTAAGAGCGGTAGACTCGTAATCTGGGGAACCGGGTTTGATTCCCTGCTCCTCCACATGCAGCTGCTGGGTGACCTTGGGCCAGTCACACTTCTCTGAAGTCTCTCAGCCCCACTCACCTCACAGAGTGTTTGTTGTGGGTGAGGAAGGGAAAGGAGAATGTTAGCCGCTTTGAGACTCCTCAGGGTAGTGATAAAGCGGGATATCAAATCCAAACTCCTCCTCCTGATCAAAGCTACACACATGTGAAGGGTGCATTTGTAGCTTCCTCTTTCTTAGTATCTGGCATGGAATTCCCACATGTTTTATAATTCCAGCTCTCCTTTTAAGAAATGTATTTACGTCTGGATTTTTAATTTTTTTTTAAGTTCCCCAACCAAGCTAGGTTCACTGAGTGTCTTAAAAATAACCGCAGATCTCTTCCATGTTTGGTTCCATAACCCCTGCATCTAAACCTGAGCTTGCCTCCCATCTGAAAACAGAACATCACCCAAAATTCCTTCATCCCCCTCTGTGCGGCCCAATGGGAACGTCTCTTCAATACCACCCGGTTGCCTGGGGTGGGGAAGGGTAAGTGAATCAGGGGGTATTATGAAACACTCCACCCCGCCCCCACCCACTGTGGGGCCTTTTGCAGGGCAAGTCTGCTTCAGGGTATCTCTTGGTGGGTTTTCTGACCTAGTCCAGGTACTAACACCTTTTTTCAACACTTTATATTTCTGGGGTTTCAGCTTACAGCAAGGATCTACTGCACCCTGTCTTGCCTGCAGCCTGTGGGTTACAAAATCAGGAATGCCACCCTGGAATTTGCAATCTGAGCTTTGCCTACCCGGTTCAGTTCCGTGTCAGAAGGACTTTCAGTGTTGCTCAAAGCTGATGGTTGCCCTCCTTTTTTTCTTTTCTTTCTTTCTTCCCCAAGTCATTTGGCTGGCACATTTCCTTGACTGCTACTCTTTCTCAATCTCTCCCTTTCTCTCTCTTCGCTTCCCACGCCTCTCCAGCTGATGATTCAAGGCGGCCTTCCCATGTGCTCAGCTCAGTACGAACGCATGTTTAATACAACCCGTATCCCAGGCATGGAGGGAGGTAGGATCCTCTCGCAACCCTTGCTTCCCTTCCCTGACATCATCACCCCAAAGTATCCACACTCATTGTTACCTGTGGTGCTGGGAAGCACTCACCATTCCTATTTAACCCTCTCTGTAACCTTAACTGTTACAAGAAGAGATGCGGGTGGCGCTGTGGTCTAAACCACCCAGCCTCTCGGGCTTGCCGAACAGAAGGTCAGCAGTTTGAATCCCCGTGACGGGGTGAGCTCCCGTTGCTCTGTCCCAGCTCCTGCCAACCTAGCAGTTCGAAAGCATGCCGGTACAAGTAAATAAATAGGTACCACTGTGGCAGGAAGGTAAACGGTGTTTCCCTGCTCTCTGGCTTCCGTCACAGTGTTCCATTGCACCAGAAGTGATTTAGCCCCATAGTCGCCTTTGACTGGATGTAACCATCCAGGAGTTCTTTACCTTACCTTTTACAAGGAGAAGGGAATCTAGTTAACCTCCTGGCAGGGGCATCCTGGGGATGGGAAAACAGAAGCAGGGCAATGTCTCTCATTGTCCACTTTCCGCCAAGCAGCAGAGATGATTTCAAAGGGCAAGAATGTTCCACCGCTTTTAGATTGCTCCGTCAGTAGAGCAGGAGACCCTTAATCTCAGGGTTGTGGGTTCAAGCCCCACGCTGGGCAAAAAGATTCCTGCACTTCAGGGGGTTGGACTAGATGACCCTCGCGGTCCCTTCCAACTCTACAGTTCTGTGATTCTAAGTTGGGGAGAACTCTCCCAGAACTTTTGTGTAGGCAAACTTGTAGAAGACAAAGTTGGTAGATGGGAGACTCGAGTCAGAATGGGTGGCACTGAAGCAGGTGGCATTAGAATAGATCAGCGAGTGGAATTTTAGGGTGAAGGTGGGAGAATCTGGCCTGGGAATAGTCTGCCAACATTGGGTGCCAGGGTGGTGATTCTCTAATGTCGTCTAGAAACAGTAAAACGAAGATTAGCCAGATTAGGCTATGTTCTCCCTCGGCTGCCTAAGGCAGTACGCCTCTCTGAATACCAGCCACTGGGAATCACAAGTGGGCAGAGCACTGTTGCACTGGGGCCTGCCTTCTTCTGGGCTTCCCTTGGGCATCTGGTCAGCCATGGAGAGAGCAGAAGGCTGGCCAGCAATGGGTCATTGGCCTGACCCTGCAGGGCTCTTCTTATGCTAATAATGTCCCTCGGCAAACAAGGCTGTAGCTGGTGCCTCCCAAAGCGCCTGTACCCTCTGAGAGCAAATGCTGGAGGCTAGGCCTAAGGTCTGTGTGCCCATCCTTAAAATCTGTAATATTTGTACACAAAACTGGCACACTGGCCCCCTACGTCCCACAGTGATTGCTTTGACTGTCCCCCATCACTAGGACAGGGGACAAGCAGACAGATCGGCTCCTTATTTGCGGTTGTTATTTAACTTATTTATTTATTAAATTTATATACCGCCCTTCAGGGCGGTTCACCACAGAATAAAATACAAGATCAAACACAAGTAAATAATTAAACCGAAACAACAAAACAATCACCCTCCCCTCCTTTCCCACAGACACATTAAAAAGGGCTGTAGAATATTAATCAGCCAAAAGCCTGGTTGAAAAGGAACATTTTCACCTGGTTCCTAAAAATACTATTATTATTATTATTATTATTATTATTATTATTGGGGGCAACCCACTTGAAGGAAGTTTACACCCAAGGAGAGTTTGGGGCCAGGCGGCGCTTTGCAGGAACTCAAATGGGAACAGTCTTTGGGAAGGGGGACGTATGATTTGTGATGTTTCCAAACCGTTTTTTTGGATACAGGTGTTTTTAACACCCAGGTGGCTTCATTTGTGGCATTAAATCAAATGGGCAACCAGGATTTGCAAAGAGGAAACCAGGCACCAGCTTCAGCCTTGTCTTGATTGTGTGGGGCACCCCACACCATTGCACCCTCACCTTAGAGCGCTCCTATACTACTTTAATAGTATGGCTCCCCCCCCAAAGGAATCCTGGGAACTGTGGCTGGTTAAGGGTGCTGGGAGGGGTCTCCCTAAGTGTATGGTGTGGATGGTCCTCTGGGAATCTGATCTGAGGCTGCAGAACTCTCCTGATGTGATGCTCCTCGCTCCATAGACACCATTCAGCACCTGAGGGATAGCAAGCACATTGCAGTGTACCATGCTGGCCGCTTCTTCCGGGTCTGGCTATACCACAACGGGAGGCTGATGCGCCCACGCGAGCTTCAGGCACAGTTTCAGCAGATCCTAGATGACCCCACACCTCCTCTGCCTGGCGAGGAAAAATTGGGTGCCCTGACTGCAGCTGACAGGTGAGCCTAAACTCCCTTCACTTGACTCTGGTCACACAAGACTTTGGTCAATCCAAGTGATTTGGGGCGGGCGGGAACTTGAGACATACTCAGCCTTCCCTGATACTCCTCTGCACTACCCTGTTAATAAGGGACGCAGGTGGCGCTGTGGGTAAAAACTCAGTGCCTAGGACTTGCCGATCGTATGGTCGGCGGTTCGAATCCCCGCGGCGGGGTGAGCTCCCGGCTTTCGGTCCCAGCTCCTGCCCACTTAGCAGTTCGAAAGCACCCCTAGGTGCAAGTAGATAAATAGGTACCGCTTTATAGCGGGAAGGTAAACGGCGTTTCCGTGTGCTGCGCTGGTGCCGGCTCGCCAGAGCAGCTTCATCACGCTGGCCACGTGACCCGGAAGTGTCTCCGGACAGCGCTGGCCCCCAGCCTCTTAAGTGAGATGGGCGCACAACCCTAGAGTCGGACACGACTGGCCCATACGGGCAGGGGTACCTTTACCTTTTACCACTGTAATAATAATAATAATAATGATGATGATGAATGGGCCACCTGTTGCCCAGATGTTTGAGTCCAATCAGGAATAAGGAAAAAACTTTTAACTGCCCATATGTTTCCAAGCCAAACTTAGGGCCTTTATATTAATTTACAAAGCCTGTAACGTATGGGGTCCCGCATACATTCAGCTTGATCGTTGAGATCTGCTGGTGGAATACTGTTACTTTATTCAATGAGTTTCACAAAATGCTGCAGACTTTGGGTGGGGGTGGGGGGAAAGAGAGGATGGAGATAGAGTGGTTTTTAGATTCCAGGTGACGGGCAATGATTTTCCAGCTGCTGCCATCAAGCCAGTCAGTTATCCACCCGAACTGGCAGTCCCGTGACAGGCAGACCTCCCCAAGTCATGGTTCCCTTAACTTTTTGCAGAGACCCCTGGGCCCGGGCCCGCCAAACCTACTTCCGGTCTGGGGTGAATGAGCAGTCGCTGAGCATAGTGGAGAAAGCTGCCTTCTTCGTCACCCTGGACACCAGCGAGCAGGGGCTGCAGGGACCCAATCCAAGTCAGGCGCTGGATGCCTACTCAAAGTCCCTTTTGCACGGGCGCTGCTGCGACAGGTGGGTGCTCCCTGGGCTGCCTAAAATTGCATCACATGCTCTTTTGTCTCCATCCTGCAAGTACTACCACAAACTGTACCCCACTTCATAGGGCTCAATAGTGTCCCTGACAACACACACACACACACACACACACACACACTTCATGCAAGAGAACTTTACTTTTTCTTTGACAGGTTTTTGGCCCACTGGGTCAAATCGCCATCACTCCACCGGCACCTGGAGTTAACAGAACTGGAGAGGGTTCTGATGTAAATGGTATAAGGCAGATTGGCTTTCCTTTTTGTTGGGATGGATTTGGAAAGCTGTGTAGCTTTCTATAATTATCCGGGGTGCCTTTGGCAGACTGGATTACCCCACTAAACAAAATAACAAGACAAAAGTCTGTAATGTAAAAAAATAAAAATAGTGTTTACTTACATAAAGTTGCAGGCTTGATTCAAGTGGAAAATAGCAGTGAAATGAGTCAGGCAGAATATCTTTCTATGTTACAAAATACATGGTTTGGGTCAAAGATGGTGCCTCTCCTCAAGAGGGCACAGACCCTGCATCCTATCCCTACAGCTACATGACAAAAAAAGAGACTGTTCCTCAGATGGGAGGAAGTGGTAAGAATTATCTTCCTATTTTTACCTGTCTTGCCTGGGCAAACAGAGGATATTACCTCACAGAGTGCCCTCTCTAGGAATGCACAAGGAACTCCATGTGTCCTAACCCTTTGCTCACCTAGCAAACGAATTTTCTATTTTGATTGGAGCATCGTTTTCTCACTCTGTAGTCCGTTTCTTTCGATTACTCCTCCTTTCTTTTACGTGGGATGACTAGAGCATTCACATGGTTCTTTCTCTGCTGTCCCCCCACTTTGAGAGAACCAGCCAGGGGTCCGTAAGGCTGGGTGTGTTGACTCATGCTGAGCCTCTCTTGGTTCCCTTTTCCCGGGAGACCTCACGGGCATATTTGGGTGGCAATGGCATCATGGCACGAAGAGTAAGGCTTGCAGGATGGCGTCCATCTTTTCACTCAAAGCCCGTTTTCCCAACAGGTGGTTTGACAAATCCTTCACGCTGATTGTTTACCGCAATGGGAAGTCCGGCATCAATGCAGAGCATTCGTGGGCTGACGCCCCCATTGTGGCACATCTCTGGGAGGTAAAAGCCCAACTTTGGGATGGGATGGGAGGGGTGGAGGGTGTGAAGGACTGAGAGCAAGGACTCCTGGAACCTCTGAAGGTGAGCTCTAAGGGGTGGGGGGCTTGGGGCAAGAGGTGCAGGGATGAAAAGCAAAATAGTTCTCACCCAGACGCTCTTTTCCCCCCACCCCACAGTACACCATTGCCACAGATGCATTTACGCTGGGGTACGATGCTAACGGGAACTGCAAAGGGGACATGGATTCCAGCATCCCCCCGCCCCAGAAATTACAATGGGATATCCCACCAGAGGTGAGTGCAGAGAGGTATTGGGACAAGAAAAACTGAGGCAGGTGAGCTTGGCTGAGGAAGGACAGCATGGATCCATGTGAGTAAAGGTAAAGCCAAAGGACCTCTGGATGGTTACGTCCAGTCAAAGGCGACTATGGGGTTGTGGCGCTCATCTCGCTTTCAGGCCGAGGGAGCCGGCGTTTGTCCACGGACAGCTTTCCGGGTCATGTGGCCAACATGACTAAACCGCTTCTGGCACAACAGAACATCATGACGGAAACCAGAGAGCATGGAAATGCCGTTTACCTTTCCGCCGTAGCGGTACCTATTTATCTACTTGCACTGGTGTGCTTTCGAACTGCTAGGTTGGCAAGAGCTGGGACCGAGCAACAGGAGCTCACCCCGTCGCGGGGATTCAAACCGCCGACCTTCTGATCGGCAAGCCCAAGAGGCTCAGTGGTTTAGACGTTGAGTAGCCTAAGCTCAACTGAGGAAGTGCCAGAGGACACAGATGTGGTTATGAGCAGTGTGGGAGCTTGGAGATGCCCGAGAGAGATGAAGGTTTCTTCCTTCTGTTACTGTTGCGGTATGCTAAGGGTACATACAGACACGGCAGCCATCTCCATCTTTTCTGTCGAGGTGAGCATGGCTTTCACCCATCTTTACTGTTTCTGAGGTTTTTGATGCAGTGCTGGCTGCAGACAGTAGTCCCTGGCTGATGGCCAGTTCTGTACAATGTGAGCTGGCTGATGACAGCTGTATTCCCTCCTCCCCTCCACCCAGAGCATTTTTCAGTGTTTCATTGACAGATCGTGCTTTTAAAATGAAAAAGTGTCACTGTAACAATCGTGCATTTATCCATTCACTGGAAGACTGGGGATGGACAAAGCTTCTCCTTATCTTCAAAAAGATGGGGGAAAACAGGTCCTGGAAGACCAGCAGCTGTCATCCTTGATGTTGAAACTGGGCAAACATCTAGAGGAGATGATTAAGCAGTCAGTTTGCGAGCGTTTAGAAAAGAACGCATCGATTATTAGGAGCCAGCTTTAGTTTAGTCATTCAAAATTAATCTTATCTCCTTTTTTTGATACTTGCTAATTGTGGTAGATCGTGGGAAAGCTGTGGACACAGTATATTTTGACTCCAGGAAGACATTTCACAAGGTCTCCCATGCTAAGCTTGCTACAAGATGGTAACGTGGGCTGAGTTAGATTGGGGGGATCCACATCTGGCTGAACAACCACAGCCAACGGATGCTAATTATTGACTCTTTGTCAGCCTGGAGGAAGAGCTTAAGTGGCGTGCCACATGGTTCAATCTTTATCCCTGTGCTATTCAATATTTTTATAATAAAGAGGGGGTTGCGCAGTGCAAGAAAAGTAATGAACGGGTACCAGGAAGGTACCTATGGCCAGGTTTTTTCTGTCCTGGAGGGCTGCAGCTAAGGGTCCAATGCCAAAGATGTCACCTGGGCCTCTGGTGACAGAGTTGCATCAAAAAACATGATGGGCAGAGGAAACAGCAGGGCAGAGGAACCTCCCAAGGTCACACTTCCTACAGGCCCTTCCCCACTCCCTCCTTTTTTGACAGACTAGAAGGTGTCCTTAAAGTCTTAACAGTGCATCATGCTTGGGTGGGGAATAGAGTGTGAGTTGTGTAGAAACTGGCTTACTATACAAAAGGAAAACAATGGCAACAAGTATTACTATTTACTCGCCCTTCAAACTAAGGTCCCAGGGTGGGTTACGGTGATTTAAAATACAGTCATATCTTGGATCCCGAATGCCACAAACCCGGAAGTGAGTGTTTGCGAACATTCTTTGGAACCCGAACGTCCAGTGAGGCTTCCGATTGGCTGCAGGAGCTTCCTGTAGCCAATCAGAGGCCACGCCTTGATTTCCAAACATTTTGGAAGTCGAACGGACTTCTGCTTCCGAAGTAAAGGTAAAGGGACCCCTGACCATTAGGTCCAGTCGTGGCCGACTCTGGGGTTGCAGTGCTCATCTCGCTTTATTGGCCAAGGGAGCCGGCGTACAGCTTCCGGGTCATGTGGCCAGCATGACTAAGCCACTTCTGGCGAACCAGAGCAGCGCACGGAAACACCGTTTACCTTCCCGCCGGAGCGGTATCTATTTATCTACTTGCACTTTGACGTGCTTTTGAACTGCTAGGTTGGCAGGAGCAGGGACCGAGCAACGGGAGCTCACCCCGTCATGGGGATTCGAACCGCCGACCTTCTGATCGGCAAGTCCTAGGCTCTGTGGTTTGACCCACAGCGCCACCCACTTCTGAGGTACCACTGTACACTAAAACAGTTTCAAAATGCATTAAAACTGTTTCAAAAACTAAGAGTAGCCAACCAAAATCACAAAAAATATATAAGGTACTTGCTGAAAATGCACATCTCAAGCGTCAAAGGTAAAAAATGCTGCAAAGAGAGCAACTCCATCTGGAATTGTGTTGAGCACCATCTCACCTGGCAGGTGAGCCCTGACCGTTGGTTACTGCTTCCCCTACTGTCTGCTCTGTGTCCTCATTCTCCTGTTGTTCCCGTTTTGTCCACAGTGCCAACAGGTAATCCTGCAGTCCTTGTCCGTGGCCTTGGCCCTGGCTAATGACATAGACTTCAACGCCTTCCCCTTCAAGGAATTTGGAAAAGGCCTCATCAAGAAGTGTCGCATCAGCCCAGACAGCTTCATCCAGCTCTGCCTTCAGCTCGCACATTTTCGGGTATGTCGCTTGGCGAGATGAAGGTACTGGCAGGCAGGGAGGCAGGCAGGCAAGCAAGAGGCAGAGTCCCCAGGCTTGGCTGGCCCCCAAAGTGTCACAACCACCAGCCAAATGCACGGGAGCCAAAGCCCCTTCTCCCCAGGCCAGACTGGCTGGTAGCTCTGGTGAGGTTTTTTCCCCATCAGTGAGAACCAGCCGGAGCTATTTATTACTTTTAAAGGCTTTCATAGAATCATAGAATTGTAGAGTTGGAAGGGACTCCCAGGGTCATCTAGTCCAACCCTCTGCAATGCAGGGATCTCCACTAGATCATACATTACATCCAACCTCTGCTTAAAAACCTCCAGGGAAGGAGAGTATGTTAAGTATAAAAAGGTAAAGGACCCCTGGATGGTTAAGTCCAGTCAAAGGCGACTATGGGGTGCGGCACTCAGTATAATTAACGTTTAATTGCACACCAAAATGGAAAATGCCCGTATGTGTATTGCTAAGGGTTTAACACTGGAAAATTTCGTTGAAGTATACTAAAGTTAGGAAGAGCTCTCTAAGCTCCTAGATGGATTGACAATTAACTGTTGATGTTCTCTGCTCTTTCACGTGGTGTTTGACTTTAGATCACGTGAGTAAGGTATTTAGTTGCAAATCACCATTTTGAAGGGCCTTTAGTTCCCAAACACAGTGGGACAAAGATGTTCAAAGGAGTCTCTCTAGGAGAGAAAAACAGCTCCAGGCTAATGGAGGCTATAGAGATTTTAAGTCTGTTTGGAGTAATCTAATATCACTAAGGTGAACCTATAGTCTGACAAGCACATGTCTTATGGAACTATTTGGACGTATCATCTGTTTCTGTACCTATTTTGAAGAAGATTCTGTAAAGCTTCAGAATCTTTTTATGGACAATTTTTTTTCCAGGAGGAATCTTTTTATGCATCCATTTGCTTCAAGCTGTACAGTATTAATTTCTGCAATAGAGTACACCACCTCTCTTGGTTCTATTGTGATTGTATGGATGGGATAATTTGAGTTCTGTGATTTTGTGATGACAACTCAGCTTCCCCTGCCCTAGCAGGGCTGTTGTTCTCTTCTCGCAATTTGTGGCAGCTGCATTATAGCTTAAGGTAAAGGTAAAGGGACCCCTGATCTTTAGGTCCAGTTGTCACCGACTCTGGGGTTGCGGCGCTCATCTCACTTTATTGGCCAACGAAGCCGGCATACAGCTTCCGGGTCATGTGGCCGGCATGACTAAGCTGCTTCTGGCGAACCAGAGCAGCTCATAGAAACGCTGTTTACTTCCCCGCCAGAGCGGTACCTATTTATCTACTTGCACTTTAACGTGCTTTTGAACTGCTAGGTTGGCAGGAGCAGGGACCGAGCAATGGGAGCTCACCCCGTCGCGGGGATTCGAACCACCGACCTTCTCATCGGCAAGTCCTAGGCTCTGTGGTTTAACCCACAGCGCCACCCGCGTCCCTTGCATTATAGCTTAGCTATAGATTAAATCTGTCCCCACCTCAATCCACCTGCAGATCCAGAGGCAAGCCTGTCCCCTATACTCAGCCAAGCGTTCCTCTCTCCCTATTTTTAGGACAAGCAAAAGTTCTGCCTCACCTACGAGGCATCCATGACCCGTCTCTTCCGGGAGGGCCGCACAGAAACAGTCCGCTCCTGCACCATTGAGTCATGCAACTTTGTCAAGGCCATGATGGATCCTACCCAGAACGTAAGTCTTGAAATGCAGCCTTTGCCAGAGGAATCAGATCCAAAATTTCGTGTACGTTAAGAATAATCCTGCCTTCTGGAATGAAGTCAGCAAAACGGTCAGAATTGCATAAATGAGCCACGCTTTAATGTTTTCAGTACAGTGGTACCTCGGGTTACATACGCTTCAGGTTACATACGCTTCAGGTTACAGATTCTGCTAACCCAGAAATAGTACCTCGGGTTAGGAACTTTGCTTCAGGATGAGAACAGAAATCGTGCTCCAATGGCGCGGCAGCAGCAGGGGGCCCCATTAGCTAAAGTGGTGCTTCAGGTTAAGAACAGTTTCAGGTTAAGAATGGACCTCCGGAACGAATTAAGTACTTAACCCAAGGTACTACTGTACTCAGTTTCTACTCCTTGCCTCTTTTTTTATTATTGCAAAATTTTCAATTTTATATTTTAAAGTTGGGATCAGGGATTGACATAGCAGACCATAGCATGAAGATTAGGAGTTGCTCTCCCATACATACAGTGCCACTTCAGATGCTGTCTATCTTCTAAGTGCCAATTCTAGTTCAATGAGGACTAGAAACTTGATACTAAGTGGGAGGCAGGTGTTCTCAGGATTTAGGCCAATACCACTAGATTAGATGCTCTGCTGGATGTTGTGACTTCCGCCATCCAGATTCCCAGTGTCCTTACTACCAAATAGATGCATGGGACCCTGATAGGGAGGGAAGAGCAGTGTGTGCTTACACCATAGACACCTGGTGAGCCCCTCTGGGGAAGGCGCTTCACAATTGGGGTGCCACCACGGACAAGGCCCTGTCCCCAGTAGCCACCCATTTGCCCCTCACCTGCGGAGGGGTCAGCGAAGAAGAGCCTCTTGTGGGTTGGCCACATGGGGAGAGGTGATCCTTCAGGTCAATAGGAAAGGAGGAATCAGCAGAGACTAGGAAATGTGGAAGGTGCAGCGTAAGATTTTCTCAGCATCTTCACCTGCTATTCATTCCCAGGATGGCACAAGGTTACGTCTGTTGCGTGTGGCAGCTGAGAAGCACCAGAACCTTTACCGGCACGCCATGACAGGTGCTGGCATTGACAGGCATCTCTTCTGTCTGTATGTCGTCTCCAAATATCTCGGCCTAGACTCCCCCTTTCTGCACGAGGTAAGTGTTGTCGAGTCAGGTGTGTGTGTGTGTGTGTGCGTGGTGCTAGGGTAAAGGTAAAGGGACCCCTGACCATTAGGTCCAGTCGTGACCAACTCTGGGGTTGTGGTGCTCATCTTGCTTTATTGGCCGAGGGAGCCGGCATACAACTTCCGAGTCATGTGGACAGCATGACTAAGCCGTTTCTGGCGAACCAGAGCAGCGCACGGAAACGCCGTTTACCTTCCCTTCCAGAGCGGTACCTATTTATCTACTTGCACTTTGACGTGCTTTCGAACTGCTAGGTTGGCAGGAGCAGGGACCGAGCAACGGGAGCTCACCCCGTCATGGGGATTCGAACCGCTGACCTTCTGATCGGCAAGTCCTAGGCTCTGTGGTTTAACCCACAGTGCCACCCGCGTCCCAGGGTGCTAGGGTACATGTATGTAAAAGTAAGGCTAGGGAATGTAGGCGTAGTCAGTGATGCTTTTATTCCCAGGGTATATTTTGAACCAATCAGGAGTGTGAAGGTCCCCACCTAACATGTTCTTGCCCAATCGAAGAAAAGCAAGAAATTGGCTTCACTGTGTTGTTGATTGGAATTACCTTGTTTGTTTTTAACAAAAAATACTTCCTTTTACTGATTTTTTTTGCTTGCTCTGGTTCCTTTTCCCAGGAGTTTTAAAATATGCCATGGCTGCTCTATCCAGAGGTGTTACGAGACACATATCTGCCTTGGTCATTTTTTGTTAGTCATCCACATTGATATTTTGCATTTTGGTCTTCAATCAGTGTTGAATTTCACTGCCAACACAAGCTGCGAATCGTGCATGCTCGAATTTGTTGTCTGGGTGGGTCATGGCATACTTGGAACGCTAGCGAGTCTGCTTATTTTTCCACTTTCCATGGGGCGCCCAGCAATTTGGGGACATGTTGACTCGTACAGCTGACTGGTTCAAATTTCAGTCTGCCGGAGAGTTTGGGAACCCCTTGCTGGGATGTGAAGAACCACAAAGAATCCGAAGCAGAGGTTTGCCAGTGTGGTGCTTGCTGGCACACACGGCTGTTCACAGATGCCTTTTTCTGGTGCCTGCAGGGTTGCATTTCCCTGTTGGATGTAGGCTTGAAAGAAGCATTTTGTTGTAGTTAATAGAGCAAGTTGCAGTGGTGGTGGAGACCCATGGCAGCTTCTACACTTTGCAGATGTGCCTGTGAGCAGAAAAAGGTTTGACAATCTAGAGTCAGGTGAAGGATAGGTAAAGGTAAAGGGACCCCTGACCATTAGGTCCCTTGTGACCGACTCTGGGGTTGAGGTGCTCATCTTGCTTTATTGGCCGAGGGAGCCAGCGTGCAGCTTCCGGGTCACGTGGCCAGCATGACTAAGCGGCTTCTGGTGAACCAGAGCAGCACACGGAAACGCCGTTTACCTTCCCGCCAGAACGGTACCTATTTATCTCCTTGCACTTTGACGTGCTTTCGAACTGCTAGGTTGGCAGGAGCAGGGACCGAGCAACGGGAGCTCACCCCGTCGCGGGGATTCGAACCGCCGACCTTCTGAACGGCAAGTCTTAGGCTCTGTGGTTTAACCCACAGCGCCACCCACGTCCCAGGTGAAGGATAGGCAGGTGCAGAAAGGGTTGGAAACACAAATCTTCACCCTGAAGGCGTAACTTATTTGTTGAAGCAGCAGCTAGGCGAAACCAGATGTTATCTGGGTGACGGTGTGGGCCAACCCATAGCTGAGACGGAAGAAAATGCAGCGGTAGGGCTTACGATAGGCAAGCGATAGGGAGGACTGTTTAGTGAACCTGTCCTCGTTCACGGATTATCCCCTAGAAATCCTCCTCACCATAAGTCAGTTGCACCCTATGCCCTGGTCAGGCATGTTTCAGAAGTTTACCAACTTTTTTTAAAAAGAAGGATCTACGGGAGTCGTATTTACTGGGATGCACTGGAAGCAGGAGAAGATTAAATCCAACACTCGTCTCACCAGTTTCCCCATGTCACCAGCTTCTGTGCAAGAGTCACCGCTAATGGTGCATGTCAGGTTGGGCTTGCTGTGTGTGCAGAATTGTGACTGTTTCTGAGCAATGTGCGCACATGTCTCAGAGAGGTGCGGCCTTCCCTCACATGGGTGGCAGCAGGAGCCTGTTGCCTCAGTGAAGGGAATAGGAGAGATCCTCACCATTGGTTGCTGCTAGGGTCTTCTTCCCCTAAACGTTGAGGGCTAGAACCTTGCTTATCAAAAACAAAATCTGGAAAGCTGGTGGTTGCAGGCACCCGGGTGTGCTGACATCCCGATGCCACAGCTCACAGGGTGAGTGGTGTAAAAAGCAAGCCTAGGGTGAGGAAGTCTGGTGATAGCCAGTAGGTTCCAGGAACCCTCTTTTTGGGGGGTGATCAGTGAGTTTGTTAGGTCCTGAGCGAGCACCAGGTTTTTTGGGGGGGTGGCTCCTGGGTGAGAGCCAAGAGCCTGAGAAGTGCTGTGGGGACATGTATCCAAAGAAGGAACTTTATATACATATCTATTTATCAGTCATTTGCATTGACGGTTTAATTGTGCACCTTTGCTGTTTTTTAGCTTGGAGATAGCTTGGAGATAACTTTAAGCAGTACAGTCATACCTCAGGTTACAGATACTTCAGGTTGCGTTTTTTCGGGTTATGGACTCGCCGAAACCCGGAAGTACCGGAACGGGTTACTTCCAGGTTTAGGCGGTCGCGCATGCGCAGAAGCGCTAAATTGTGCTTTGCGCATGCGCAGAAGCACCGAATCACAACCCCCGCTTGTGCAGACGCGCTGCTGTGGGTTGCGAACGTGCATCCCGCACGGATCACGTTCACAACCCGAGTTTCCACTGTATAGGCAGGGTCTTGATAAATAAAAATAAATAGCGTTGCTGATCCTAGCAATGCATAAGATGACCAGTTTAGGCTGAGGAGTCACAGGCCCTCCTGAAAGATACTGTTTTGAGGGGAGAGGTTCTGTGGGGAGCAGCAAGGGGGGAGGGTACCCATTGTGGCAGAGCCCCTCACCCGTTTGATCCTCGGCCCCTTTCTCCCCTCTGCCAGGTGCTGTCTGAGCCGTGGCGACTCTCCACCAGCCAGACTCCCATTCAGCAGATGGAGCTCTTTGACCTCCAGAACCACCCAGACTACGTTTCTTTTGGGGGAGGATTTGGACCGGTGAGTAGACTGTCTCGCCAGAGTGGTGCATGCTCTGGTTATCTTAGACTACTGCAATGCGTTCTGCATGGGGCTACCTTTGAAGGTGACCCAGAAACTACAATTAATCCAGAATGCAGCAGCTAGACTGGTGACTGGAAGTGGCTGGCGAGCCCACATAACACCCGTCTTGAAAGACCTACATTGGCTCCCAGTACATTTCCGGGCACAATTCAAAGTGTTGGTGCTGACCTTTAAAGCCCTAAATGGCCTCAGCCCAGTATACCTGAAGGAGCACCTTCACCCCCATTGTTCAGCCCAGACACTGAGGTCCAGCTCCGAGGGCCTTCTGGCAGTTCCCTCTCTGTGAAAAATGAGGTTACAAGGAACCAGGCAGAGGGCCTTCTCGGTAGTGGCACCCGCCCTGTGGTACGCCCTCCCACCAGATGTCAAGGAAACAAAGAACTATCTGACTTTTGGAAGACACCTGAAGGCAGTCCTGTTTAGGGAAGTTTTTAATGTTTGATGTTTTATCATGCTTGTAATATTATGCTGGGAGCTGCCCAGAGTGGCTGGGGAAACTCAGATGGGTGGGGTATAAATAAATAATAATTGTTGTTGTTTATTAAGGTCAGGCCTCCAGGGTTCTCTGGGGGGTATGGTGGAAAGTGGTGGCCGAGTGACTTAGAGCTGGCAGTCTGAGAGCCAGCACTCTCTTGCATCCTCTAGGAACACTGCTCTGTCGGATGTGGGAGAGGACAGAGGTCTAAGATCCGAGTTTCTTTCTCAGGCTGTTTTTCCCCTTTCTCTCCACCCCTGGGCAGGTCGACGACGACGGTTATGGTGTGTCGTACGTCATCGTGGGCGAAGATCTCATAAACTTCCACGTGTCATGCAAATTCTCCAGCAAGGAGACGGTAAGTGTGTGCCAGGAGGGGCACATAAGCCATGCTGGGGTGTTAGGGTGCCTCAATGGATGGTTAGCAGGCAGGGCTTGGTAGGCAGTGAGCTTCTTACAAGCTGCCTGTATCGTCTGCGGGGATTCACTGGCTCAGGGAATATTTTGTCACAGACTGGTTGGCTGCGAAGCAATGGTGCGAGGAACCAGCTAGGGAACCACCAAGGTAAGATGGCTCAGAGTTTGGGGAGTGGTGGTGGGACAGCAATGAGTGGTCAGAGGGAGAAGAGGGAGCAGATTGGGAGGAGGAGGAGTGAGAAGCTGAAGGGGTGACAGGGCTTAGTGAGAAGGGAGAGTCTGTGGCAGAGAGAAGCCAGAAGCAGATGGAGAGTGGGATGAGGGAGGCCAAGAGGCAGAGATGAGTCAGGCTGGTGAAGAGTCATGGGTATCTCCTCCTGCAACTAGCTCCCCTTCCCCTTGGTCTTCCAGGACCAGGAGAGGCATGAAGTGGGAGTAGCAAAGGCCAGGCACACAGATGCAGTCTCAGAATGCTTGGGGGGAAACCCTGGAGAGGAGGGGACTTAGGCAGCTGTGCAAGTGGCAGAGAGAAGTCCAGAATCAGAAGACAGAGCTGAAGCAGGAGAGGAATGTGGCTGGTGAAGCGTCCCAGGTGTCTTCCCCCTCCTGCTGCAACCAGCTTCCCTCCCCTTCGGTCTCCCAGAACCAGTAGAGGCATGAAAAGAGCGGAGGAGTTAGCGTCACATTGGCAGTATCTCAGATTGCATGGGGAAAACCCTGAAGAGGAGGGGACCCAGGCAGCTGTGGGAAGGCTTCCATCTCTGCAACTACTTCATGGGGGCAAGACATATCAAAGAAGAGTTGCTGCGCTCATTAGGCCTGATACTCCTGTTTTTGCTAATGAAGAGTTAACTCCAACTTGCTCAGTGCCGTTTACTGCTGCCTTGCTCCTGTCTTGATTTCTCCCTTGGCTTAGATTGCTTAGTAACTCTTGAGGATTCCCTTGGTTTTTCCCACTGCTTACTTGCTTGAGCCATCTGGAGGGATAACTGGGGCAACTTGCTCTCCTTTTTCGGAGCAAGAAACTTTCCACACCAGATATTCCATTTTTTAAAGTAAGCTCAGGCTTTGAAATATTTTAGGCGTGTCGAGTTCCCCGATCTCACCTCCCCTGCTTCTTTCTCCAGGACGCACACCGGTTTGGACTTAACATCCGGAAGGCCATGGTGGACGTCTTGGCCCTTTTCCAACTGGACAAAAACTCCCCCGCCGGTCGTGGCCAGTGACTGAATAAATGCCAGCGGGATTTACACAGCCAGCTCCCCAGACACACTTTGGAGTGTGTGTTTTCTGTCCTCTGATCTGCAGGAACATTTTGAAGCGGGGGATGAAGAGGGGCCGGGCTTGCCTGAGGATTCCCACAAGCACAATGGACGGGAACGCCCCTCTTCCGTTCTCGGATTTGGGAGATTTGGACCCTGTGCCGGATGCCGCGTAGGCAAACGACCCTCTCCCTCTGCTCAGCATCTCCCTGCTTTTGGGTTGGTAGAAGTCTAAAATGGGTTGCGGCTGGTAGCAAAATCTTGCTTCTTCTAGGGCACATGTGTGGATGGAGGACTGTGGTTCGCTTAGAACAGAAGAGTGGCTCTTGGGAAATCTTAAGTGCTCCCATTGCGGCCATCCCAGGGTGTTTTAAAAGCAGCAGTTCCCTTTCCTCTTCTTCTCTCCAGCAGCTAAGAAGCTCTTTTCCTTGTCCGCTCCAACCACTTCCACCCACAGCAGCTGGGCTGCGTCCCCTTTCTAGCACTTCCCATTCAAAGGATTCCTTCCCTGTGTCTGCCACTGACCCTCTGTTCCCGAAGCACTGCGGATGGGGTGATGGGTGATATTTAGAGGGGAATCCCCTCTCCTCCAATTCTGGGGATCCAGGAATCCCCGCAAAGCTGGTGCAGGGAGGGAAAGTTGGTCTTAATTTATTGCAGGGTTTTGTACGCCTCTGGGGAAATTTGAGTTGCGAGGAGGGGCAGAAGAACAACGGGTGGGTCTTTTTTGTTTTGTTTTGTTTTGCTAGCGTCACAGACCTGAATAAAACCACAGGGCGGGAGATCTTACAAAACGGAATCATGTGTGGCCTTTTCTCAACTGGTCGGTGCAGGTTGTCAGCTGCAGCTGGGGGGTGGCGTGAGCCGAGAGGAGGGACAGAGCAGCCCAAGCTCTGGGGAGGCAGCATGTTGCCCCGTTAGCATTTTCTGCTTCCAGGAAGCGTGTGGCAGAATGTGGCAGCTTGCAGCTTCTGTCGCAAGAGAACGCTGCTCACTATTCCTTTCCATTTTGCAATTTAGGCTTAGTTTGAAGCCAAAGGCCTGTTTTCAATGCAAGGTTTGGATGCTGCAATATGTGAAATGGAATGTTAGTGCCTAATGTAAGGGAGGATGGGGTGAGGGAGGCTCCTGTTCCTTTTATTACAGTAGAAGAGCATAAGATGGAGGGCTGTGATTCAGTGAGAAGAGTTTGAGGTTCTATGGCGCTGCTTTAAGCAGCCATGACTTCCCCACATAGAATCCTAGGAACTGTACAGTGGTACCTCAGGTTACAGACGCTTCAGGTTACAGACTCCGCTAACCCAGAAATATTACCTAGGGTTAAGAACTTTGCTTCAGGATGAGAACAGAAATCGCGCGGCGGCAGCGGGAGGCCCCATTAGCTAAAATGGTGCTTCAGGTTAAGAACAGTTTCAGGTTAAGAACGGACCTCCAGAACGAATTAAGTTCTTAACCCGAGGTACCACTGTAGTTTGTTAAGGGTGCTGAGAGTTGTTACGAAGACCCCAATGCTCCTCAAAGAGCTGCAATTTCCAGAGTGATTTTACAATCAATCCCTCTTCCCAGGGAGCTCTGAGAAGTGTATATCTCCAAGTACAGGGGTCTCCTAACAACGCTCAGCACTCCTAGTTCCCAGGACTCTTTGTGGGGAAGCCATTGGCTAATCAAAGTGCTGTGTGCTTTATATACCTCCAATGCTGCCTGAATCTTGGGAATTCTGGGTTCTTCCAGGCTGCCATCACGGGCAGTGAAGGGTATTTAGAAGCAGGGTTTGCCTTTGTGCAATTACAGCACAAAGCAGGTTGGAAGTATGAGTGTGTTGGGTGTTTGGAACTAGACACAGCTGCTTCGTATGTGCCCAAATGCCCAGATTTACTATCCGTTGCAGCTGCCAGGAGAAATGCCTGCACTGGACCTCACCACACTGCCTCGTCTTCTGAGAACGCAAGTTCGTAGCAAAACACATCCTTCAGGTCTCTCAACGTACACGTGAAACTCTACTTGGTTCACATGTGCCAAGCCAGCTTTCGAAAAGGTGGTCTGCTGCCTTCATAGGAGGCAATGGTAGGGAAAGCCATTCCTGCAGAGGGAGCTGCTGGCTTCCTGCCGGCTCGACTGCCATCACCGCGTGTGTGACGGTTCTCATGTTTGCTTGACAGCTCAGGTGCAGAGCTGGGTCTCTCTGCCAGGTATATCAAGCAAAGGAAAACAGGTCCGCGTTTCGACTCCTTCCCCAGACACTGTGAATGGAGCAAACTGCATACTGTAGGAAATTCAGAGGCTTATTGCGAGAAAGATGGCAATTGCAGGCTATGCTCTTTTTCGAAGAGGAAAAGCCACTCCCAGAGGGAGCAAATTAGACAGGGAGAAGCAATGAGTGTTAAGTTATTCACCACTCCACATTTGCCCGCAACTGGACCCCCTGGCAGGGTTTAAAATGCATGCTCCCTGTGTTGGAAAATGAGGCACAGGGCAAAAGCTGCTGGGGATTTGGAGCAGGGCAGCAGCAAGCAGAGGAAGATTGAAGCATGCAACCTTCACCTGCAGCTTCTCTGATCTCGCTCCGTGCATCTACACCTCCCCACAACTTCCCTTGTTATCCTTCCATTCCCTTGCCTCCCACCTCCCACCCTCCCGCATTGAGCTGTGGTCTGCTGGAATAAAAATGTATGCACCCAGCACATAGGGCCAGATTCAACTAACCCCATCCCAATGGTGCCGCGGGGCTTCCGCCACCCTGCTACCCTTGTGTCTCCCCCAAATTCATGCTGGGGGGGGAGAACCCCCAGAAAGCCAGCAGGAGGGAAAGATGGGAGAGCACTCTGTCTTGGAAAGTGGAAAGGCTTATGCTTGACAGCAAATGATCAAATCATAAAGACGCACTGAATTCCACCCGTAAACTCTACAGCCAGTTCCTCGGCTGGCTCCCTCCAGACTCAGCAGTGGAGGAAATACAAAAGAGGTCCCCTCTCTGGTTCTTCCCCTGGAGCCACTCCCTGGCTTCCAAACAGACGAGGTAGACGGCTTTTAAGTCACAGCCATCTCTCTTTTATTGGGGGTCACGGTTTAATTCGGACGGGCAGGAGTTCCGCTTGGCGAGGGTTACAGAGGAAGTGGTGGAGGCCGCTGGGGACTGGGGCCCTCCCTCCTGGGAGACCAGGGACAGCTGCGAGTGGAGGGAACTCAGCTTGTTCTGGAGGTAATCCAGGGCAGTGGCCTTATCCCTGCAAGAAAGGAGAAGGAGAAGCATGTGAGACGGCTGCTTAGGATTATAGACCCACAACCTGCCATTCTGTGTGTGTGTCCCGCCACCGGATCCCGGCTGATAGGCAGCCTTACTAACCAGTACCCCATCATGAGCTGTTTGGGTCCCTCCTGCCCCATCATTTGAGCATGTCATTTAACCGCAACCATGCATGAGTTTTGATGTGCACTGGTGCAGGGAGCCTGAACTCTCCCGCTCAGCCCTTCCCTTAGCTGAGCAGCGAAACAAACCGCAGAGTGGCTGGCTTTTACCATCACATCCGAACCGGCACTTGCGGCTTGCTTTTATTTCTAAACAAACCACAACCCGAAGTCGAGGTTTGCTTTTCAGTATCCCAGCGGTGGTTTCTTTGGTGAGAAGGAACCACAAGCGCTGACTCAGGTGGCCACTCTGTGGTTTGGCTTTCCCAACTCAGCTGATGGGAAGAGCAGAGTGGGAGAGAGAGCGTCCCACACATTGAAAGCACTCGACCCCAAGGAATCCTGGGAACTGTAGTTGCGAACAGTGCTGGGAACCAGCGCCCTGTGAGGAGTAAACGACAGCTCCCGGGATTCTGTGCGAGCATCTGCGCATTTTAAATTTTGAGTGGGTGTGGCCTGTGTGGAAAGCTAAGCATTATCTTAAACAACCACCACCCAAGTTAGGTTTAGCTGCCTGCAGATTTAATTTATCATTAAGTAAAACTCATTTGGTTAGTCGGTTAAAATGTCTTCAATCAGCTGATAGCCCTAATTAATGCATTTACCCTTGGATGATGATGATGATAATAATAATAATAATAATAATTTATTACTTATACCCCGCCTATCTCCCCAGCCACTCTGGGCAGTTCCCAACAGAATATTAAAAACACGATAATACATCAGACATTAAAAACTTCCCTAAACAGGACTGCCTTCAGATGTCTTCTGAAAATAAGTTAGTTGTTTATTTCCTTGACATCTGATGGGAGGGCATTCCACAGGGTGGGCACCACTACCGAGAAGGCCCTTTGCCTGGTTCCCTATAACCTCGCTTCTCGCAGTGAGGGAACCGCCCTTGGAGCTGGACCTCAGTGTCCAGACCGAACAATGGGGGTGGAGATGCTCCCTCAGGAATACTGAGCTGAGACACCTTCATCATGCTGGAGGTGGAATTTTGCAAGGGTTTGGCTCCAGGATCAGGGAGTTCCATGGGCCCGTAGAATGTGCAAGGCAGAGCAGGCACCATCTGTAGAGCTTCCCCCCTTGCTTACTCACTCCGTGGCGATCTTGGCCCGCTCTAGATAGTTCTTGGCTCTCAGGGCATCATCCTGGGCCAGGCGTACATTCGAACTCAGGGCATTTGCTCGTGCGCGAGTGTCCACAGCCGTGTGTTCCAGATCCTGCCTCCCAGCGACCAGAGCAATTGGAGGTGGGTAAAAGAGAGAGAGAGAGAGAGAAGGAAGGACTACAGAGCCATCACCCAACCTGGGTAGAGGCAAGCCAACAATTTAGGGCTGCTGGCAGTCATCACCAACTACAGCTGTCGATTTGGCGAGCCATGCCAGCTTGCTATGCTTTGGCTCTTGGGAGATAGTGATAGGATAGGGGTCCACTTGGAAACGGCAGAGGTATTTCAGTAGGAAGTTTACTGAGCCTCTCATGTTTTTCTGGCACCCCCTGGTGGCTGTGCATGATCCTAAAGCAATGGGATGCCAGCTGAGGATGAGAAAACCAGGTGCACAGGGCCAGAAGATACTGCAAGGTAGCAGCTGATATGTCAAAAGGATGCCAGCCAAGATAATTCAGTATCAAAAGTTGTGGCTGCCAGCCACAGCTAGGGGCTGCTGGTCTGGCAAGCTCTGCCACCTGTCTCATTTGGCCACAAATGAGGGGCAGAAATAGTCTGGTAGTTACTGCAAAATACATTTTGCATGTCCCGTATTGGTTTTTTCAGCAGCCAGGTATGTGCTGTTGAGGATGTGAGCCCAGGCGCCGCCTCCCGGGGCAGATACCTGCTTGTGTTGAGAACCGAGCGTGTGGCTCAGGTTATTTTAAGGAAGGCTGTGTGGGTCTGCTTACTTCAAGGGGGCTAGCAGCATGGGCGAGAGGCACCCATGGCAACCACAGAGACCTCCATCTCCGGTGCAGCCGGGGTAATGTGCTGCAGCCGAAAAGGAGCAACGTGAAAAAGCTGTGCTTGGGAACTCCAAAAGGCACTAATAAGGGCTAAAACGAAATGCTGTTCTTTAAAACAGGTGGCAAACTCACAGGTGACAGATGCCCCCAAATAGATTTTGGTGGCCACCTAAGAACTACCCCCACCCCACCTCTTCACCCCCCAAAAAAACCCTTGCATTCTATTTTTTTTTATTTTAAAAACCACTTCCTTTTTATTGCTCCTATGCATCTCCCACTGTGATATCAGAGGCTTTTTTAAAGGCCCCTCAATTCACCCCCCCCCTGTAAAAATTGTTTTAAGATTTTTATACCGACTGCTCCCATAGGTACCCAATGGCACCCCTTGCTATACAGGTCCACTGTGAAGTCCCAGTAGGGCTTCCTCCCAGGTAAGTAAGAATCAGGCTGCAGCCTCGATGCATTTGTTTGATGCTTGCGGCCACCTTGTAAAAAATCTGGCTGGAAAGTGGAGCTGCTAAATGCCACTTTCTGATTGTCAAGGCTGAGGGAGAATTTAGCACCTCCCCAATTCAAGTCCTACGGGCAGGGGGTGGCCGGCCTGTGACCCTCCAGCAATTGCACAAAAAGGTACAAGTCCCCATTGGCTTCATCCAGCGCAGCCAGTGGCTGAGGATGAAGGCAAACAGTAGCTCAGCGTCACCCAGAAGGCAACAGCCCCTTGCCCTATGGCTGTGCCACCAGTGTTTGGCAATTTCACTGGCTTGACACCTATTGCTGGAGGGGAAACAAAAACGCTCTCTCCCTTAGGCTGGCTGGGGATGTTGGGAGTTATAGTCCAAAACTACAGAGGGCACAGCTACATTTCCCTTTGTTTCAGGCACCCATTATTCAACTTCCAGAAGAGCACTCTAGGTGCAACTGCTGAGGGTATACGTACACAAACACACCCTTCTATAAAGAGACCCCAGTTTTGCTTTCCAGAAAACCTGAGGTTTGCACACAGAAAGAAGGGTATATGGCCAGGGAATGAAACATTTCCAAAATATAAATGCAAATTCATCTCACACACCCCAAACCCTGGAATTTTAAGGGGCGAAAAGTCGACAACTTTTCCTTTGTTTTAATTCCCGCCCCTTTCCCCTGCTAGAATGAATATCCTCCTTTTTTTAAGATGTAGGGCCACTGTTATTTCTATGGAAACCAGAGAAAAACGTGAAAGAGGTCAATGCAGCGGAGGAGGCAGTCGCCCAGTAAGTGGCTACAGGAAAAGCAGCAGCCCTACAGGCAACGAGAGCAGGCCCAGCCCTGTGGGAGGTTGCCTTTTTCACAGGCAGATGGCCCTGGGTTCAATCGCGAGCTCTTGTTAGTTCAGGGCATCCCAGGTGAATCAGGATGGGGAGAAGACCTTTTTGCCCAGAGACCTTGGAGAGCTGCTGTCCGTCAGAGTTGACAATACTAGGCTCGTATGTAAGGCAGCTTTCTGGGGAGTGAGCCCACCACAGAGGGGGGAGGGATCTACCTGAGCCCAGATCTCTGGAGGTCCAGAGCCATCTTATCTGGCCCCAGGGCAGAAGAATGCTCCAGCAAGGCTGCACTCTGGAATCTTTTTATTGGGGGTGGGGTGGGGGGTGCAGAGGGATCACGGTACCATTATCTTCTTCTGCAAGCGCTGGCAGCTGGGGCATGGGCCCGGGGGGACCGCCCTCTGCTTCAGCTCTTCCAGGACGGGCGCCATGGCATGCTCGACCATCTGCCTCAGTGTGTCTGTGTTCACAAAGCTGTAGCTGTGACCGGGAGAGAAAAGATGGAGCAGGGTTCACGCAAGGACAAGAGATCAGGAGCCCCTTCCCTTCTCCTATCCTGCACTCCCTGAAGGATCTCAGCCTGCTTAGGTTAAAAAAAAGGCAGTCATGGCCACAGATCTAGATGGCTTTAAAAGGTGGTTAAGACAAACTGCCTATTGACATCTACCAGCCAAGATAGCTGTGATCTGCCTCAACTGCTGGAGGTTTCAACGCTTCTGAAAACCAGTTATGGACTCATAGAATCGTAGAGTTGGAAGGGACCCTGAGGACTGTCTATAGCCTATCGCCCTGCAATGCAGGAATATGCAGATGTCCCATATGGGGGGATCGAACCTGCAACCTTGGCGTTATCAGCACCATGCTGTAGCCCACTGAGCTATCCCGGCTGACTAAATGGGTCCAGGCCCACTCAGGGAGGATAAGGCAATCTACTGGTCGTGGTGGCTATAGACTGCCTTTGGATATCAGTTGCAACCCTGTTTAGGGAAGTTTTTAATGATTGATGTTTTAATGTATTTTTAATCTCTGCTGGAAGCCGCCCAGAGTGGCTGGGGAAACCCAGCCAGATGGGCAGGGTACAAAAATAATAATTATAATTATTATTATTATTGCTGGGAACAGCAAATGGGGAGAGTGCTGTTGCGCTGCGGTCCAGCTTGCAGGCTTCCCCCTGGCATCTGTTTAGCCACTGCACTGTGGCTGCAGGACTGGGTGGCCCACTATCTGATCTAGCAAAGCTCTTCCTATCTCTAGAAGCACAGACCAGGAAAATAATCAGCCGCTTAAGGCACAGTGGTTTGGTCTCTTCTTAATACTTCCAAACATACATACCAATGCCAGGGAGACTGGAGGTTTGTTGGTTCATTATTTTTGTGAAGAAACGGAAGTATCCAAATCTTAACACCTGATTTTGCAGGAAACTGCCAAGACTGCTCTGAAGCTCTGGTGGCAGCCAATTCTAACATGAGCAACAGCCTGCATGCTTGTGTACTATATTGCCCCCTTCTCTTCTGTGAATTTCCAGTGATCTTGTGATATTGAGTGCGTTTGTGGCCCTGCCGTTACGCTGCTCCAACGTATAGCATGCGTGTGCAGGGATTTCTAAATGGCGAGAGTCTGCCACCACTATATCATTTGAACCAGCAGTTCTCAACCTGTGGGTCCCCAGATGTTGTTGGACTACAACTCCCATCATCCCTGAGCTCTGGCCTTGCCAGCTAGGGGTGATGGGAGTTGTAGTTCAACAACATCTGGGGACCCACAGGTTGAGAAAGGCTGATGAACGGTCTTGGAGCCCTTCCACCAATGCATTGTACCCAGCCTCCTGCTGCACTTATCCCGGGTTCGGCATCCTTGCTCCTGGCTCGGCTTACGTTCCCCCATCCTGACCGCCCATCCACCCTTGTGTGTCTCTGAAGCTGGCACCTGGAACATCTGGCACAGCTAGCAGGGTGCCTGTCGGGTGTCTCCAGGGGCTTGAGTGCTGAGAGATGCCTTGACACATCTTCCATGAGCGACTTCACTTGCCACAGGCCATCCAGGTCTGCGCGGAGCTGGGTGAGAGACACAGACGTCCGCTTGGCCCTGGCACAGGAAGAAAGGGGAAAACCAGTGATATTTTAGGGAGCAGGCTAGCAGGCAGGGCCTATTTCTTACATCATAGGAGCCTACGCAACACAAAACACTTGCTGTATGTAGGTTTTATTTTATTTGTCTTATATTTTGGGATGCGGGTGGCGCTGTGGGTTAAACCACAGAGCCTAGGACTTGACAATCAGAAGGTCGGAGGTTCGAATCCCTGCGACGGGGTGAGCTCCCGTTGCTTGGTCCCTGCTCCTGCCAACCTAGCAGTTTGAAAGCACGTCAAAGTGCAAGTAGATAAATAGGGACCGCTCCGGTGGGAAGGTAAATGGCATTTCCGTGCGCTGCTCTGGTTGGCCAGAAGTGGCTTAGTCATGCTGGCCACATGACCAGGAAGCTGTACACTGGCTCCCTCGGCCAATAAAGCGAGATGAGCGCCACAAGACCAAAGTCGGTCACAACTGGACCTAATGGTCAGGGGTCCCTTTACCTTTACCTATCTTATATTTTGGAGATACACATCCAGGTGTGTTTTTTCCCTTTAATTTTTTCTGGGGCCCCCAAGAGAGTGGGGCCCTAAGCTATAGCTTATTTAGCTTATATGTAAATCCGGCACTGACTGTACTCCTTTGTGGGCCAGCATCCAGGAATCACATCCCCGTGGTGAGGCAGGGCCAGAGACCCTAGCCCAGGGGTCAGCAACCTTTTTCACCCTGGGCTGGTCCAGCATCCCTCAGACCATGTGGTGGGCTGGATTATATTTTGGAAAAAAATATGAACGAATCCCTGTACCCCACAAATAACCCAGAGATGCATTTTAAATAAGAGGACACATTCTACTCATGTAAAAATACCAGGCAGGCCTCGCAAATAACCCAGAGTTGCATTTTAAATAAAAGGACACATTCTACTCATGTAAAAATACCAGGCAGGCCTCACAAATAACCCAGAGATGCATTTTAAATAAAAGGACACATTCTACTCATGTAAAAACAAGCTGATTCCTGGACCATTCGTGGGCCGGATTTAGAAGGTGATTGGGCCGGATCCTGGGCCTTAGGTTGCCTACCCCTGCCCTAGTGGGTGGAGTAACGGTTGCCTTGGTACATGAGGCAACATTCCAGCTGCACAAAGAACATGTAGGCGGCTACATGCCTGTTCCCATCTCCATTTGGGCATTAGCAACAACTCAAGGGCACTTCTGGGACACGGGTGGCGCTGTGGGTTAAATCACAGAGCCTAGGACTTGCCAATCAAAAGGTCGGCGGTTTGAATCCTTGCGACGGGGTGAGCTCCCATTGCTCGGTCCCTGCTCCTGCCAACCTAGCAGTTCGAAAGCACGTCAAAGTGCAAGTAGATAAATAGGTACCACTCCGGCAGGAAGGTAACCGGCGTTTCCGTGCGCTGCTCTGGTTTGCCAGAAGTGGCTTAGTCATGCTGGCCACATGACCTGGAAGCTGTATGCCAGCTCCCTCGGCCAATAAAGCGAGATGAGCACTGCAACCCCAGAGTCGGTCAAGACTGGACCTAATGGTCAAGGGTCCCTTTACCTTTAAGGGCACTTCTTACCTGGCCAAAGGACTTCGGAAGGGCTAATGAGGAGTGGGGTCCAAGGAGAGTGGGATCCTAGCCCAGGGAGAGTCGTGAGGGCCAGAGAGAGAACCTCGGAGGGCCACCTTTTGTCCAGTGGGCCAGAGGTCCTTTGAGAAAAGGGGCCCTGATTTGGCTCGGGAAAGACACGTACGTGGCAGAGACCTCATCCAGCTCCTCTCGCAGCATCCTGAGCGCCTGGCCGTGTTCCAGATGCGTCCTCTCCCACTGGGGAAGCACCCCCTCCAAGCGCACTCCCAGCTGGGCCAGCAACCGCAGCACCTCCTTTTGGGTCAGCCCATCCCGCTGAGACCTCCCGGATAGCTCCAGCACGCATTTCCTAAAACGTGGGAAATGAGGGAAAAGATAGCCGTGTTGGGAGGCACGAAGGGCTCTCTTGAACGAGGCGCCACCTTCCCTGCTCCTGCTCGATACCTGATCTCTTCCACGCATGCCAAGGTGGCGGCTGTGTTTAGCTTTCCGTCGGCGCCCCCCTCGTCCCCCGGCCCTGCTCGTGGCTGCCCGCTCTCCAGCGCCCCTCGCAGGCTGTTGATGGATGCCAGGATGGCGGCGGTGGCCCGCTGCAGGTCACCCTCCTCCAGGCTGGGGGCTCTCAGGGGCGAGGCTGCTGCACTGCCCACCAAGTCGAGGAGCTGCTTGGAGACCCCGGACGCCATTCGCTGCTCCAGCTCCTGCCACTCTCGCTCCTGCCGACCGAGGTCCTCTGCTTGCACCTGCCGCTGCAAGAAACGCAGCTTCTCCTAAATGGAGGCCGCGTTTGGGGAACAGGGAGGAAAATGATGCTTGTTGGTGCTTGGCTCATTTATTAATTTGTTAAAAATTTGACCTTTTCCTGTTAGGCAAAGATGATCAGATGACCCGGATGGTCACCAGATTCTGTGTACAGATCTGTAGGTGCAGGCCATCCCCCAACCCAAACTAGTTCATTAAGAAAATCCCCAAACTTGGTTCCATGGGTGACTCTGGGTCATCTCTCTGCGGTAGCTTATCTTAAAGTTCAAGTGTCTATACGCTTATCGCATTTATAAATTTTAAATTTATTGTTGTACATTGTTTTCAATGTTTGTTTCCCTTCCGGGATTGTACCCCCAAGTGTGTTTTATAAGCTGGTCTCTGACCGTAATAAATTATCTATCTATTCATTTGTCAGTTTGCAAGTAAATAAAATTCATGTGTAATATGGTTGCCATACGTCCAGAATTTCCTGGACGTAGCCAGTATTCGGCCCTCTTAAGCAGAGTCTGGGCTGAAATCGCTGGAATGTCCAGAATATTTTTTTTTTGCAAAAAAATGCTCAACCACTTTGGGCAAAAAAAACCCCTCAACAACTTTGGCTAAAAAACAAACACGCACACACACACGCTCAATAACTTTTGTGTCCAGATTTTCATTTTTTGAAATATGGCAACCCTAATGTATAATAATAATAATAATAATAATAATAATAATAATAATTCAATTTATATACTGCCCTTTGGCAAAAGATCCCAGGATGGTGTACTGTACAACATTAAAAACACATCACAGAACGCCAGTGATAAAAGCGTAATAAAATAATAATAAAAACCATATTGACAGACAGCCTAATAAAAAAATAGTTATCCTCCCCCACCCCACCCCCCACCCTTTCACAGGCCATTAGCCATAGGCCTGGGTAAAGAGGAATTTTTTGCCTAAGTACCTAAAGACATGAAATGATGGCGCCAGGCAAGCCTCTTTGGGGAGAGCATTCCAGTCGGGGAGCCACCACAAAAAAGGCCTGTTCTCTTGTTGCCACCCTCCGAACCTCTCTGGGATGGGGGACATAGCAACTTCTTCATTAGGGGGTTTTGCCTTTATGAGCTTCCTTGTATTTTCCCCCTTACTAAAGAAATTAATTGCATGTTAGCCTCGAGTCTCCCTTTCTGACCTGTGAATGACCTGATCTTCCTGATGGCCCTGTGACGCACATATAGGCAATTTTTATGAGCCTGGCATGCAAAACTGCAGCCTTGTCCTCAGTTTATTCTAGGACCTCCTGGCATCCCCCTCACCTCCAGCAGCACCGAGTTCTTCTTGAGCACATTGGTTTTGATTTCAGCATCCTCTACTGATTTTGAGACCTTCCGGCAGCTCTCCTAGGGGAGAAGATCGCAAGAGATTCAAACACTAGCTCACTAACAGGAAAGGGAACAGAGTGAGTTAACATGGTTCTTCATTGAGTGCGGAGAATAAGGTTCGACTAAATGTTCCTTTGGGGTCGCCTCCAAGCCGGTGACCTTATAGCTTGTAAGATGCAATGCCTGCAGAAAAGGGGACTGCTGAAATGTTCACACCAGTTTCTCTGTTAAAGAAATGGTCCTTGTCAGTCAGGTCTGCTAAGTATCTGCTTTGTTACGTAAGTTGGGGCAAAAGCGTCGCTGCCAAAGAAATATAGTAGCTGGAGACACTTTGGAAAGGTGAGCTGAAAGGGACATGGATTTCTCTCTCCCCTGCCCCTCAGCAGCTGGAGATTATGGACTCAGCTACATTAGTAAAGAAACAACGATTTGAATGTGCTATAAATATGCAACACCAGAGGGCACCAGAGAGCAGGAAAATTTTTATATGTGATTTTCCATAGGGTTTTTTCCCTTTTGTTATAATGATCTAATTCAGGGGTAAAGGTAAAGGTAAAGGTAAAGGTAAAGGGACCCCTGACCATTAGGTCCAGTCGTGGCCGACTCTGGGGTTGCGGCGCTCATCTCACTTTACTGGCCGAGGGAGCCGGTGTACAGCTTCCAGGTCATGTGGCCAGCATGACTAAGCCGCTTCTGGCGAACCAGAGCAGCACACAGAAACGCTGTTTACCTTCCCGCTGGAGCCTATTTATCTACTTGCACTTTGACGTGCTTTCGAACTGCTAGTTGGCAGGAGCAGGGACCGAGCAATGGGAGCTTACCCCGTCGTGGGGATTTGAACCGCCGACCTTCTGATTGACAAGTCCTAGGCTCTGTGGTTTAACCCACAGCGCCACCCGCGTCCCTTTAATTCAGGGGTAGTAAACCTTTTTATACCTACTGCTCACTAACGCATCTTTCTTGGTAAAATTTCCTTACTGCCCACCAGTGCTTGATGGAAGGAGGATTCAGCTTGTGCTGTGGAACCCCCTACCGCCCACCTAGAATCCTGAAACGCCCACTAGTGGGCAGTAGGGACCCGGTTGACAGCCCCTGATCTAATTTCTGACTTATTTACAGTGGTACCTCAGGTTACAAACACCTCGGGTTACAAACACTTTGGGTTACAGACTCTGCTAACCCAGAAGTAGTACCTTGGGTTAAGAACTTTGCCCCAGGATGAGAACAGAAATCGTGGGCGGGTGGCGCGGCGTCAGCGGGAGGCCCCATTAGCTAAAGTGGTACCTCAGGTTAAGAACGGTTTCAGGTTAACAACGGACCTCCAGAATGAATTAACCTGAAGCGTCTGTAACCTGAAGCGTCTGTAACCCGAGGTACCACAGTGGTACCTCGGGTTACATACGCTTCAGGTTACAGACGCTCCAGGTTACAGACTCTGCTAACGCAGAAATAGTGCTTCAAGTTAAGAACTTTGCTTCAGGATGAGAACAGAAATCGTGCTCTGGCGGTGCGGCGGCAGCGGGAGGCCCCATTAGCTAAAGTGGTGCTTCAGGTTAAGAACAGTTTCAGGTTAAGTACGGACCTCCGGAATGAATTAAGTACTTAACCCGAGGTACCACTGTATAGTCAAAACACGTTGGTTCAATGGTGGATGGGACTGCGGAAGTATCTTTGCTCGGGCACCCGCCACTTTCCGCCCCCTTTTTATTTATTTTTATTTTTTATTTGCCACGCTGAATACATGCAAGCTAAGTGTGTATAAATTGTGGGCTTACTGTACATCAATACTGTGTATATCAAGAAAACGGAATCAACTAATTCGTAAACCGTATATACTAATAATTACGAAACCTACGCATTTTATCTAGCTAAGTCTGCATTTAAAAAAAACCCGGCACGTTATACAAAGAGAACAATAATTCAATCAATCTGTGCACCATTTATCCAAAACGACTGGTCTGGATGACGCAGACAATCAAATCAACTGCCTTCAAGCCAGATATCTGAGGGAAGATTTGTGTGGCAGGAGCTACCCTGTTCTCCTGGTCTGGACAATGTCACCTCCTTTGCTGCTGGAGAGGAACTGGTCTTCATCAAGAGCCAGAAAGCCAGAATGCCATTCATATCATCAACAAGTTGCTGCTCTTCTGCATAGAAGAAACTATATCTCTGACTTCGAAACTCTGGCGATTGAGAGTAAGTGGAGGCAGGCATAGCAAATCCTCTTCTTCGCTGCTGAGTTTTGCAAGGGCAACACTCAGACTAAGGAGGAAGAAGCTGAAAGGAGGTGACATTTCTTAAACTGGTTGTAAGTAAGCAGGCAGGCAGGGCATGGGCTGCCTGAAGCAGTGTTAGAAACTCAGGTATACAGTGGTACCTTGGTTCTCAAACTTAATCCGTTCCGGAAGTCCGTTCCAAAACCAAAGTGTTCCAAAACCAAAGCGTGCTTTCCCATAGAAAGTACAGTGGTACCTCGGGTTACATACGCTTCAGGTTACATATGCTTCAGGTTACATCCTCCGCTAACCCAGAAATAGTGCTTCAGGTTAAGAACTTTGCTTCAGGATGAGAACAGAAATCGGGCTCTGGCGGCACGGCAGCAGCAGGAGGCCCCGTTAGCTAAAGTGGTGCTTCAGGTTAAGAACAGTTTCAGGTTAAGAACAGTCCTCCGGAACGAATTAAGTACTTAACCCGAGGTACCACTGTAATGCAAAATGGATGAATCGGTTCCAGACTTTTAAAAACAACCCCTAAAACAGCAATTTAACATGGATTTTACTACCTAACGGCGAGACCAGTAGCTGAACTGGGTTCCACACAGTCACACAAAAAAAGCGAGCCGCAAAAGCGAAAATGCAAAATAAATAGCAAAAACAGACGTCAGTGTAACACTCAAAACGGAAGTGTGGCACTCAAAACAGAAGCATAACACTCCAAATGGAGCATGTTCGGCTTCTGAATAAAGTTCGGAAACTGGAACACTTACTTCCGGCTTTGCAGTGTTTGGGTTCCAAGTTGTTTGAGAACCAAGGTACCACTGTATAAGCTAGGGGCCAGATGGCTCCTTAAACCAGGGTTCACTTGGTAGCAAGTGGCTAATAATAATAATAAAAAGGTAAAGGACCCCTGACAGTTAAGTGCAGTCGCGAACGACTCTGGGGTTGTGGTGCTCATCTCACTTTACTGGCCAAGGGAGCTGATGTTTGTCCGCAGACAGTTTTTCCGGGTCACGTGGCCAGCATGACTAAGCCGCTTCTGGCGAACCAGAGCAGCGCACGGAAACGCCGTTTACCTTCCCGCCGGAGCGGTACCTATTTATCTACTTGCACTTTGACGTGCTTTTGAACTGCTAGGTTGACAGAAACTGGGCCCAAGCAACGGGAGCTCACCCTATTGTGGGGACCTTCCGATCGGCAAGCCCTAGGCTCAGAGGTTTAGACCACAGCGCCACCCTCGTCCCCATGTGGCTAATAGCCAGGTGCAAAATTGCCTGGCACCTGGTGAATTTTACACGCAGGCCTGAAAGCTACCTGAGGTTTGTTTATGTTATTGATTTCATAAAATTTATATACCGCTTGATTGTAGGGGAGGGGACTCAAAGCAGTGTACAAAAAAATAGGGAACAACGAACGTGGCATTAAAAATAAATAAATTACAACCATAATTTAAAACATACAGAAAGTTAAAACCACAATAAAGTAGACCAAAACAAATGAATACTCGTACAAACTTTTGGAAACATCTGAGTAGGCTTGTCTAAACAAGAATGTCTTCAGCAAGCACCAAAAACAATACAGTGAAGGTTCCTGTCTGATAGCAATACGCAGGGAGTTCCGAAGTGTAGGTCCTGCCAGCCATGCTGAATGACCAAATTTTTACAGATGCAGTGTGGATATTATGTGGCACATGCAAAAGGGTACATATGAGGCGATGGGGCACTGCCCTATTTGCCCGCATGGACTAGCCTATAAGATTTATGACTTGTTAGAAACTGTGCTTGAGTTTGCTTTTCCCTCCTCCCTCCTCTTCACTTTTCCTCAAGTGTCCTGTCTCTTTAGAATTTAGATTGGGAGCCTGAGGACAGGAACTGCCTTGGCGCTGATTTTTATCACACCCACATTGAACATCCACACACAGACTGTTAAAAAACCTGGTCACACCCAATAATTCACTCAATATCACTCCATCTCCGTATGTTCTTATTTAGAGTCATCTAGAATAATACCAATTAAAATACGAGAAGCACAGAGCACAAGAAAGTGCAGTGAAATGGCATTACAATAACAAAGCGGAATACATTACGATATAATAAAAATGTGATTATTAACCATAATTATCCCACTAATTATTTTTAAAAATAGTTTGAATGAATGGTACCCATTAATATCTACTCCATGTTAGTTTGTTTTGTTTTGTTAGCAGCTTGTTGATTCCCCTGAAAATCTGCATTAAAAGAAGGGGATTTTTCCATTTGTCCTGGGCCTCTGGCAGTACTCCCGTTGCCATGGAAACAAACACAAACTGCCTTGAGGCTCTCCCGCCAACTCATTCAGACGGATGTCATTCTGAAATCTAGCTAGTTGTGTAATCCTTGCCGATTCGGCAGAGCCAAAAGAATTAAGTCCAGATCCACACACACCCCCCATCCTCAACTTACAAGTCCCCTCCAATTGGAATAAAACAGGAACGCTACTTCCATATTTACATTCTTTCAGACCACCTTGCTAAATGCATGACAAAAGCAAAGAGCACATGGGTGTAGACAGGATTTTTGTTAGGGGGTGCAGGACTTTGGGGAGGGGGGGAAGAACCGATGGGATTGGTCAGTTAGTTCAGTATTTCTGTTGTTTTACTTGATGGGGCGGGGACAGCTGCCCCTTGACTATGCCGCGAGAAAGCATCATTTCCAGCTTCATTTGAAAATTATAATGGAAGGCAAAATCGAAGCGCTCTAGCCACCGTTTACCAATGCCTGTCTTTATTTCCTTGTTAAGTAAACTATGATCTTGCAAGGCGGGTTTTAACTCGCTCTACGTGGGGCTGCCCTTGAAACTCCAGCGGGTGCAGAATGCTGCGGCGAGACTCCTTACGGGGTCTTCACCGCGGGATCACATTCACCCGGTGCTATACCAGTTGCATTGGCTCCCAGTGGAGTACAGGATCAGGTTTAAGGTGCTGGTTTTAACCTTTAAAGCCCTATACAGCCTAGGACCCTCGTACCTACAGGACCGCCTCTCCTGGTATGTCCCACAGAGGACCTTATGGTCCTCAAATAAAAAAACATATTGGAGATCCAGGCCGCAGGGAGGTTAGGCTGGCCTCAACCAGAGCCAGGGCTTTTTTGGCCGTGGCCCCGATCTGGTGGAAAGGTCTGTCACAAGAGACCAGGGCCCTGTGGGACTTGACATCTTTCCACATGGCCTGCAAGACAGAGCTGTTCCACCAGGCCTTTGGCCAGGGCACAGTCTGACCTCCTCCCTCCTTCTGTAATCCTCATAGAACTCTAGCCCAATGGTTGCCATTGATAAACATTCACGGAATTGCAGCCTAAAACGATTCAAAAGGTCGAAGCACATTCTATGCAAGAGAAAGCTAACGTTTTGGGGGCACATATAAGATTGGTGAACTGTTAAGTTGTGGGTGAACATATCAGACAACACAGCGAGTCTTCAAACAGCTCTTGTTTATTCACTGACCCAAAACAGAATTGAACTGCAGGGTTCAGCCAGCCTGCTTATATAGAGCTCCACTACAACGCAACAGTAACAGCTTTCTGTAACTATCCAATCACTGAACGTCACTTTCAATTCCTTATTTGCATATGTGGACCTGAATGTAAACTATCTACAGTATCCCCCCTGCTGGCCCAGGGTGAGAACTTCAATACATAACATGAACGTCATTAGATCCTAAGTACAGATGTGATAGGGGTTTGTAAAAATTAGGTGTGGTGTAGAAAAAAGAGATGCAGACCCCTACAATTTGGGGACCTCCAATGAATCTGATCAGCAGTAGGTTCAAGACAGACTGCAGTGCATAATTATTATATGGAACTCACTGCCACATGGTGTGGCAACAGGCACTGGCTTCAACAGCTTTAAAAGGGAAGTAGACAAATTCACAGTAAATTGGTAAGTCAGTGGCATTGTTCAGAGGCAATGTATTCCCAAAACTCTGGCTGTTGTGGGGGCAACAGTAGGAAAGGACTGTTGCCTTCCATACCAGTTTGTGGACTTCCCAAAGGGGCATTTAGTTTGCCACTTTGAGAAGGAAAATGCTGGACTAGGCAGACCTTTGGTGTCTCTTTTCACGTTCTTTGTTCAGCCTTTCTTAGTAAAGATCTCTCTGCTTTTGAGCAGAAATGGTTGCTTGGGTTTGCCTGGCACAGCTGTTTCCCACCCACCAACCCTGAACACAAGGTCTCTTCTGTTACAGGAATTCTAAGGTCTTAAATATAGAATCAGTGTTGATAATTGCACAAGGTAAACACACATACACAAGTATATAAACTACATGTCTAAAATAGTACAGGAGAGCAAACCAAAAGCCATCTTAGCTCTCCTAAAGACTCTCAATATTTCCTCTGCCTCCTTAATCCCCCTTGCCTGAGAACAGGTAGGCAGACAGCAATCAGGGGAAGTTCCTGAAGGAATTCCTCTCCTATATATATGAACCTCCTTAGTATACCGTATTTTTCGCTCTATAACACGCACCCGACCATAACACGCACGTAGTTTTTAGAGGAGGAAAATCCGTAGGCATGCCACCCGTAGGCATTCCCTCCATAACACGCACAGACAATTCCCCTTATTTTTTAGGAGGAAAAAAGTGAGTGTTGTGGTGCAAAAAATACGGTATTAATTGTCACTGTTTGCCCAGATGCTCTGCACTGAGGGATGTCTGACGGGCATCCTTACCAAATGCTAATGTTTTGTGTAAACTGTGTCTGGAACGAGGTAAAACTTGCTAAATCCTCATGGATATCACACCTTGGCCTGCCTGAGCCACAGCAACCCCACCTTATGGGTGATGTAATTTCTGACTGTTGGTAGAGGGGACTGTCCTTCTCCATGCAAAAATGCAAACCCTTAAAAAGAGATGTTTCTTCTTGCTTCGGGGTCTCTCTTGCCTCCTTGCCAGGAGGAGAGGGAACGCTGTTGTAACAGAAAAATAAAGATCTGCCTTGCCTTCGCTGGATCCAGGGGCATAGGTGGGGGCAGCCCGCCCTGGGTGTCATCCCTGAGGGGTGTGTGACAAAATCCCCCCCCCCCCCGGGAAAATCGCCATCGCGCCGATCGGCTCCCCGGGCGGATGGCCACTGCACCAATCGCCCCACTGGGCAGATCACCCGGCCCCCGGGTGCATGGCTTGTGCACCACTCCGGGTGCCCGAGCAGCTAGCCCCGCCGCTGACCGGATCCTGCCTCCATCCATTCATCTCTGACCGATCATGGACTTAGGGGGCTCAGTCCCTTGGGGAGTTGGGCAGCAAAAGCCAACCACCCCTATATTTTCTATATGACTTCCAACTCTACAAGTCTACGATGATTCTATGTCATGAGCCGGCTAACACATCCCTCACCTTGAGGTGGGTGCAGTACTCTTCCAGGTCCTCAGCCTCCTGCCTGCGCCGCTCCAGGTTTTCGCACAGCACTGTGCACTCACTCTGTACACAGAGCAGAAGGGGAACGGCTGAGAAGGCGGAGAGGGTGTTCTCGACGTGCAAGAGGTGGCCTTGTCCCTGCAAAGAAGCAGCCCCCACCTCTCTCCCTTTCCAGCAGCTTTGTGGCCAAATAAATAATAATAATAATAATAATAATAATAATAATAATTTATTATTTATACCCCGCCCATCTGGCTGGGTTTCCCCAGCCACTCTGGGCGGCTTCCAATCAAGTGTTAAAAACAATACAGCCTTAAATATTAAAAACTTCCCTAAATCACTCCAGCACAGTGTTTCTCAAGCCACCACGCACCCAGTCGCCTCCTCGCTCGCCCACCCTGCCCGCTGGCCATGTTGCTTGGACCAACGCTAGATTTGCTGCTTGCTAAAATAAACTCCTTGCATGCCAATTGAAGAGGTTCAGGAGACTGAGAAGTTACAACAGAGGTGGATTTCAGGGCACCAAACAAATTTAAAAGCCCCACGTCTGCCACTGTGGGGCGGGGGAGAGATGAAAATGGGAGGGCCTTGCTCCTCTGAGGGGAAAGGACCAGTGGAAATGTTGAAGGAAATTAGAAAGGCAGAGAGAAGGTTGATATTTTTCAGTAACAGCAACAGCCGGGGAAATAAACAAATAGAATAAAAGGAGGAAGAGGTGAAACACAAAAGGGGCAGGGAGGAGGAATGAACCTTTGGTTTGCAAAGGTACAAATCAAGTGTGAGAAGGGAAGGGGGAGCAGAAACAACAACAGATGAGTAAAATTACTTGGGTGAGGCATGGTGGTGGGGAGGGAAAATATAAAATGAATTGCTTGCCCTACATAGAGCCTCTGGGTCAGCAAATTCTGCCTAAAATGGGGAGGCTAAGACATGTTACTTCTAGAGCCAAGGCCTGTACTTTGTTTGAGAAAAGCTGAACTGTGGAGCTACTTGCCACAACGAAATTGCTCGGGGGGGGGGGGGGACATTTCCAAAGAATTAGGCCTCAACAGAAAACGATGTCAGTGGTTGCCAGCTGGTTATTCCATATGCCATCCTTAACTGCTACCATTTTGTGACTGGTTCTGCCACTGCACTTCAGTTTTGTGCCTCAGTTATTTTTTAGCTCTCTCAAGTGGGCTGCAAGGGAAGAAATTTTGATAAACCCCTGTTCCATCTTCCCTTTATATAGAAGCTCTACTGGTGACAGAAGAGCTTGCTATTTTTTGTTTATTCTTTCAGGCTAAACAATACAGAACTACCATGTGTCCCCACCCTCAAATGAAACAGGCAAACACAAGACACATAAATTCATAAAACAGATGAAATTCAATCATCTTCTTATCAAAACCCCCAAATTAGAATCCACACCTTTTTCCAAAAATTTTTTCACCACTGATTCCTGTGACAGAATTCTTAAAGATACAGAACCCCCAAGTGTGGATGTCAGGGAAGCAATTTTGATTTTTAGAAGGCATCTTAATGCCTGTGATACTTGAAGAATGCTGGCATCACAACCCCCCTTCAACACACATACAGGCCTGGTTCACACATAAAGTTAAGCTATGCTTAATGTTAACCATAGTTCAAAAACCATAGTTAAATCTGAGGTGACTGACAGCCATTCGGTTAAACCTTGGTTTATTACATCCTTTCCCTATTAATGGAGACAAAAGCCAAGTCTTCACACGCAGCTCTGTAATTTTGGGGCACTGACAACCCCTTAACCATAGCTAAGGAGAATATCTGAGTTTATACACAATGCTAAACTATGGTTAATATGAATTAAAGTTTCTAAACAAGTCCTGGTTAACAAGATACCTTTAACCATGGTTAATAAACTGGGGTGGGTTCACACACAACCCTAAGCCATGGTTGATAAACCGCAGCTTTACAAACCATGGACTAGTATAACGTGCAAATCAGGCTGCTATCTCAAGGGGGTGGGGCATCACTACCAAGTCAACGGCTTAGAAATGCCTCTGATGTGAAAAGGATGAAGGTACTGAGGTGGATATATATATGCCTAGCTCACTGGTTCTTAAACTGTGGTCCTGGTGTATCTTTAGCCAACAAAAACAGTAAAGGGAAAGGCTGAAGAGCCAAAGTACATTAAGGCCGAAGGGGCAAGTCACTTTAAACATAAAAATGAAAAACAGCTTGACTCTTCAGCAGTACAAGCAGCTGCAGTGTAAAGTTCACTGGAAACACCAGTGGCGGGCTATTCTCCTTGGGTGGGCATAGAGTAACAGAGGTGACAACTTGCGCCCATGTCATGCATGATATGACATTTTGGGAGGAGCCAGGGGACAGAGCCGAACGCAGTGATGATGACGACGATAATTTATTATTTGTACCCTGCCCATCTGGCTGGGTTTCCCCAGCCACTCTGGGCGGCTTCCAACAAAGATTAAAAATACATTAAATTATAATTATAAACTGCTTTCCACAGTAGAAGGAGGAGCCAGCCAGCCACTGAAGCTGTACTCAGCTCTACACCTGGCCTCCTCTGCTCCCTGACAGTAGAGAACACTGAGAGGGGACCCCCCAAAAAATTATGGGGGGGATAAAAATGCTTGGCTCCCCGAACTGTGACCACATGTGTCAGGCACAGCAGCGGACAGTGAATTCAGAAGCCTTTTGGGCCCCCTCCCACAGGACAGAAGCTAACAAAATGCGGTCAGCACAGAAACTTGACACCCCATCATGGTCCTTCAGTCCCATCCTTACTACAAACAAACAAATCAGAGAGAATCTCACAAAAACTCTCCAAAACTACTTCAAGGAGAATGATGTAGACAATATAACAACCCCGCTCCTGTGGGATGCAATGAAAGCGGTCACCAGAGGAGCTTGCATAAAAGAGAAGGCATTCCTTCATAAACAAACCTCCTCAAAAATTAGCAACATAGAACAAGGAGCCTTTAAAAGAGCCAAGTTAAAGAACCAGTGATCTAGCGGTCCATGGCTGCGTGAGATGAACAGGGCAAGCTTGGGGTGGTGTTAGCTGGTGTGGCCTGTGGCGGAACTGGCGTTGGGAGGGGGACAATCTCCAGACCTGCAGGTTCTGAACATGGCGGTTGACCTTGGACGTCCTCTCCTTGAGGCTGGTGATGGAGTCCTTGGCTCGCAATAGGCCGCTATTGCTCACTACCTGCTGGGGGAGAGCGTAAGAAGGGGGTGGGTCAGGTGAATAGTCCAGCTTAACTCCTGACCTCTCCACACTTCCTGGGCATTTATTTCAACTCGAGGACTTTACGAAGCCGGTGGGCGCCTGAAGGCAGATGCCACCACCAACCACAGGGAGGCTGAATGCTCCCAAGGTGGCAAGGGCACAATTCATGCACAGTGATGAATTTCCTGGTGTCGCAATTAAATGGGAGAAAGCGAGGGGCAGTTATTCAGGGCGAAGCCAGTGGAACGAGGAGACTGGGGCAGTTCAAAAGGTTTGCAACCCCAGGTGACAGAAGCAAGAGACCCCAGGAAACGGCCCTTGCCAAAGAAGGAATCCAAGGGAGGAAGATCAGTTGCCAGAGGGAATATTATCCTCACAGAATTTGCTAAATAAGACTCGGACATTTAATTATATATTAAAGGCAAGGCTTTTAAAAACATGCTTAAGGGTAACCGTTGCAGAATTGGGGGGAGGGTGGCAGGGCTCTTGCTCAGAGTAAGGTAATTCAGAATCACGCACACAAGCACAGCCCTACATCTAAGAGAATACGGCACAGCCTGAATTTGCAAGTTTGGATTGACCACACCCCTAACATAGAGTGCGAGCTGGACTCCAACTCCCATTAGCCCCAGCCAGCATGGCCTGAGGTCAGGGAGGATGGGAGTGGTAGGCCAGCGATAGCCACACCTCTGACCTTCCACTTGTCCATGTTCAACCCAGTCCCAAAGCCGTCGGACACAAGAAGCACACATTTCCAGAGTAGTCAACTTTTTCCTAACCCCATGCCACGAACAATGGGACATACAGAAATTTGGAAGATGCAGTGTGGGGTGGGTCGTTTGGGTTTTTTGGAACAAACATTTTTTTAAAAAATTACAAAAAAAACTACACCTGCTACATTTTTACCTGTTAGTGAAGGCACAAGAGAAGAGCGACAGCAACCTTTTTTCAAATACGTGCCCTGATTAGATTTACAAGGAATATATGACATCCCAAATAACACCATTGCACATATATGAATTAGTAACCAGTGAAGTTATGATTAAACTACATTTTATCAGTTGATACTAGATACACTGTGGGTTGAACCTCAGAGCCTAAGGCTTGCCGATCAGAAGGTTGGCGGTTCGAACCCCCGCGATGGGGTGAGCTCCCGTTGCTTGGTTCCTGCTCCTGCCAACCTAGCAGTTCGAAAGCACGTCAAAGTGCAACTAGATAAATAGGTACCGCTCCGGCCGGAAGGTAAACAGTGTTTCCATGTGATGCTCTGGTTCGCCAGAAGCGGCTTAGTCATGCTGGCCACATGACCCAGAAGCTTTACGCCGGCTCCCTCAGCCAGTAAAGCGAGATGAGCGCCGCAACCCCAGAGTCGGTCACGACTGGACCTAATGGGGTCCCTTTACCTTTACCTTTACTAGGAAGTGAGGGTGACATGCCAGTCCAAGCCCTTCCTTAGTTCTATGGATATTCATGCACCATTAAGCCAGGCGTGGTTTTTACATTTTGCCTGAATTCAACCAGCCGTCCTTTGAAATTAGCAGTTTTCTGAATTTTGCAATGCAGGTCTCCCCAGCCAAGTTACATGGACAAAAAATGCATACACGTATTAGGGCAAAGTGAACATTAAAATTATTATTATTTATTAAATTTGTATACCGCCCTTCCTCCATAGATCTCAAGGTGGTTCACAATGCCTATACTGGTGAAAAATAGCATACAAAAATGCACCGTATTGGGGGAAATTGCTTTGCAAAAAAACAACATGTAATATTAGGAGAAATTTGCACTAAAAATGCTCAAGAATTTTCACGAGGACTTTTATTATTATTGCAAACTGATGTGGAAACGTAGAGAACTCAAATTAAGGTGGAAAAATGGACAGATCTGTCCAGCCCTGCCTTTCCACACTGCCTTGCCTGAAAAGCACTTTGCTCCGAGTCCAGCTCTCCTACTTGAAATTAGCTAGGCAGAGAAGCAAACTGATTTTTTATATAAGTAAAAAAACCCACACAAAAACAATTGGCTCAATGCAATGAGGTAGCGGTAGAAGGACTCAGCTCCCTCAGCCCCCCACACTCATATTTATGTAAGGGGTAAACCAGCTACCCTTCTGCACCTTATGTGTGAATGCTTCAGATGCATGCAGAAATATGTGTGGCTGCTCCGACACCTCTGATCTGGCCCAGAGACAAGAATCCCATCTTATCCTGGAGGTTCAGGGTCACCAAGAGACTATTATTATTCTAAACCAAAGTTCCGAGTTGCTTAAGCTCACTACTAACCAAACGCCAGCCCTGACATAAAGGCACTGAAGTATTTCCCAAACAGCTGGAAGAAGATGCCTACGTTGACGCCTGGAGCTGAAATCTACAGCAGGCGTAGGCAAACTCTGGCCCTCCAGATGTTTGGGACTACAACTCCCATCATCCCTAGCTAACAGGACCAGTGGTCAGGGATGATGGGAACTGTAGTTCCGAACATCTGGAGGGCCGGAGTTTGCCTTTGCCTGAGCTACAGCCTCTGAGTTATGTGACCCACAACAGTCCACACCCACAGGAGGGGAAGCTCCACATTATGCACCCGGCTGCAGCCTCTGACCAAGGTGCATTACAGAAACAACACCACCCTGAAGTGGCGTCAGCGAAGGGTTCTGCGTCCGCCTGACGTTTATTCAGAGTAGCTTCTGCTCAGGTTTAAAAACCTGGCCTTGCCTGGCAAGGGTGGCCCTGTGCCCTACTTTACAGAGGATGGCGTTTGAAGGGCTGTGTGGTCCAAGTCTGGTTTAACAACAAAGAACATGGTGCTGATAATGTCAAGGTTGCAGGTTGGATCTCCTTATGGGACAGCCGCATATTCCTGCATCGCAGGGGGTTGGACTAGATGATCCTCAAGGTCCCTTCCAACTCTACAATTCTGTGATTCTATAAAGGGAGAGCAAGAGGGACCTCAAAGTTGCCCGTCAACAGCCTGTGCTTGTCTAGCAAGATCCAGCAGCAACACAAATCTCCCACTATGGTGAGATGCACTGCATCTAAATTATGCCACTTATTTGTAAACTCACATCTAATGCATATAGATGACCTCGTACAATTTTTTATGCCTGTCTGTGGGGTGCCCCCCCCACACCTCCCCTTTTAGGGTGATGCATAAACAGCCCACCCAATGCTTGGTTGTTGCAACTTGAACTTTGGCCCAATTTTTCAGGCAGTACCAACCCCCGTCCATTTGCAGTGCTCTAGTAGTTCCCAGAGTGGGCCGCCCCACCTGCTATGGGGCAGTGAGATTACCAGGGAAAGGCAAGAGGGTGGCAGAGAGATGCAAACAACTATCAGACTTTGAAAAGCTGTCGATCAATTTCATTGAATGAAATAATCTAAACGGTTTTCACCGGGTTTTGAATAAGTGTGCAATTAAGTGTTTTGAATTTTATTCCTTAGCGGATTGTGCAAACAGCTATGCTTTTTATGGGGTGATGTATGGGGCACTAAGGGACGCGGGTGGCGCTGTGGGTTAAACCACAGAGCCTAGGACTTGACGATCAGAAGGTTGGCAGTTCGAATCCCCGCGATGGGGTGAGCTCCCGTTGCTGGGTCCTTGCTCCTGTCAACCTAGCAGTTCGAAAGCACCTCAAAGTGCAACTAGATAAATAGGTACCACTCTGGCGGGAAGGTAAACGGTGTTTCCCTGCTCTGGATCGCCAGAAGCGACTTAGTCATGCTGGCCACATGTCCCGGAAGCTGTACACCAGCTCCCTCGGCCAGTAAAGCGATATGAGCGCCGCAACCCCACAGTCGGTCACGACTGGACCTAATGGTCAGGGGTCCCTTTACCTTTATGGGGCACTGGGGATGAGTTCAGGGAACCAAAGGGCAACTTCCCCAAAATGGTTTGGGAACCGCTTGCTCTGTGGTTTGTATGGTTTGGGAGCAACTTATCCAGGCTGGGCTATGGATCTGAAATGTGTCACCAGGCCTGGAAAGGGCGAGAGTCTCTGTTTGGGAAGAGTGTGGTTTACTTGGCTGCCCTCACAACAGAACAATGCGTCTTTAGAACTGCTCTCCTTACCTGTTGGCTGGAGGTGTCATCTTCATCCTCGGACCACGCTGACTTGATGGGGAGCAAAGGATCCCTTCTTTCGCCACCTGCTCCTCCCGGAGGACCCCCGTCATCTGTGGATTCATTCTCAGTGGTGGTGGAGTCATCGCGCTCCCCGTCCGTTAGGTTCAGGAGTGAAACGTTGGTACAGGCGGAGGAACGCTTCAAGTTGAGGTTGGGGTTTTCATTGGTCACGGTGGGCTCAACCCTGAGGTGTGTGTGTGGGGAGAAAAAGGCAAACACATACATTAGCCAAGATGACACCCCATGGCGATCACTTTCAGATTTCAGAGAAGAAGAAGAGTTTAGATTTGATATCCCGCTTTATCAGTACCCAAAGGAGTCTCAAAGCGGCTAACATTCTCCTTTCCCTTCTTCCCCCACAACAAACACTCTGTGAGGTGAGTGGGGCTGAGAGACTTCAGAGAAGTGTGACTGGCCCAAGGTCACCCAGCAGCTGCATGTGGAGGAGCGGGGAATCAAACCCGGTTCACCAGATTACGAGCCTACTACTCTTAACCACTACACCACACTGGCTCTCAGAGAAGCACCTGTGTTCGTCTGGTGCAGCAAAAAGGGATTCACGGCACCTCAGAGGCTAACAGATTTATTGTGGCATCAGTTGTGAGGGGGGTCAGAGAGAAGGGGGTCACTTTCTGAGAGAAGGATGCTCTTGGCTCTTGGCCAGTCACAATTTGGTCTCCCAAGACTGCAGTTTCCATGTTCTAACTCCTTTTCTGAGCCAGATACCTAAGGAAAGCAGGCAGAAATCCTAGGTCTTGAGAGGAAGGTATCAGGTAGGTTAAAGGGGGCGGGCAGACACAAAACCAGGGTTTCTAGGTTCTCTTGAGCATATCTTTGCCTGGTAGTTCAGTGCAGTTCAGCTAAAGATGTTCCTTTCTAAGAACCATACTGTACTTGCTTGAGGCGTGGGCTGGCTAAGAGCAAAGAGGACAGAGGAACAGGCTTGAGGTGGCTCAGCGAGAGCTGGGGTGGCTAGAGAAAGGTTTTCTGGGAGTGAGAAATCTCCAATTCCATGGGAAGGGCTCAGGGGGCACAGGGTACTGGAGCAGGGATGTCTGGGTCCCTGAGTTTTCAGAGAAGGGGAGATTTCTAGCATCTTATCTTTGTTGAAAGATCAGGAGTCAGACCACACTAATTCTGGTGTGTCACACTCATCCACCCAGCTTTCTAGAGCTGTAGACAAAACCCCTTGGACAGGAATGTGGGAAAATGCCTTTAGGGCCTCTCTAGATTCTAGGTGGGTTCGGGTGGTCATTCTGCAACATGTCATCGATGCAATAATAAGCACATTAGTGGAGGATTTGTACCAGGCTATTCACACACCCTCCCGCTTTTATTAGTTCTGCGAAGCTTCTGAAGTTTTATTGCGTTATTGGTGTCTGGAAGGGAACGCTTGTGCTATAGCACGACAACCCCACCGTGCCGATACTTTGCGGTATGAAAAATTACAGGTTTTCAGCAGGACGTTGCAGCACATGAACTGATTGGGAACGAAGCAGCATGGCCACCCCGAAACTTCTGCAGGCGCAAAGCGTGTTGAAAGGGGAACCGAACTGATACACTATCAGGAGCATGAAGTGTCATGAGTCTGCACAATAAAATGGATGTCTGGAGGGAACCTTAAGGCTGCTTCCCCATCCAGCCCAGGACTGTCTACACCAGGGGTGGGGGAAGCTCTGGCCCTCTAAATGATGCTGAAATACAACTCCCATCATCCCTGGCCACCAGCCACGCTTGCTTGGGCAGCTGGGAGTTGTAGTTTGGCCACATCTCATGTAGAGTCGCCAGTGGAGAAGGGTCTTCCCCACTAACCTCCTACTTAGAGATGCGCTCCACCACTGATCTCCAATCCCTCCCAACAGATTCCAGCATGTCCAGAGTAGTGCATTGAACTCCACCTCCACCCCTTCCCTTCCCAGGGCTCCCACCCATGGAAAGAGACGGCTTTCTTCTTTTTGGGGAAGCCCTTCAGGCTGCTCGACTTCCCCAGCTGCTCCTTGCTGCCCTGAGCCCGACTCTCCGTCCCCGTCGATGTGTCTCCAGCTTCGTTGATTTCCTTGGACTGCCAGATGGTCTTCACCACAATGTTGGCCATTCCTGGGTTGGGTATGGATTATCTGGTTCAAGCGCGGATTTCCTTTCCTGTGCCACGACAGGGAACATCTACCGCCTCCAAGCCAACCGGCACTCCAGGGAGGGCGGGGGCCTCCCAGCTGCTCCCCATGACCTCACAACAGTTGCCGTGGTGCCCATGATCACATGACCCCACCTTCCTATCTTTGCCCTGTGCCGCCAACGTTCTGTGATGTCGGTGCTGTCGCCATGGGAAAGAAGAACCTGGTGCTCTCGATTAGTTTTTCGGACTTCAGCTCCCATCAGCCCCAGCCTGCATAACCAATCATGAGGGAGGCGATGGGAGTGGTAGTCCAAAACATCTGGAGGACACTAAGGCCCTATCTGCACTATACATTTAAAGCAGTATCATACCACTTTAAATATGCATGGCTTCCCCCAAAGAATTCTGGGAGCTGTAGTTTGTTAAGGGTGCTGAGAGTTGTTAGGAGACCCGCTGTTCCCCTTACAGAACTAAAATACCCCAGTTGCTTTAATAATCAATATTTTCCGGGGGCTCTCCTAACAACTCTCAAAACTTTTAACAAGCAACAGTTCCCAAGAACTGTTTCTCTGCTCTGGTTTGATCTCCATCTTTTCCCCTCTTGAATTCTCAAGATCTCGCTTTGTTTTTCAAATCTTAATTGTTTCCTTCAGGCTGTACAAATAAATCTCTGTCTTTATATATTTGGCAGATTATTATTAATTTTTGTTAACTCTTCGAAAGCTACAAGAGCAGAACAAAACTGCAGCTGCAGACAAGCCTTTCATTTGCTGATTTAGGATTTTTACTAAATTGCTTGGTGTCAGGATTTGTCTGCCTAACAGGCCGAACCAAAACACAGAGAGGAACCTACTTGCCGCTGCAATAGGAGTCATGTCATAGGCTGCCTCTGGAAACAAGCCTGCAGGAATTTCCCCCCGAAAGTTTATTACCTGTGAGGCAAGGAAGGAGACTTCACATTGCAGCTGGGCAAAACGTTATGTGTGCAAACTAGAGAAGACAAGCAAGACTCATAAGTGTCAATGAGGCAGTTATAGTACAGTGAGTGGTACCTCGGGTTAAGTACTTAATTCATTCCGGAGGTCCGTACTTAACCTGAAACTGTTCTTAACCTGAAGCGCCACTTTAGCTAATGGGGCCTCCTGCTGCTGCCGCACCACCAGAGCACAATTTCTGTTCTCATCCTGAAGAAAAGTTCTTAACCTGAAGCACTATTTCTGGGTTAGCGGAGTCTGTAACCTGAAGCGTATGTAACCTGAAGCGTATGTAACCTGAGGTTCCACTGTAATTAAAAGCAGGATTAGATAAAATAATGGAGTCTAGGACTGCGTATACACTATGCATTTAAAGCATATTTCCCCTCCACAAAATACCCTGGGAACTGCAGTTTGTTAAGGGTACTGGGCTGAAGCTCTGTGAGTACCTAGGATTCTTGTTTTTGGAGGGATGTGCTTTAAATGTGAAGTATTCACCCAGCCTAGTTCCCCCATCAGTCAGAACAGCAAGAAATGGAATCTGCGTTTTCAGAGTCTGATCACCAGATGATGGAGATGATGAACAACTTTTGGCAACCATCTGTCTTGGCATTAAGGTTCAGTTGGCAGAGTTCCTCTGGTGACGCCAATAGCATCAGAATACATTTCTTTTGGCAGCTGAACAGGTGAATTCTGGATTGTCAAAACCAGTCACAGGTATTGTATTTATTTCTGAGATTTGTGCTCCATCTCCCTGTATCACATCTGCCTTCACTGCCACAGCTATTAAGCCTGTAGTAAGTAAATAGTGAATGACACAGTGCTTTGTGTCTCACACCCACACATGAGCTACATGTTGGAGGAGCCAGTTATTGTTATGCTCTTCCACGCCAACACAGAATCTGCTTTGCCAGGGACCAGAGTTTCTGACTCACTAATATCAGTTGCGAGCTGCAGATACTACTCTGATTCACATGGAATACTAAAACACAGATTAGCGTTACATGAAAGAGCCACTGCTCCCGCCCTGGCATGGTTATGATTGCCGTGTCATCATAACATAACAAACTTTAAAACCAAAATTTCAATCCATAGTTTAAAAAACTGGCTTGCTTCAACAGTTAAGATTCCGCAGAGTTTAGGGCTTGGATGCAACATTAAACTATGAGTCACCTAAAAAGCAAACTATGGAAACTTCTGATTTCCTCCTCAGCGCTACACCAGAGAAGGGAGAATGGAAGCCAGAGGCTTGCTGCAATGTGCCCTTGTAACACTAAACCATAGTTTAGCATTACTATATGTGCAAAACATCCCAGAGTCAGATTAGACAGACATCTGGTTTGATCCACATGCTTTCTACTACAGTAGTACCTCGGTTTTCAAACGTAATACGTTCTGGAAGACCGTTCAAGTTCCGAAACATTTGAAAACCAAAAACTCAATACAGAAGCCTCAATATGGAAAACTCAATACAGAAGCCGCATGGCATGTTCAACTTCTGAGGTGTGTTCAAAAACCAAAGCAGTTACTTCCAAGTATACAGCGTTCAAAAACCAAAATGTTTGTCAGTGTATATGTTCGGAAACAGAGGTACCACTGTACAGTCAAACCTTGGTTGTCGAACGGAATCCGTTCCGGAAGGCCGTTCGACTTCCAAAACGTTCTACAACCAAGGCACAGCTTCTGATTGGCTGCAAGAGCTTCCTGTGCTCAAGCGGAAGCTGTGTTGGACGTTTGGCTTACGAAAAATGTTTGAAAACCAAAGCATTTACTTCCGGGTTTTCAGCATTTAGGAGTGGAAACTTCCGAAAATGGAGCCATTCGGGAGCCGAGGTTTGACTATTCTATAGAGTGGCTGGGGTTGATGCGAGTTGTGGTCCAAAATAGCAGGAGTTCTAGCTGCTCAGTCCCATCCCTTTGAGCAGTGAAGGCCACCTCATTATGGGGCACTGGCCCAAGCTCAGAATGCCCACACCTCGTGTGGTGTAGTGGTTAAGAGCGGTTAAGAGCCAGTGTGGTGTGGTGGTTAAGAGCAGTGGACTCGTAATCTGGTGAACCGGGTTCGCTTCCCAGCTCTTCCACATGCAGCTGCTGGGTGACCTTGGGCCAGTCACACTTCTCTGAAGTCTCTCAGCCTCACTCACCTCGCAGAGTGTTTGTTGTGGGGGAGGAAGGGAAAGGAGAATGTTAGCCACTTTGAGACTCCTTCAGGTAGTGATAAAGCGGGATATCAAATCCAAACTCCTCTTCTTCTTCTTCTCTCTGCCTTCTTACTTCAGCCCCATTGACACAATACATTTAAAGCTCCATGAAAGCACTTTAAGCGAGGTTGGTTTTTAAACCACTCTGCGAACTGTAGCTCTGTGAAGTAAATAGGGGAAGGGCGTGTCCTCCTAACAAACTACAGTTCCCAGAATTTTGAGGGAAACCATGTCTATTTAAAGTGGTATCATAGCGTGGTGATACAGTGTGAATGGCACCTCACAAACAGACTTAAGGGTGGCACTGGCTTCCTCTTCCTTAGTCTCCGCGGTGCCACTGTAGAACTCAGCAATAAGCAGGATGGGAACAAAACTAGAATTAAGTTGGTTCTTCCTGCCATTGGTAATGGCTCCACTTGCTCCTGGGTCTCCCTGCCTTCCACCCTACAGGTTCCAATGGACACCAATTACAGGTGCCCTTGACTGTGAGGTACTCAGTACCTATGAGGGGCAAGGAAAGGCGTCCTTCAGCCACCAGCTGAGCAAGTTTCAGATTGTTGTTGTTTAGTCGTTTAGTCTTGTCCGACTCTTCGTGACCCCATGGACCAGAGCACGCCAGGCACTCCTGTCTTCCACTGCCTCCCGCAGTTTGGTCAAACTCATGTTAGAGCTTCAAGAACACTGTCCAACCATCTCATCCTCTGTCGTCCCCTTCTCCTTGTGCCCTCCATCTTTCCCAACATCAGGGTCTTTTCCAGGGAGTCTTCTCTTCTCATGAGGTGGCCAAAGTATTGGAGCCTCAGCTTTAGGATCTGTCCTTCCAGTGAGCACTCAGGGCTGATTTCGTCCAGAATGGAGGGGTTTGATCTTCTTGCAGTCCATGGGACTCTCAAGAGTCTCCTCCAGCACCATAATTCAAAAGCATCAATTATTTGGCGATCAGCCTTCTTTATGGTCCAGCTCTCACTTCCATACATCACTACGGGGGAAACCATAGCTTTTACTATACGGACCTTTGTTGGCAAGGTGATGTCTCTGCTTTTTAAGATGCTGTCTAGGTTTGTCATTGCTTTTCTCCCAAGAAACAGGCGTCTTTTAATTTCGTGACTGCTTTCACCATCTGAAGTGATCATGGAGCCCAAGTTTCAGATACTCAGCACTTATCCCTGCCTTTGAGATCCTTAGTAGGAGTGACTTGCCTAGCGTGCAGGCATTGGCCAAAGGAAGGCCAGTGACTAGAGAAGGAAATTCAGCCCTGATCCTAGACTCCCAACCTCATTTTATGCTGAGAATCTTTTACTGCACTCAAGAGTCTTTTGGGTATAAAAAGTGGGGTACAGTAGTACCTCGGGTTAAGTACTTATTTCGTTCCGGAGGTCTGTTCTTAACCTGAAACTGTTCTTAACCTGAAGCACCACTTTAGCTAATGGGCCTCCTGCTGCTGCCGCGCTGCCAGAGCATGATTTCTGTTCTCATCCTGAAGCAAAGTTCTTAACCTGAGGTACTATTTCGGGGTTAGCGGAGTCTGTAACCTGAATTATATGTAACCTGAAGCGTATGTAACCCGAGGTACCACGGTATATAAAATAATATGGCATAGTTTTCGTTTCATTATGTGTGGAAGCAGCTGCTTAGCCCAGGCTATGACCTTTTGCAATTATACCTGTGCCTGCAACTGCTTTAGTGGGGGAATTGCCAGAAGTGTATCCCTGGAAGCAGGCGAGTTTGAAGAGGCAAAAGTTTGCTCACTATTTTATGACACGTTACTTCTTTTTCATAAAGATTTACCTTACTATGACTTTTATTAAAAAAATGGACTTTAAAGGGTCACCTACTTCTTTATAGGAGCAGTACTCTCTAGCCTTAAAGCAAAAGAACGCGTCGGAACGTGGCGCGCAGGACTCGAACTCACCCCCCAAAAGGTGAAGGATTAGAACACACACCGCGTTCTTCCCCTTTACGTTCTACTCCTAGCGCCTATTGGCTCAAACGTGGTGACGACATTCGCACCGCCTCTCCGGAAATGCAGACCAGTCTCCAAGCCTCCGCCCCCCACCATTCCTTTTGCCGCCGTTACCCTGTCAGCTCAGTCAGCCAATGCGACAAGGAGTTTGGCTTGAAGGACAAGGGGTTTCCCGTCCAATAAGAGCCTAGAAGAAGTGTTGACCGCCTGTCAGTTGGGCGGAGGTTTCCTTTCTTTTTCTTTTACGAAGAAAAAAATCCTCTAGCTTGCTGATTTCGCAAGAAGCACCAGAAAAGGGGAGTCGGGAGGAGGGGTGGGGCGGAGCATCTGTTGAGCGACATTTATGAGAGGCCACCAGGAGAGAAAGACTATCTGAAGGGGCGGGAGGAAAGGAGCTGCAGGCGGGACTTGCCTTGACTCCCGCCCAATGGAAAATGCCGAGCAGTCCGGGACTTATTTGACATAAGGAGCCCACAGGATCCAATAGGGCGGGATTTAAACCTGCCGGGCAAATCGCGGGGGAGACTGGTTTGATTTCCACCAATAGGGGAAGGGATAAGGTTGAGGGGCGGCCCCGCGGCCCAATAGGACGGCGAAGCGTCCCTGCGACGGACGGAGCGAGCGGCCAATCGGGTCGGTCCGGGTCGGGTTCGGTTGCTTGCTTGCTTTGCTGGGCCAGGTTCGGGGCCGCGGAGCGGAGAGCGGAACGGGGGGGTAGCGTCGCCCGAGGGGGGTCCCGATCCGCCACCGCAACCATGCCGGCCGTTTCCAAGGGAGACGGGATGCGGGGCCTGGCCGTGTTCATCTCCGACATCCGAAACTGTGAGGGGACGCGGACCTTGGGGAAGACCGTACCGCGGGGTGTGGAGGGGCGGGGGGGGGCGGCGGGAGGGAGGCATTGAAAGCGAGGGAGGGAGGGAGAGAGACGCTGTGGGGCGTCGGGGGGGCGGGCGCCGGACCGCGGGGAGGACTGGGGAGGGGCCGGGTCGGGCAGCGGCCAAGGGGGTGGGCGAGCCGGCGGAGGGGGCGGCCGTTGGCTGAGGGCGAAGGCAGGCAGGGACGGAGGGGGCTCTTCCCAGGCTCCTCGCAGGGGGTCGTGGCGAGTGTGGGGTGGGGTGGGGGGAAAGGAGCGAGCGAGCCACTGCAGGGTGATGGGTTAAGAGTGGACACGCTTGGCATTTCGGGCATGCCCGCCAAGAGAGTGGGCCGCGTGGGGCACTGGGAGAAATGGGCATCGTTGGTGGGGGGGGGGTTGTGGGGGAGGGGTGCAGCTGGAGGGAGACAGAAGTGGCCTGAATGACTGGGGGATGCCGGGTTGACTGGAGGCTCCCCCCCAACCAAGGGCTACGCAGGTGATGCTGCCAGTGGGATGTGCCGTTTTCAGCGCCAGGTGTTCCCCGACTCCAGGACTTAAGGCCTTGGAGAAAGGCGAAGGGGGGTGATGAGCAGGAAGTTGCAAGGCAGGGGTGGGGGTGGGGGGGTAAGGTGAGGCATTGGGGGCAATAAAAAGAGGAAAGAGGTATAGGAGGACTGTGGAGAGGTTCCCCGCTTTGTCCAGGCGGGAGTTGGGGTTCTCCTCCTCAGCTAACGCAAGGGCATCCGGAGAGGTTGCAAGTGAATCAGGCGCCGGTACTCGGGCCTCGCCAGAGCAGATTGGATGGACTGGCTCCAGAACTTCCCATGGGCTGAGTTAGGTTTTGCATGAATTGCCTTTCTTTGGGGAGCGTTGTGTTGCGTGTAGGGTTGAAACGGATCTCCAGAAATTGGCACCATAAGGAATGTTGTTGCCAGCAAATGAGGAACAGCTATGTACATCCTGTGTTATGTTTTTTTTTTTAAAGGATTGTGGGAGGAGGAGATTCTGCTTTGAAATGACAAAATAAAATGTGGCAGGGCTTCTGATTCTTGTTGGGTAGGGCATCTTTTCCATGGGGTTCATACCCCATTGCTGTTGGCTGGAGTCTAGAGGAGCAACAGTTAACAGGTCAAATGTGTGGCTCTGTTAGAGCGTGGCTGTTGAGTAGACATTTGTGGTTCATTACAAAACCCTAGCATTATTTGACACTCTCGAGCACATAAATTTCCAGTTTCTGGGCTTAGTAGCAAGTATTTAGCAAGTTGTTTTTCAAACTGCTTTTATGATCTTGGGAGAGATTATAGTGGTCACGGAAACAAGGGTGTTATATTTGAAACCGAGGAGATCCCAATCCAGCTTTCATCTGCTTATATGGGGATGCTGTGTGGCCAGAGGCTAGAATTATTTGATTCAGCCCACTTTCCCCACCTCCTTCTCTTGAATCCTAGTTTCCCCCTCCACCCTTCCTCTCCTTGGCAAAGAAACCCACAGACACAAGTGTTGTGCAACATCAATTTTGCAAGAACAATACAAGTAGCGGTTACCAGAACAATACTCTGTGGGTGACAGCTTGCAGGGTTAATGTCACATCGTCATTTTTAGACAGCAGATCTCCTAAAACTTATTCCTTTCCCTTCTACTCCCACCACTGAGGTTTAGCAATGAAGTCTGAGTGAAGAGCACAACCCATCACCGTAATAGAAAATATTATTAAAAAGTGAATTTGACCAGGCCGTGACAAAATGTAGTTATGTGACATGTTGGAACATTCTTGAGATAACTTCATTGCACTGAAAATTAATTGGGGAGAGGGGAGGAGAGAATCATCCTGTAGTGCAGAGGTGGGGAAGCTTTGGCTATCTGGGTATTGCTGAACTACAACTCCCATCTTCCTTGGCCATTGGGTGTTCTTGCTGGGGCTGATGGTAGCTGCACTTCAGCAACTTCTGGAGGACCATGGGTTCCCCACCCTTGCTGTAGGAAATTCAGCAGAGCTTAAAGACTGTCTGAATTGGCAAAGGGTAAGTGGAGACACAGGCCTCTTTCCCTGTGTCTTTGCTTGGAGACGGAGGTTTTGTGTGTGTGTGTGATGTTCTAGATTCGAGGCTGCCTTTGAACATTGTAGCTGGCCCTGGCATCTCTGTAAATAAGTATTATGGAAGTGACTATAGTTCGGTGGTTGAGCATGTGCTTTGTGTGTAGAACATCCCAGGTTCAATTGCTAGAATCCTAGTTAAAAACAAATAAGGTAACACATGATGAGAGAGCCTTTCTTTGCCTGAGATTCTACAGAGCTGCTGCCAATCAGAGTATATGATACAGGCTAGATGAGCAGTCAGACCTGGTATAAGTAAGGCATCTTCTAGGTTTCTAAGGATCTAAACTTGCAAGATCAGAGTTCGAATCTCAGCTTAAGCCTCAGCTTGGGCCTCTTACTGAGGTGGCTTTATGCAGATTGATGCAGACCCATATGCCTACTGTATCACATTGACAATTTGGAGACACCAGTATTTTGTCAGTTCTTCTCTGAATTAAAACCTGGAAGTGGGTGGTCCATTTCTGGAACTCCTGTTGACACACCTCCTCAGTGCTTATGTCCTAAAAATAGCCAAATTAAATGAGTGGTTCCTCCTGCGCCTTTAATAACTGTGTGCAGGAGGGCATTTTGTCAGGTGCAACATGTCCTGCAGGAATGAGAAAAGCAGCAGCTGCCAAAATTCCCTGGCAAACAACTATTAAAGGTGCAGGGAGCCTGCCCTTTTTGGCAGCCAGCCATTCTAGTCTCAGGAAATCCCACATTCCTGTTTGTGAAAAGTGAACCCTTATCCTCCATTTCCATCTGTAAAATGGGCAAAGACTGAAGGGGACTTTGACTGAAGGTCATATGAATGAGCGAACCAGGCCAAATCATTTGCAGTTGCAAGCCACAAACTGTTAACAGAGACATCAGTGTTTAGAAAATGTCAGAGAGGTGTTTCCCCAAGGCCTTAGGATGAATATTTTGGGACGGGATGTTGTGTGCAAAATGTTTTGAGTCGCAGGTGTCTCTTTTATTGACATGACAGAAATGGTGTGTTGACGGTTGGGAGAATTCTAGAGAAGTTTCTGAAAGGAGCAACAGTTCAGGATTCCTGAGTCTCTCTCCAGCACCAGCGAAAGAAGGAACAGGCAGCCAGGGAAGCACCAGGGAATGTGTGGGCAGCAGTGCTGCGTCTGAGCCGGAAAGGAGGCTGCATCTCAGCGCCAGTTGATATGTTATGCTTTTGAAGATGTAGGAGTCCTTCCAGCAGTTGCATATGTGGGTGGATGTCATGTGGGAAACATTAATGCAGACCTGTGAAATCTGGAATTCCATGATGGGCTGAGAGCTTGGCCTCGGGAGTGGGACACTGAATCCTGCATCAGTGGGGAAGCTAAGGAGATGTGGACGAGATCAGTGATGGGGGCGGGAGTCTCATGGAGAAGTCTCTGGGCTTGTAAAGCAAGAGCAGGATGCAATAGTTAACACATTTCACAGGTCTGTCGCAAAGACATTCCTGCTTGTTACTGATTTCCTCATATTATACAGTCATGCAGGTATTAATAGTCCTGGGAGTCTTCTATTAGAGGCGATGGATCTTCGTGGGAAACCTGTGGCCTTCCTTAAATTGTTGGACTCCAGCTCCCTTCCCACCAGCCAGGAAAGGTGGGAGTTCTGGTCCAGGTCCAACAACATCTGGAAAGCCACCCTAGAGGGGGGTCATGGGCCCTTATGTTTCAGGTTCTTTCTTTTTGCACCTCTTAAGCATTGTGATGTTGGACCATCCACTTGGCACTGCTCACACACTTCTGACAGGGTGTTACTGGGACAAAATGAGAGAGCAATCCAGACTGTTTAACTGCATGACACTTTCTATTTTTATACACACATATATATATATTTAAAAAGACTCCTGGCAATGAAATTGGACTAAGGAACTTACCGTATTTTTCGCTCTATAACACGCACCAGACCGTAACACGCACGTAGTTTTTAGAGGAGGAAAACAAGAAAAAAATATTCTAAACAAAACAGTGGATGTATGATTTTTGTGGTTCATGCTGTGGCCACAGACATGTGATCTGACAGTGAGTTTGGAGTAGCCCAATGCAAAAATCCTGAGGATCCATGTGGATCCATGCTTTGTAACCACGTTTTTGCACCACTGCGACCCCAGGCAACAGTGGGTGCGTGATTTTTTTGGTGCAAGATGTAGCCATGGATATGCTATGTGATCTGATGGTGAATTTGGGGTGACCCAGTGCAAAAATCCTGAGGATCCATGTGGATCCGTGCTTTGTAACCACGTTTTAAGTGGGGAGGGAAGGAAAAGCACTCAAGGGACAAGGAGCACGCATGGGGTGTGTGGAGAAGGATGCTGCTAATAATGCTATTTAGCGAGCTGAGTGGGGAGGAGAGAGGGACAGAGAGCCTGCTTGATTTAAAGGCGCCAACCGGACAGGAGCCGCTTACACTCGTGTACGCGGCTCCTCTCCTTTCCCGCTTTGCTCCTTTAAAGCAGGCTCTCTGTCCCTCTCTCCTCCCCACTCAGCGGCTCTTCTCCCGCTTTGCTGTTTCAAAGCAAGCCACGGAGGAGGGAAGGAAGGGGAACCATGGATCCTCTGCTCACAAATGCAGCAGATCCCCCCTGCCACCCGTAGGCATTCGCTCCATAACACGCACAGACATTTCCCCTTACTTTCTAGGAGGAAAAAAGTGAGTGTTATGGTGCAAAAAATACGGTAGTTGTTTTTCCTGCTTCATTCACAACAAATGCAAGGAGTTGTGTGTTTACCTGTTTGTGTCAGGTAAAAGTTAAAACATATGGTGGAGATATAAGGGAACACACTCTCTAGAGAGCATCACCCTGCACTGTAGTTTAAATAATAATTGCCACCCAACCAACCACCCTCCAGAGTAGCTCCTCCGGTTTTCTGTTTTGTTGGGTTAAGAAGCCCGTATGTCTTTCACCCTTCCATTTAATGGTTTCTCCTAGCTTTGAACTTACCATGTTTCAGTCCTGAGCAAGGAAGGACCAGCGGAGACTATCCCGTTATGGTGAATGGGGCACTCCCCAACCAACCTCTATCTGCCTTCTATCAGTCCATGGGTGGCATCAGCTAGCAACTTCCTCCTCAGTTTCAGTAGTGCAGAACTCAGCAGGGAAGAGGATGGGATTGCAAAGCTATACATGATTCGGCTCTTCGCATCATTGGCTCTGACTCCACCCTCTGCTGGTTTCCATGCCTTCCGATCCCAGTGGGTGACCTACTATTGCCATTGGGCACCTGTCTTCTTCCCCAAAAGGGGTCAATCACTGTGTCCCATATATAAAAAGCAGCCCCACACCAGAACAAGTTGTATATGCAAGGGATCCATGTGTACTTGCCCCCTCCCCTTGTTTATGGGTGGTTTTGTGCTTCACCTGGCAAATCCTTTTTAGGTCCTAGGCCCTGTCACTAAAAGTGGCTGTTGTGGAAATAAGAGATGGGGTTCCCTTTTCTGAGAGTGGCGCTGTCTTCAATCTGGCTCTCGCTCACTCAGGAGCCAACTGGAAAAGGAGTGTTTACTCTTCAGGTGCTCCTGTGTAGACAAGAGAAGTCTGCCCTTTCTTGCCAGTTCTAGTATGGGGTTGACTGCTTCACACAGCCACCTCCAAAGCGGTACAAGTTGCCTTTTGTGGGTGACCTCTGTGGGCTTCCCCCCTCCCTGTAAGGACCCACAGATGTGGGAGGTCCATGGCTGAATCGTCCAATTCCCCCTCCCTTCATTTAAAAGCAGACCCCAAAATTAGATCAGAGCAGTGGGCGGGTAGTAATCCTTTCTTCCTATACCACTTCCCGAATCTGGGTGTTTTCTATCAGGGCAAAGAGCGGTAGCTTTATTCAGTGTGTTTGTGTTAGATTTTGGTTGGGTAAATAGCTGTCTGGGGTTAAATCCCACCTTTTCCCTAGGGCTACTGCTCTGATCAAAATCAGAGTTCCCTGGTGGCTTCTAAGGTGTCATTTCTGGCGGGGGGGAGTTTGGAGCTCTGATCACAGATCTTGTGGTCTGCATCTCATGTACTTTGGCCCGTAAGTGATGGCAAAGCAGCAAAATGGCTATGACTCTTTCCTTTTGGTGTGTTGCTGGATGATGTTTTGTTCATGACCGTTTCCATTTGCTGGTATTTTTTCCAAGCTCTTTCTCTCTCCCCCAATATTATTTCTTTGTTCCCTTTACGTACTGGTAGGCATTTAGTAGTACCAAACTCATATCCAGGTGAGTTGAGTGGGTGTTGCATAGAGAAGGCTGGCTTGTCCCTTGTTTGATGCCTTTGTCTTTGATTCCAGGTAAGAGCAAAGAGGCTGAAATCAAACGAATCAACAAAGAGTTGGCCAATATCCGGTCCAAATTCAAGGGTAAGTCCTTCCTCGGCTATCTCTCCCTCCTCTCTCCCCCTTCCCCCTTCTTCCAATCTGCAGAATATGCTATTTCACACCATAGATCCCGACAGCAGCTCCATGAGTCAGCCTGACTTACTCACGGTTTCTCATTTTTTTCCTCTCTCTCTCTCTCTTCCTCCACGACTGTGCTTATCTGTAGTCATTGCCCAGGTTGGTTCAGCTCTCGCCGTCCATCTTTTCCTAATACCCTGTCAGCAATGCTCTGCAGAAAGGTGCTTTATGTAGTCCGTCCGCAGGCAACAGATGAGGGATGACCCTGTGCTCAGGGTCGAAATGCTAAACAGCTGGACTGTCCCAGCTGGACTGCCTCCACAAGCTGGACTGTCTCCAGCTGGGACATTGAAATGAACTTGAAAAGGTCTGATTCCCAGGCCCTCTGCTCTGACTGGTAGCCCTCCTTTCTCTTCCTCGAGAATCCGGGAGTTGCTTGTGCCAGCACCGTGCACAGTCCTGTTTTAAACCAGTCTCGTCCAATGTGGCCCAGGAATTCATTTCTCCAGACAACCTTTTGCTTCTGATGCACTGAACTCCCTCCCCACCCAAACCTGGATCCAGATATTGATCTTTGCATATTTGAAGCTTCTGGGACATGCTGGGGTGGGTGGGTGTTGCAGGGCTATTTGTGCTGCTGGAGAAGGGCAATTTTCTCTGCTTCCGCTGCAAAACAAAAGAGGGGAGGCTTGGAACAGAAACCCAAACTGTGTTCCTGGTTGGATTAGCAGAATTTAACAAGCTCAGTTCCTCAACAGTCTTTGTGGTCAGGCCATTCAACAAGGAGGGCGGGGTAGGGCAGTCAAAAGTGCACAGTTGTGCAATTTGTGACAAGTTTCTTTTAAAGGAGGAGCATGTTTGAGTTAGGAGCATGACAGAAACCAGCAGTCCTTCAGGTACAATCCACTTATCCTCCCACCCCTGGGAACACAAGAATGTTGTTAAGGACCAGACAACCAACCCCGATTATTTCACTTTGTGTCATGTGGCAGATAGCAGTGATTACCACAAATGCATACGCTGCTTAGATCCTCTTTATCCCACCCAACTCTCACTAGTCTACTTCCAGAGAACCTTGTGGTTCCCAGAACCCCATCCCAAAAAATCCAGTCATTTTGGTTCCTTCCTTACACTGGCCGTCTCTACCGAACCTCCTCCTTTTCTCAAAGCACAGCATGATCTAGCTGTCTGGGAATCTCTGTGGATGTTAACTGCATGCTGCAGTTTTGAAACTGCCCGCAGAATCCTTTGAACCTGAGTGTTCGTTTCAATTTGAAGGGGAAAGTTTCTAGCTCTCATTATTTGGCAGCGTGTTGTCTTTTGGCAGAAATGGTTACCTGGGTAGAGTTCCTTTGCTCAGTGTTGCTTTGGATCCCTCTCACTCCCCGTCCCCGCGTGTTACGAAACAGTTACGTCTTCCTCGGTTCTGATCAAGAATAGCTCAGATGGTGGGGAGAAGAATGAATGGCACAACTACAATGCGACAGCAGTTTGACCTTCTATTCTATGAACAGCTCCTTTGCAATTTCAAATTGAAGACTTTTATAATATATCGTCGTAATTTCCTGCATTAGTGTTGCAGGAGAGGAATGGATCTTCCGTGAGCTCCATTGCCCCCGAGGTTGCATCACAAATGTGTTTTACGATACTCCTGGGCACAGTATTTCCCCCCATCTCTCATGTATGTACGCATGCACGCAAACACACTAAGTCATGCCTGCATACATTGGAGGCAAGTCTTTCAAAGTGCCTGCTTTTTGTGCAGAAGGTCCCACCTTCAATCTGCGGCATCTCCAGATGGGGCTGGGAGACAGCGTTACCTGAAATGCTGGAGAGCTGCTGCCAGTCAAAGTAGACAGTAGTGAGACAGATGGACCAATGACCTGACTCTGAATAATAATAATAATAATAAATTTTATTTATACCCCGCCCACCCCAGCCAGAGCCGGGCTCAGGGTGGCTAACACCAGTAAAATTACAGTAAAATCATAATGGGGAGGGGGGGAATACCCAATTTAAAATACAGGTTAAAATGCAATTTAAAATGCAGCCTGATTTTAAAAGTAGCCCATAGATCAAAACCGTAAGGGAGGGAAAACATAAGGGTCAGACTGAGTGCAAACCAAAGGCCAGGTGGAACAGCTCTTGTCTTGCAGGCCCTGTGGAAAGATGTCAAGCCCCTCAGGGCCCTAGTCTCTTGTGACAGAGCATTCCACCAAGTTGGGGCCAGTACTGAAAAGGCCCTGGCCCTAGTTGCGACCAATCTAACCACCTTGCGACCTGCGACCTCCAAAATGTTGTCATTTGTGGACATTGAGGTCCTCTGCGGGGCCTACCAGGAGCTTCCTAAGCAATTCCTTCTTTGTTGGAAAGAGACTGGAGAAAAAGAAGAGAGTTCTCTTCTTCTCTGCAATGCTGGTTAGAGTAGCCTGGAAAGGGATGCAATCTTCCTTCCCTTACCTGAAAAGGGATGTTTAGTATAGCACTTGCCAGAGGCCAAAGTGGAATCTAATCCAGAGATTTTGTGGACAGAACTTCTGGCACTTTTGAGCCCACTTGCACCAGTGGGAAGAATCTGCTGAGATGGAACAGAATCCAAGCCTGAGAAACTCTATCCTTGAGATGGGAAGGGGATCAAGTTTCTAGTCATTTACTTATTTAACAAAATCCATATGCCATTTTATTATTGCTTTTTTAAAATTGGTTTTTATTAAATATTGTGTTACAAAACAAACAGGAAACAGAGATTCCACTTTTGAGTCATAGTGTCTTTTTCACAGTTCGTTTACATTCGGTATGAGACACAATTGTCATAGACTTCGTGCGGTTTTGGGGAGGGGGAAATACCGCTAGTGTTAAAAAAACCAACCAACCTCTAAGCGGTTTGCAAAAATACAAAATAAAACATTCAAATTGTTTATTAAAAAAACCAGTTAAAACCATTATTTTAAGCAAAAATTTTAAAAAATATTAAAGTCAGCAGTAGCTAAAAAAAGAGATGAAAGACATGCAACGTCTACATAGAATCGTATAATTGTGGAGTTGGAAGAGACCCCAGGGGTCATCTAGTCCAACCCCCTGCAATGCAAGAATCTCAGCTAAAGCATCCATGACAGATGGCACTGAAAAAGAATACAGTGGAACCTTGTCTTACATCCGCCTCTTGTCGCGGACGTTCCAGGTTGCGACTGCGGCAAACCCAGATGTAAACATCGGGTTTGCTGCAATTCGCACATGCGTGGAAGCAGCTTCTGCCATCTATGCGTGCGCACAAGTGGCTGCCGCCTCTATGCATGTGCAGAAGTGCGCTGCCGCCGAATGCACATGCGCACAACGGCGCCTCTACTAGCATCTGGTTTCGCCCAGCGGATGGGCCTCCGGAACGGATTATGATCGTAAGTGGAGGTTGTACTGTACAGTGAAGGCAGGAGATCCAAAGTGTAGGTGCTGCCACACTAAAAATATAGATTACTTACAAGTGTGGAATGGGCATTATTTGGCCTCTGTAACAGTGCATATATGGGGTAAGGGGATCCCATAGGTAAACTTGCTGTGCCCATTAAGCAGGTCAGGCATCTCTGTTAGGCAGAGTGAGGTGGCCATCTCAGGCAGCATTTTTGGGTGCTATGGAAGAGCAGCGAATGGCTGGCAATTTTAATTTATTAGTATTGTACTTTTAGCTGGAGAAAGGGACTTGTGGGATTGGCTGCGTCAACTAAAATAACACGGCTGGCCTTGAGTAATCTGTACCTTCCCTTAAGGAGGGGGCGGGCATTCGCTTCTGCACCTCAGGCAGCAAAATGGTCTGTTCTGGCCCAGAGTGAAATTGCAGGGACCATGTAAAATGACCAGTGGTCATCCAGATGTTGCTGGGACCCCCCCCCCATCATGTCTGACTATTTCCCATCCTGGCTAGGGCTGATTGGAGTTTGAGTCCAACAGCACATCAACACCCCTGTTGAGATGATCATTTCTCTGATCTCCTGACGCGAATCTCCTACTTTTATTCTTGTTTTAATTGTCATGCTCTTTTAATGGGTTTGTTTATCAATTATGAATGTCGTAATGTGGCTGTTTTCCTATGTGTTTCAATTAGTGGCAGCTGTATTTTTATTATTGGTTTTGTTCATGTTATTTTGAGAATAGGCTTTCATTTGTTTGTGGACCTCCTTGGTATTTGAAAGGTATCACATAAATTCTTTTAATAACAATAACAATGGGGGGGGGGGAGCGTGTTTCACAGGTTTCCCTTCTCTGAAATTCTCTGCGACAGTTAGAAGAAATTTTCTGAGAACGCCTGCCTCCTTCTCAAGCCCACCCTGGGCAGCTCAAAATAGGAAAGCATTCTGAAGGCTTGATAGTACTAGACTGGAAAGCTTTTGCCACTGCTTCCCTCCCTTCCCACGCTCCTGGCTTGCAAGACACCTCTCTCCTTCCAGCAGTGCCAGTGACCTCCCCCTTCCCTCTCCCTCTTGCTCTTTCCCCTCTCAGGAGATAAAGCCTTGGATGGTTACAGCAAGAAAAAATATGTCTGCAAGCTGCTTTTCATATTCCTGCTGGGCCATGACATCGACTTTGGTCACATGGAGGCTGTCAACCTGCTCAGCTCCAACAAGTACACAGAGAAGCAAATTGTGAGTAGGCTTGAGGGGCCTGGGGTGGGAGGCTGGGGGTCTCCCCCCTTTCCCCCCCCAGTTAAACTGGCTCCAGCTCTCCCTTGGTCTCAGTTCCCCATCTGTATAAATAGATATAAAGGAGCAACAGGCAGCTACCTCCCAATGTTATCATCAGAAGTCAGAGTGCCAAGTCTGTAAGGAATTTATTAGGGAAGGCTGTGCTAGTTATTTTCATTACATTGTTGTTATTCACTCCAAGAGGGTCAGGATATTATATCCCACATATAGTCCTCCCCCCCCTCCCCCTGGGACATCTAGGGATTTTTTTTAAATAAAAAAAATACGGACAAGTATTCTTCTGTTGTGCAACATACATACACACACCTCTGTGTTGGTGTCATCCAGGAACAAGTTTTCCACCTTTTCTGGTGTTTTATGTGAACTACGCCTGGATAGAGGTTTCAGTCTAGGCCTCTGTATCCCAGATGTGGGGAACCTTTCACTCTCTGGATGCTGTGGAACTACAACTCCCATCAGCCCTAGCAAGCATGGCCAGGGATGATGGGAGTTGAAGTTCAGCAGCATTGGCCTCTGGGCCAATGATTATCCACACCCACAACATTCCAATTCTCCCCACTTTTTCACTTTCCTCACATGGTATTGTTCTTTTTCTTCTTTGTATTTTGAGCTATTTGTATCAATGAGGAAGTATCATGCCTGTTAAATAAAGGAGTGACCCATGGCACTGACAATCAACTCTAAAATGCTTTGGATGGAAACAGTTTGGCTGCCAGGGTGTGTCGCTGCAGGAATTGTAGTGCAGAAAGGAGCTCCTGTTTGCTGAACTGTACAGCACATTATATGGCTGCATGCACACCGTATATTTGCCGCACATTTACAGCCCACCCCTCCCGCAGATAATCCTGGGAACTGTAGTTTGTGCTGGGAATTGTAGTTCTCCGTGTGGTGAACTACGGTTCCCATGAGTCTTTGGGGCAAGCCACGTGCTTTTCATGTACGGTGTGCACACGATCTTTGTCTGCCTCGGGAGCGCCAGCCAACTTCGTTCTGGCCCCTTTTCTGCTGTGGGACAGAGTGGAGAAAAGCCTCTATGATTTTGTGGGTTGTGTGTCCATGCCTCTCCCCTAGCTCAGAATGTGCCTGCATGTGTATTTATCTGCCTCTTCTCTGCCCTAGGGTTACCTGTTCATTTCGGTGCTGGTGAACTGCAACAGCGAGCTGATCCGCCTCATCAACAACGCCATCAAGAATGACTTGGCAAGCCGCAACCCCACCTTCATGTGCCTGGCCCTGCACTGCATTGCCAATGTGGGCAGCCGTGAGATGGCCGAGGCCTTTGCCTCTGAGATCCCCCGCATCCTGGTGGCCGGGTAAGCCAGTCCCACTAGAGAAAGCCGTTTGCTCAGAGGGAGTCTATCCACAAGAGGCAAGGAACATACAGTGGTACCTCTGGTTACGTACTTAATTCGTTCCGGAGGTCCGTTCTTAACCTGAAACTGTTCTTAACGTGAAGCACCACTTTAGCTGGTGGGGCCTCCTGCCGCCACCGCACCGCCAGAGCACAATTTCTGTTCTCATCCTGAAGCAAAGTTCTTTACCCGAGGTACTATTTCTGGGTTAACGGAGTCTGTAATCTGAAGCGTATGTAACCTGAAGCTTATGTAACCCGAGGTACCACTGTATACAGGTCTGGTTTGTGTCTCCAGGCATCCTTTTTACAGTGGTACCTCAGGTTAAGTACTCAATTCGTTCCGGATGTCCGTTCTTAACCTGAAACTGTTCTAAACCTGAAGCACCACTTTAGCTAATGGGGCCTCCTGCCGCTGCCAGGCCGCCGGAGCACGATTTCTGTTCTCATCCTGAAGCAAAGTTCTTAACCCAAGGTACTATTTCTGCGTTAGCGGAGTCTGTAACCTGAAGCGTATGTAACCCGAGGTACCACTGTATTGTGATCTGATGTGATGTGATGCCATCTGTGCGGTTATGCACAATCTCACTTCCAGTGCTCTTTGTGCCTCCAAAGGTTTTGTGGCAGCCATCCTGCTTCATTCCCAGTTGGTGCCTGTCCTGTAAGTTTCCTCCCAAAACCCTGGAACCTTTTATGCCGCAAATGTTCAGGGTGGTGTTTTTTGTTGCCCATGTTTTGCACTCTAGCTAGACAGCAGTAACACAGGGAAAGTATCGCAGAACAGCTAACAAAGCGGAACAGTGTGGACGGTCCCAATATCAATCCACTGCTAACGTACTGTTATTTCATCAAATTTTCTGTTTTACAATTTAAAACACTCATTTTACATGCTTAAGATATCAATAACTTCCCTTCTTCTCTTTCCATGGTTCACTTTACATATTTTAAATCCCTGCATATTTTACAAAAACTATACCATTCAGTATTCCGTTACTGCATCCATCAAAACTTATTTTCACTGCTGAGTTTTTCTTACTGCTGCCAGCGTTTTCAGCTGAAGACAATTTTTTCCCGTATAGTCAATAAACATTTTCCAATCTTCTTTAAACATATGTTCTTCTTGTTTTCTTCTTCTATATGTTAAGTCTGCAAGTTGTGCATATTCTGTCAACTTAAGTTGCCATTCTTCTTTGGTTGGGACCTCGCTCATTTTCCATTTTGAGGTGAACAAAACATAGGCCGTAGTACTAGCATACATAAATAACCTTTTTTTGACACCTGGGAATTTTCATCTGAATTATCCCTAACAGAAAGGACTCGGATTTTTTGGGAAAGTACTTTTAAACATTTTTTTCAGTTGATTATGGATCATCAGTTGCTCTGCTATTGACCTGTTCTCCTTCCTTCACCCGTCTTGACCCACCTATTTGTCTGCAACTGCCCCTCAGTGACACCATGGATAGCGTGAAGCAGAGTGCTGCCCTCTGCCTCCTGCGCCTCTACAAGACCTCACCCGACCTGGTGCCCATGGGAGAGTGGACGTCGCGGGTGGTGCACCTTCTGAATGATCAGCACATGGTACGTAACCCCCCCCCCCAGCCTCTGCTTCCTAGGGGCTGACGTATGGAACCACCCCCGCAATAATACACATATGGTACGCCCTCCACATCCACTCAGACACTATCTATCACATGGCCCATCGCTCGGGGAACACTGAGCTATTTGTACCCAGAGCTCAAAAAAAGAGTAGCCGGAGAGTTACGCTGCCGAGAGTAAAGGTTCTTCATAACCAATAGGTTTTATTGGTCTGTATATGGTGACTCTGGGGTGCACGAATGAGGGGCAGCATACAAAGCTTTGGCCACCAACAGACCCCTGTTCATAGCTGTCAACTTTCAGATTTGAAAATAAGGGATCAGCAGCCTCATCTGTCCCGGGGGACAGTCTACGGGATATCTAACAATCCGGGATAGCAATGGGAAATGGCGCTGGAATAAGGGAATTTCCTGCAAAAAAAGGGAAGGTTGACAGCTATGCCCCTGTTTAACTAAAGCATGCTATTTGCTCCAAAATGCTCCTATGTAGTAGGACTTGGCACATCCTTTACTTCTCCTTCTATCATATGCCCAGTGGGAGCCAGAAAGTGGTGCATTTGTGCCTCCTTTAGCCCCTTTTGAAGTGGTCTCACTTGGCACACCATCTTTCTCACCCCCCCCCCCAAAAAAAACACAGGGCGTGGTCACAGCTGCCGTCAGCCTCATTGCCTGCCTCTGCAAGAAGAATCCTGATGACTTCAAGACATGCGTTTCGTTGGCTGTATCCAGGCTCAGCAGGGTGAGGTCTGGGTTTGGGGGGGGGGATGCACAGAAGAGAGCAGGGCACCAATTATTTTGCCTTTTAGTTACTGCTCCAGTTGGTTGTACTTGTGCGAGTCTTATTTCTGGGAACCAGGATTCCCCTAAACTAGGTGGGTGCTTCTCTCCCAGGGCTGAGAGCAGGCACAGTGATTTTCATCAGGATTATAGTGGGGAGAGAAAGGGTTAACCTCCCCCCCAAAAAAATCCCTCTGTTTGCTGCAGCCCCAGTGAAAATAGTGGCTGCTCTGCACCTGCTTCCAGTTGTTTAAGGAAAGAAACATGGAGCAGGAAGTGATGCATTAAGCGCATCAGTTCCTCTGCGTCTGTCCACAAAGGCTACGACTCCCTCTCTTGTTGTTTTGCTGTATTTTGTACAGATTTGAGCTGTGGTACTTAAATTGGGAAAACAGCATGGGGGGGAATGAACCCCACTGTCTGGCAAAGTGACTCTGATTCCCATCTGATCACTACAATCTGGTTCCCGCTTCTCCCCATGACTGTTTCTAAGCACATCTAGTTCCCCTGCCAGGGCTTTGTGTTAATGGGTTTACGTAGATGTGGGGAACTTCAGGCCTAAAGGACAAATGCGGCCCTCCGAGCCTCTATGTCTGGCCCTTGGAAGCCCATACTCCTCACTGGCCGCGCTTCTCACTCCCAGATGTTTTTGCCTGGCCGGAATGTATCCTTGAACTCTTCCTGGATGGAATCCACCCACTTGCTCCAACCACTTTTGCCACTGACCCCACACACCACTGCCATGTGGCCCCCCAGAAGATTGGCCAGAAGTGAAAGTGGCCCCTGGACTGAAAAGGGTTCCCCACCCCTGGACTAATGAATAATGAGGATGTTCTAATATAGCTGACTCACTGGTGGTTTGTGTTGCTGTGTTTTTACATCCCACCCCCTGCCCCTCTGGCAGATTGTGTCGTCGGCCTCCACAGACCTCCAGGACTACACCTATTACTTTGTGCCAGCCCCCTGGCTCTCGGTCAAGCTCCTGCGGCTGCTGCAGTGTTATCCTCCCCCAGGTAAGAGGTGGCCTGGAATTGGGGGGGGGGGCAGCCACTTTGGGTGGCACCCAAGCCCTTCTACGCAAGAAGGCTTTCTCGGTAGTGGAACACCCTCCCACCAGATGTCAAGGAAATAAACAACGACCTGACTTTTAGAAGACAAATGAAGGCAGCCCTGTTTAGGGAAGTTTTTAATGTTTGATGTTTTACCGTGTTTTTAATGGTCTGTTGGGAGCTGCCCAGAGTCGCTGGGGAAACCCAGCCAGATGGGTGGGGTATAATTAATTAATTATTATTATACCTTATTGGCCCAAATATAAGATGCACCCACAAATAAGACGCACATTTAACATTCAAGGCTTACTTGAGGGTGTGGCACTACCACTCTGAATGGGGGGCAGACGGTGCTCAGCGTCCCCCTCCCCAAGCCGGCGCCAGTGCTTGATTACGAATGTGCTGCGCGCTCACCTCCTGGCACTACCAACTCCTGGCATTACCTCCTGAAGCTGGCGCCAGCCGCCCCCGCCCCCTGTTCAGGGTGGTATTGCTGAGAGGCGGGTGCGCAGCGCTCGGTTCTGAATACAAGCCGCAGTCAGAATTTGGAAAAAAAAGGTGCGACTTATATTCAGGCCAATACAGTAGATGGATTGTGTGCAAGGCTCTGTCCAGTAGTTCTCTCTGGGCAATTATTCCAGGCTGCCTGTAGGCTCTGTTTAGTTAACAGAAAGCTGGGGATTCTGGATTCTCTGGCAGGCAGAGGCTAGCGGATTAATGGGATCTGGCAGCCAGGTATATCCAGATCTCTCTGCTAATATAATGAAGTTCATTGCCAAGGTTATCAGATGTCGCTGTTCTGAAGTGCTGGACGCTGCTCGTACTTCCCAGCAGTCCCGCTTTCCTCCCATCTCATTCTAAATCCCAGAAATTGAATTAAGTGGTTTTCATGTTGGCCTTCAAATCACAAGAAGGCCCCTTCAGACCAAACACCTATCCGGTCCAGCACCCTCTTCTCCCAGTGGCCAACCTGATGCCTATGGGAAGCCTGTCAGCAGGACATGAGCAAAAAGCGATAGGTCGGTGGTAGAGCATCTGCGTTGCATACAGAAGGTCTGAGCTTTTAACCCCCGGCATCTCCAGATAGGGCTGGGAGAGACCCCAATCTGAAATCCTGCTAGTCTTAGTCAACACTGCTGAGCTAGATAGACCAGGGGTCTGACTCCATAAAGCACTCTCCCCACTTGTGATTCCCAGCAATTGCTATTTGGAGGCATTACTGCATCCAATCCTGGTGTTATAGCCCAATAATAATAATAATAATAATATAATAAAATAATAATTTATACCCCGCCCATCTGGCTGGGTCCCCCCAGCCACTCTGGGCTGCTTCCAAAAAAACCACTAAAATACAATAACCTATTAAACATTAAAAGCTTTCCTAAATGCCTTTAAATGTCTTCTAAAAGTTTGGTAGTTATTTTTCTCTTTGACATCTGGTGGGAGGGCGTTCCACAGGGCGGGCGCCACTACGGAGAAGGCCCTCTGCCTGGTTCCCTGTAACTTGGCTTCTCGCAGCGAGGGAACCACCAGAAGGCCCTCGGTGCTGGACCTCAGTGTCTGGGTGGGAGTGGAGACGCTCCTTCAGGTATACTGGGCCTTTGAGGCCGTTTAGGGCTTTAAAGGTCAGCACCAACACTTTGAATTGTGCTCGGAAACGTACTGGGAGCCAGTGTAGGTCTTTCAAGTGTTATATGGTCTCGGTGGCCGCTCCTAGTCACCAATCTAGCTGCCGCATTCTCTAGCAGGTGAACTTCCTTGTTCTATAGAACTTCTCATTGGGTAGGTACTTGAAAGCTTGACCTCACTTGGTCCAGCTTAGCTGATGAAATGCTGGCCTTGAACTGACCCAGTAAAAGAGGTTACTTTATCTATTTCTCATCTCTTCTTTCTCAGAGGCCTGGCTCAGATGTAACAGGAAACCCCAGTTGCCTGCTATGCGAATGAGTCTCCCGCAAATTTATGCTGCTCCCCTTTCCCCTCCCCATCTCCTTTTCTGCATGTCAGAGAAGGGGACCTAACATTTATATAGCATCACAAAATGTCACAGCTTTTGTTCAAACATCTTTATTGGAAGCCTTCAACACACTTGGAGGCTGTGTGGGAGCCAAGAACCAACCTAATTCCCACCTCCCAGACTAGTACACGGATCAGAACATCATTAACCTTTGGGTTTTCAATACTCTTCTCAAAAAATCTTACCCAAATGCATGTTTGGGATGAAAAGCACTTAGAAATCCATACACTAAGATGAAACATGTATTTAATGACGTATTTTGTGCTACGTATTCAAGGACAATTTTTTTGTACGGATTTTAAAAAGCAGCCCAGATTACTGCAGAAATGGGAGGGAAAGGATTTTTGAATGAACATGTGTGAAATTAACATGGGCTGGAGTTAGATTGGTCTATCCATAGGGAAAATTTAAGGAGATGTGAATGGTCATTGGGAGCCGTGAACCTTGGGTTCTCCTCTTGCTGGGACCTGCTCTAACATGCTGCTTCCTGGCCTTTGCACCCTCTGCTTTTCCCCGCAGAAGATGCAGCAGTGAAAGGACGTCTGGTTGAGTGCCTGGAGACTATACTCAACAAGGCCCAGGAGCCACCCAAGTCCAAGAAGGTCCAGCACTCCAATGCCAAGAATGCTATCCTCTTTGAAGCCATCAGTCTCATCATCCACTACGACAGGTGAGCACCTCACCCTTGTTTGTTCTTCCTTAGCACGGAGACCCTTTAAATGAGATGGTGGGAAAAAATGACTGGTGCTTTTCCAAAGATATCTCACTGTGCAAGTGTCTCAGTGGTCCTTGGCAGCCTTTAGATGGCAGCACCAGGGCAAAACCAGAGAGGGGAAGGGGCAGGTATGTGAAAAGCTACATTTTACCATATGTGGTGGACGTGTAGAGCGGCTAAGGGATTTTGAGAGATGATTTATAATGAGATAAAGAAAATATTTAAGGCAACTCTCCCCAAAAGCACAGAAACTTTTCTTCTAGGGATAACTGGGTGTGCCCCAAAAATCAGACAAATTAATTTTAATAGGCAACAACTGCAGCGAGAATGCTAGATGCGCAAAACTGGTGAAACGAGGCTGCATCTAACTAAAGAACATAGGCAACTGAAATTGATGGAATATGCAGAAGTAGCAAGCTTAACTAGTAAAATTAGAGATCAAGATAAGGCAGTGTTTAAGGAGGATTGGAAAATGTATGTAGATTACTTTGAAAATCAATGTAAACATGTTAAAACTCAAGTAGGTTTTGCGTAGGAACAGCAGTAAAATATATATCTGAGAATGTCATGGAGGAGTTAAGGCATAGAATAATTATGATATGCAACTATGGCTTTTCCCCAAACTGGGGGACATTGGATGACAGTCTGGTTGATTTGAGAGGTGTGCAGTCAGCCGCTGAGCTCCGCTGGGATGTCCCTCCTGCCATGCTCAGATGGGGCTTAACTTTGTTGACCCACAGCGAACCCAACCTGTTGGTGCGGGCATGTAATCAACTCGGCCAGTTCCTACAGCATCGGGAAACCAACCTCCGATACCTGGCCCTCGAGAGCATGTGCACCCTGGCCAGCTCTGAATTCTCCCACGAGGCCGTCAAGACCCACATTGAGACCGTCATCAACGCCCTCAAGGTCAGAACCCATTGAAGGCACGGGCAGAGCAGATGGGCGAGGTAGCTTGCACGCAGAATGAGATTGAAGGGCTAAGAGAGTGTGGTCTCCCCTAACCCTCTCCCCATGTGCTGGTGGTGAAATTTGGGGGGGGGGAGAGATTTCACTGGGTATTCCCCATTGGGAGATGGAGTCTGCCAACATCTCAAGGGCCACAGCCTCCCATCCTTGGACTGAGGAGCATAGCAGGGAATGAGCCGCTGGAAAGCAATGGAGCATCACTTCAGCCTGGTACCACCTGCATGCTCTTCTTGCTCACCTAATCCTATCCAACTGCTGGTTGTTATAGTGGGCTTGCAGAAGATGCTCCATTTGTAAGTGTGAAAGCCAACCGGGGCAAGACGGGGGTTATGCCGCAGGCAAGAACTTTCTGGTCTCACACTCCCGGCCTCTTTTTCCCAGACGGAGAGGGACGTGAGCGTGCGCCAGCGGGCTGCCGATCTCCTCTACGCCATGTGCGACCGCACCAACGCCAAGCAGATCGTCTCGGAGATGCTCAGCTACCTGGAAACGGCAGATTACTCTATCCGCGAGGAGATTGTGAGTGGGTTTTTCAGCTCGTGGGAAAGAGAGCTGTTTCTTCATCTAGGTAGATTTCTGTGAAACAGCAAGGGGGGAAGGGAGGCCAGGAGTTTCCAAATCCTCTTAAAGGGATTTGGCATGCAGGGTGGCCCTACTGTTGGGCAGAGCAGGGCAGCTGCCTCAGTTGGCATATGATGGAAATTTGGAGGGAGGCAACAGTGGCAGCTTTCTGGCTGTTTGCACTGAGATCCCCCAACCACTAGCCATTCCCTTTGATTGGAGAACAGAGATGTGTACGCTTGACTGCATAGGAAGATGTTTTCCCTTTGCCAGTGTTGAAGTTATGTTCAGCTGCCATTCTAATCGGCTTCTGTATGTGGAATGGTGGGGAGGAGAGGAGGCACAGCACCATCAGCATCAAGGTGTCGCGTCAGCCTTGCTGGTACTGAAGAGTAGCCCCTAGTGGCTTAAAGCCTGATAGGAACTGGCAGGGCAGGGCAATATTTCATTTTCCATATCTCCCAGGTGCTGAAGGTGGCTATCCTTGCTGAGAAATATGCAGTGGACTACAGCTGGTATGTGGACACCATCCTCAATCTGATCCGTATCGCCGGGGACTATGTGAGCGAGGAGGTCTGGTACCGCGTCATCCAGATCGTCATCAACCGAGACGACGTCCAAGGCTATGCTGCCAAGACGGTCTTTGAGGTGGGTGGGGTTGGTCAGAGTCATTGACCGTTTCTTCTTTGCCTTCCCTGTCGCTCTGGGGAGAAGCCTTCTCTTCCCTCTATATTGTTGGACTACAACTCCCATTGGGACATGGGTGGCGCTGTGGTCTAAACCACAGAGCCTAGGGCTTGCTGATCAGAAGGTTGGCGGTTTGAATCCCTGCGACGGGTTGAGCTCCCGTTGCTCGGTCCCAGCTCCTGCCGACCTAGCAGTTTGAAAGCACATCAAAGTGCAAGTAGATAAATAGGTACCACTCCGGCGGGAAGGTAAACGGCGTTTCCATGCGCTACTCTGCTTCACCAGAAGCAGCTTAGTCATTCTGGCCACATGACCCGGAAGCTGTCTGCGGACAAACACCAGCTCCCTCGGCCTATAGAGCGAGATGAGCGTGCAACCCCAGTCGTCCGCGACTGGACCTAACAGTCAGGGGTACCTTTACCTTTACAACTCCCATTAGCTACAGCCAGAATATGGCCAGCAGTCAGGCATGATGGGGGTTGGAGTCCAACAGCATCCTCAAGGCCACAGTTTCCCCAGTGCTGCTTGCTCTGTGGGTGGGTAAGATGCGTGTCCAGCTGCCTCGCTAAAAAGGTACCCCTGCCCGTACGGGCCAGTCGTGTCCGACTCTAGGGTTGTGCGCCCATCTCACTTAAGAGGCCGGGGGCCAGCGCTGTCCGGAGACACTTCCGGGTCACGTGGCCAGCGTGACGAGCTGCTCTGGCGAGCCAGCACCAGCGCAGCACACGGAAACGCCGTTTACCTTCCCGCTATAAAGCGGTACCTATTTATCTACTTGCACTTGGGGGTGCTTTCGAACTGCTAGGTGGGCAGGAGCTGGGACTGAACGACGGGAGCTCACCCCGCCGCAGGGATTCGAACCGCCAACCATGAGATCGGCAAGTCCTAGGCACTGAGGTTTTACCCACAGCGCCACCCGCGTCCCCCTAGCCGCCTTGCTAGAGGGCTGCTAATTGATACAAAATAGCCTGAGAGGAATTCTGCAAATCTAGGTGAATTGATTTCGCAATAGTAATAAAGTGTCTGTCACAAAGGGTACGTCTAGATGTAACTGTCAACAAGAACAGGGGGCGGGGGGCAGTTTCAAGACCTATAAACACAAGGAACAGCCAACCAGCTCTGTGCGAATCAGTCTTTGTCACAAACTGCAGAGGAGGGAGAGAAGTCTGCCCTAAGCTCAGTCCTGGGGAGATGGCAGTCCATGTGTCACAAGCTGTGATGAATGCGCTTCTACAGCAGGCTCATCACTGAATTTATGTACAGGCAGAGACCATTTTAAGCATGTCCAGTATGTGCGCAACCGCACCTCAAACCTGGAAGCGACCCGAAAATGTCACAAAAGGGGGCAATAACCTGTAACTGTAATAACCTGCAATTTCATAAGAGTATGTATTTAAAGTACCGTATTTTTCGCTCTATAAGACGCACCAGACCACAAGACGCACCTAGTTTTTGGAGGAGGAAAACAGGAAAAAAAATATTCTGAATCTCAGAAGCCAGAACAGCAAGAGGGATCGCTGTGCAGTGAAAGCAGCAAATCCCTCTTGCTGTTCTGGCTTCTGGGATAGCTGCGCAGCCTGCATTTGCTCCATAAGACGCACACACATTTCCCCTTACTTTTTAGGAGGGAAAAAGTGAGTCTTATAGAGCAAAAAATATGGTAGATGAATAAATGAACAAATTAAATTAATTTGCATATGTAGAAGATATTAAGAATAAATTTAAGGAACTGCAGAAAGAGGGGGAAGGAAGCCAAGTTTTGAAATGTTAAAATGACTGTAAATTTTTTGAAATGTATAAACCTGAAAATCATAAATATTAAAAAGGGGGGACAGGGACTGAATGGGGTGCTTGCAGCCTTTTTCAATGGTGTTCCAAGTATGCGCAGTTTCACTTAAACGCATGGTTCCTTGGAACACAACCCCCACATAAATTGGGAGTTGCCTGTGCGTCTCAATTCAGCCACAGTTCTTTCTGGGTTAGAGACCCAGAATGAACCTAAAAGAGCCTGAGGCAATTGCGGGGTTAGTCCTTTTGAGACACGTCAGGAAAAGGGCTAAATCATGGCCTGATGGTTGCATGGGAGCCTGAATGGGGGCTTATTTTTTCTCCCTGCCTCCCTACAGCACATTACAGATCTCCTTTGTTTTCCATAGGCCCTACAGGCGCCCGCCTGCCACGAGAACATGGTCAAAGTTGGCGGCTACATCCTAGGGGAGTTTGGGAACCTCATCGCTGGAGATCCTCGCTCAAGGTTGGGAACTGTGGGAGGAAGGGATGGGGGCAGTGCCTAGGAGAGGGACCCACTAGCCCACCTTATTGGTGACAGGTTCTTTCTCTCCATCCGCCGATCCTCAAAACAGCTCTGAGTGAGATGCCTCCTCAAGGCCATTCAGTGGGCTGGTTCTCTCCAATCCCTGTGGCAGCAACCCTGTGGTTCTCAACCCTGGAAGCCCTTATTTTACCATTCCAGTGGGCGCTAGGCCAAGCATGTCAGGGAGAGGGCAAGGCTAGGACTCTGGCATGTAGATTCTTTTGGGGGGTGGGATTTATATTTAATTTTTTTGGTATGATCCTTCGAACACGTGAGCCTCCACCTGCAGTCTGAAATGAATGGTACAGCCCAGGGACAGGTTAGCAGCCTCACAGAGAACTAGGGCTTAGTTCTGTTTGCAGAGGCTCGTCCCCTTCTTTTCTCAGCTTGGTGAGGCACATTGGCATGCCTTGCTTCAGGTCCCCTCCCCTCTGCTATGCTGACTTGGAGTGTGGCAGCTAAAAATGGTGCCACCCTCAACCCGTGCCTCCTTCCTGAAGGAGCGTCTCCACCCACATCACTCAGTCCAGACACTGAGGTCCAGCACCAAGGGCCTTCTGGCAGTTCCCTCACTGCACAAAGTGAAACTACAAGGAACCAGACAGAAAGCCTTTTTGGTAGTCACATCTGCCCTGCAGAACACCCTCCTGGCAGATGTTAGAATCTGTAAAATTTTTCGTAGACATCTGAAGGCCAGCCCTATTTCAGAGTGCTTTTAATGTTTGATTTTGTCATTGTTTTGTTGTTATTTTTGTAGGAAACCTCCCAGTGTGGCTGGGGCCCAGTCAGATGGGCAGGGTATTAGAAAGAAAGTATAATAGAGTGGAACCTTGGTTCTCAAACTTAATCCATTCCGGGAGTCCGTTCAACTCCCAAAATGGTTCGAAAAACAAGGTGCGGTTTCTGATTGGCTGCAGGAGCTTCCTGCACTCAATTGGAAGCTGCGTCGGACGTTCGGCTTCCGAGAAACGTTCGCAAACTGCAACACTCACTTCTGGGTTTGTGACATTCGGGAGCCGATTTGTTTGGGAGCCAAGCCATTTGAGAAACCAAGCTACCATCATCCTTCCTTCCTTCCTTCCTTCCTTCCTTCCTTCCTTCCTTCCTTCCTTCCCCTCTTCCAGCCCTCTGGTGCAGTTCAACCTCCTGCACTCCAAGTTCCACCTCTGCAGCGTCTCCACCCGGGCTTTGCTCCTCTCCACCTACATCAAGTTCATCAACCTCTTCCCTGAGACCAAGGGCACCATCCAGGAAGTGCTGCGCTCCGACAGCCAGATCCGCAACGCCGACGTGGAGCTGCAGCAGCGGGCGGTTGAGTACCTCAAGCTCAGCTCCATCGCCAGCACCGATGTCTTGGTGAGGGGGAAACTGGGAATGTTGCGAGAGACGGGTGGGCTGGTAGCTAAGTCAGCCATTCATCTTGGGGAGACTGGGTGGGGGAAGAGAGTTGGCTGATCTGAAAGAGAAACTGGTTGCAGCTGCATCAAATAAGGGGAGACGTAAGGCTTCGATCTGTGAATTGAAACCAGCTCTTGGGATTTTTTTGTGTGCTGCGCCAGAAGCCCATTTCTGCCCCTTCACCATAGGCCACAATGGGGAGCCAGGAAAAGGAACCTGCCTTATATACCAGGGTCAGACCTCTGTTTCCCCTGCCTACGCTGACTATACTGGTTGGCAGCAGCTTTCCAGGGTTTCAGCAGCTTTCAGCAACCGGGAGGTGGTAGGGATTGAACCTGGGACCTTCTGAGCCACAGCTCCCTTTCCAAATCCCATCGGCCCCAGACAGTGTGACCCAATGATCAGGGTGTATGGCAGTTGTAGTCCAACAACACTGGGTGGGCCGTACATCCGCCGCACATGAAGGAATCTGACCCTTGAGCCGAAAAGGGCTCTGGAGCCTTTGAGGATTCCAGCATTTTGGCTCCCTGAAGTTTTTTGTAAGATCTGCCTTTTCCAAGAGGAATTGTATGGGCTTTTAAAATTTTATCTCTGCCGTTTGCTTGTTTTGGGCACTGGATTGGTATTTTATTGTTTCTGCTGCATTTAAAAACAAAACTGGTGCTGGCAAGAGAACTGTGGTTATGGGGCAGAATAGAAGTGTCATGAATGAAAAAGTTGTTGGCATCCGTCCGTCTCGGGGACAATGCGCCTTTGGGGGTGAAGTCAAACTATTGAAAAGTTACAGCCCCTGCTGAGGGTGTTTTGTCGCGGCTGGGGCAGATGAAGGCGTCCAGCTGTGCTGCTGCAGATGCACCACAGCGTTGCTTCTCTCTGCGCTCTGCCCAGCAGTCATTCCTCCTCCGATCACTGCTGACTGTCTTGCCTCCAGGCACTGTGGTTGTCTGGAAGGGATTCCCACATGGTGGGGTTGATGTTGCCAGCCTTCATATCACATTTGCAGACATCCTTTGTAGCACAGAGTTGGTCTGCCAATGGGCCTGGTGCCTGAAGCCAGCTCCCCCTAGAGCACGTCCTTGGGAATCCTGCCACCTTTCCATTCTGCGGACATAACCAAGCCGTAAATGAAAAGCAGACGAATAACTCGTCATTCGAACCCTTCTCCGTCTCCCCAACTCCGCCCCTTAGGCAACGGTGCTGGAGGAGATGCCTCCATTCCCTGAGCGCGAGTCCTCCATCCTGGCTAAGCTCAAGAAGAAGAAGGGCCCCGGAGCTGGCAGCGAGCTGGACGACGGCAAGAAGGACCCCAACTCCGAAATCAATGGGGGCATGGAACCCTCAGCCAGCACTGCTGTGAGTGCCAAAAAGAGGGAGGGTCTGGGGCTTGGAGACTTGGGGTGTCCCCTGGCAAGAAAATGGTGCCTTGTGTGTGGGAGACCGGGGCTCTTTGGAGAAGGGAGGTGTCGGGAGTCAAAGCCCAGGGCGAGAACCATTTACCAGAAAGCCTGTGGTGCTGTAAAGTGGGAAGGGAAGTGGGTGGGTGGATTCTGCGATGGCGGACAAATTCCATTAAGAATTTGTCAGCTTGTTGCCAGATCTGCCAACCAGGAGAAATGTAGTTGTGATGTCTCAAGCTGGTTGGTGTCCTGGCGCTGCCATGTGCACAGTGCACCCCTCTTCCCTCCCCTTGGGCCTTGCCCAAAAGATAAAATGCAAATCTGAGAGGTGGGCAGCAGGGATGGATACTGTATAGAGTTATATAGATCTAGAGATTAGAATTAGTAAAGAAATGCAGATCTGTAAATTAGAAATGGTAAAGAAATAATAGATATAGAAAACGGAATTCGTAAAAGGCAGCACTGAGAGGCTTGTCCCTTCCCCGCAGAAATGAGGAGGTGTTAATGAATCTGATGTACGAATGTGTCCAATTTGCACAATTATTCCAATTGCAGAATTTGTTTTTTTCTGGACACATTTTAGTGCAGGAGTAGAGAGAAAGCATGCTCCCACAGCGCAGGGCCCGGTACCTTTTCCTCTGCCCCCAAGGTAGGTACCAGGGTTCATGGGTTCAGTTCTCAAGGCAGGTGCATGGAAGGACCTTTACCTTGGCTTCTCCCTCCCTCCCGCTTCTCCGCAGTCGACGCCATCCCCCTCTGCCGACCTCCTCGGCCTCCGGGCAACCCCAGCAGCTGCCTCCAGCGTCCCATCCAGTGCTGGCAACCTTTTAGTGGACGTCTTCTCGGACAGCCCCTCATCCGCAACTGGCCTTGTGTCTGGCGCAGAAGATAACTTCCTGAGGTGAGGGGGCCCTGGTGGGATGTGGGCACAGGCTTTTCTGGCCCTCTGCTTTCCCAGGGGAACTGGGCAGTGGTGCTGCGGCGAGTAATGGCGGACTCCTGTAGACACAAGGCCCACCGAATGCTCTCTCCGTCAAAAGGGTGCAAGCCATTTTTTTTCCGGAGGAAAGTCACTCACAGAACGGGGATATAGGGGCCTTTCCCGTTGCCAGGAATAGTAACTCTGATCCACAGCTAGCTCAGAAAGTTGAGAAGAAGCCTGGCCTGGTATCTGGTCCTGTGTTTCAGAAGGGATGGTGTGGATTTTCCTCCCCGTGTTCATGTTTGCTTTGGGCAGGCTAGATGGATTTTGAGGGTGCTTGTTTCCAAGATGGTGGGGACCTTATGGGCTTTCTCTGTCCTTTGGGAGAGGGGCATGTGTTAGTCCTCGTGGCCTTGTCTTGCTCTCTGTTTCTTTGCCCTCTTTTGTGTGTGTGTGTATATCTCTCTCTCTCTCTCTTTCTGTCTGCTGCCTCTTGGGAATGGTTCTCTCTCTCTCTTTCTTTCTCTCTCTCTCTTGCTCTGCCTTGGACGAAGCAGTGACTTGGAGGCTCCTCCCGAGAGTCCTTCATCCCTCTTGGTGGAGGCTGGCCTGCCTGCAGAGTAAGGGGCTGAAACTCTCTCTCTGCCAATACTGCCCACCCTGCTATTTACCCTGCCTCCCCAACCTCCTCAGGGGCACCTCTCAATGAGTTCTCTGTTAGGACTCCCATCAGCTGAAAGGAGGAGAGGGCATCTAGCAATTTTTAAAAACCCACCTGTGTGTTTGATTACACCTCAGCTCTCTGTGAAAGGAGGATGATGGAAGCTGAAATGATGTTCTGTGACAGGGATGGAGAACCTTGGGTCTTTCAGGACCCCAACTTCCATCAGCCCAGGCGGCATGGCCAATGGGAGTTGAAGCCCAGCTGCTGGGAATGACAGGCAGGAAGAGCACTGCTTATGGGCTTCCCTGTAGCATCTGGTTGACCACTGAGAGAACAGGATGCCGGACTGTGATGGGCTTTTGGTCTGAGCAGGGCTCTTATTCCTTGTCCGGTGCTGTGTCAGCAAAAGAGCCTTAGTTCAGCTCCAGCTCCTTGTCCTTGCCTTCAAAGCCACCCCCCTCCCGACCTTGTTGTCCCGCCCGCAATCTCTCTCCGCCTCCCATATCATGATACATCTCTGCCAGTGATCTTCGGTCTTCCGGCTCCGCCACCCTCCATCTTCTGAACATCAGTGCCTCCGTCCTTTCTCGCCTGCGATGGCGTCCCAGAACACCTGCCTGACATCACCTTTCTTGCCTGCTATGAAACCCGCACCACCCCCTCGTCCCCCACATCACGCTGTAACTAAGCCTACGCACATGCAGCCGAAACAACTGCATACTGCCTCCCTGTCCTCTTGTTTCTCCTCTGGGTGGAATTTTGAGATTGGATCCTCCTTGGGGCAGGGACCCTCTGCTCTTGTGTTCCAAAGTGCCATGGACACAGATGGTTCCAAGCAAGCAGATGGGTGGAGGTGGCTGTGGAACAGAAGCAAGCAGCCCAAAGGGAATGTCTCTTTCCTGACATGAGTGTCGCCTCTGGGGCCTCTAGACTGCAAAGGCCAGAGAGGCCATTGTATCCCGGGGCTGTTAAGGAATTGGGAGTTACTAAACTGCCTTAAGCCTTTCACATCCTTCATGTGAGCGAGGACCACAGGGTCCAGGGGGTGGAGGCCCATGGCTAGAATATCCTGCTTCTTTGAGAAAGCAGGTTGGTTCAAGCCACTGGTGGCCAGATCTCCTGGACTATCAGTGGCAGCAGTGTGGGAGGTTGATGCAGATGTAGGCCCTACCACAAAGGAGTCCTGGGTTCCCTTGGGGTGGCAGGTGTCTCTGAGTCAAGGAATGCAGAGTTGGGTTTCTTGGGCTTTGAGGGGAAGGCGAGCTTCTTAGCAGGTCAGGGCACCTAAATTGCTTGCAGACGTGATTTTTGGAGGAAGAAGAGTCTGCCTATGCATAAAGTCACTCACTTGAATGGCTTTAAAAGAGGATTAGACAAAATCACGGAGGATAAGGCCAGCAGTGGCTGCTAACCCTGATGGATATGCTGTCGCTCCACTGTCAGAGGCAGCATGCTTTTGGAAACCAGCCGCTAGGAATTGCAGGTAGGGAGAGCGCTGCCATACTTGGGCCCTGCTTGCAGGTTCCCGTAGGAACCTGCTTGGCCACTGGCGAACCAGGATGCAAGACTGTGATGGTCTCATCCGGTGGGCTCTCCTTTATGTGTATCTTAGCAAAGGTGTTGACGATGCAAATACATTTTGCTCTCGTCCTTTTAGCGCAGGTGTGTGTGGGGAAAACTTTGCCCCCTGCCTCAGTTGTTGCTAAACCACCCCCAGCAGGCATAGCCAATGGGATGATGGACATAGCAGTTCAGCAACAACCGGAGAGCCAAAGGTTCCCAACCTTTTCTTTTAGAAGCTACTTAGGAACAGTGCCTGGTCCTTCCGCTGCCTCCTCACCTGCTGTGTTGCATGCTGGCTTGCTGTCTATATATTTGTGTGTGTGTGTGTTTGTTCTCTGCCTCCTTCTGGTACTAACCTGGTGCTGCGCCCTGGTGACTCATCTTTTCTGCTCTCTCTTTCTCTCTCTCTTCCCCACTCCTGCCAACCGCTGGTCCCCTTTGCTATGGCCTTTGCCACCACCTTCAGCTCAGGGGCTGCCGCATCTGTCTCTGAGGACCCCGCTTTGCCTATTGCTGAGGCCGATGAACTGCTTCACAAGTAAGATCCCGCAGTGGGACTGTGGCTCCCAGAGGCTGGGGCTGTGGGTGGCAGCGGCGGCAGACTAGAAGTCTCTTCCCCCTTGGCACAAGAGGCTTCCTCTGGTTCACCAGCCTGATCCCATCTGTGCTATTAGCTCAGGGGGTTGGGAAGCATTTTCAGCCCAGTGGGCTGCATTTCCTCATGAGCAACCTCCCAGGGTCCATGTGGGTGGAGGCGGAAGTGGGCGGGACAACAGATGCAGCTCTTAACCTCTGTACAGTGAGGCTTTCCACATACCTTCATCTAGGCAATCAAGTGAGATCATTACAGTTTAGGACAGGGGTCAGCAAACCTTTTCAGCAGGGGGCCGGTCCACTGTCCCTCAGACCTTGTGTGGGGGCCGGACTATATTTTGGAAAGAAAAAAAATTCCTGTGCCCCACAAATAACCCAGAGATGCATTTTAAATAAAAGCTCACATTCTACTCATGTAAAAACACGCTGATTCCCGGACCATCCACAGGCTGGACTTAGAAAGCGATTGGGCTGGATCCGGCCCCTGGGCTTTAGTTTGCCTACCCATGGGGTTTAGGGATACATTTCAGCCAGGAAAAAGCAGCAAAGGAGGGTGCCAGGCCATTAAGGGGCGTGTGTCCTGAACCTCAGGCCCAAAGGAGGGCTTGTGGGAATGGTTGGGTGCAGGGATACCAAAGAAAGGATGTCCAACCACACCAGAGTGATCAGTTCTAGTGCTTTATTAAAAGAAAAGTGCAGACTTAAGAGCAAAGCAGCCTGCCAGGCCTCCCAGCCTTTGCAGATGTGGGACGGACACCGCAGCAAGGAGATGGCTTGTTCGCGCCCAAGCAAACGTTCATGCATTCCTTACGCATGAAGCAGCATGTGTCTCTTTGGGCAGACCTTCCTATTGCTTCACCAACCTGACAAGATAAGGGCCTAGGTGGCAAATACCCAAATCTTACAGATAGCTCCCCTTTCTGGGCTCAGAAATTCATAGATAAGGATAACACCAAAGCAAGCCAGTTAACCTATATATCAAAGCAAGGGAATATGTAGAAGCTCATTGCTACAACACAATACCAATTACTGGTGGGGTTATCTTGACTACCAAGATGGCATTAAGCACAGCTTTCAGAACAGTTCACCTTTGGTTCAACACAGCGTGGCCTGGGGAGACTCCCCAAGAGCCAGATAGAAAGACCTGGAGGGAACCTCCGCCCCGGGCCTGAGGTTTCCAGCGTTGTCTTAGCTTCACCTGACACCACTCTCTGCTATGTGCTGAAGTTCCTCTGCTTCCCAGGCATGGCAGTTGGGAAGAAAAGGGTCTCCTCTGAACAAGGGGGTATTTCCGATTCACTGACCCGCTCTCAGCTGAGCCTTGAGCCCTTAGATAGCAGGAGGTAGGCTAAGGTTGACCAGCTGCATGTCAAAAGAGACCAGCACCAGCGGAAAGGGTGGTGTGGGGAAGTCCTGGGGGCTAGAAGCCAAAACAGAAGGAAGACCTTGGATACCTGCCTGCCCGTAACCAACCCTCCGTGGTCCATTGCAGGTTTGTGTGCAAGAACAACGGAGTGCTATTTGAGAACCAGCTGCTGCAGATCGGGGTTAAATCGGAGTTCCGGCAGAACCTGGGTGAGTGGGGTTTGGGACAGTGGGCAGAATGGTGACCAGCTCCCCCAGTCTGCATATTAGGAAGCTGGTCTTTCATTGGCCTTACTTCAAGGATATGCTCCTCACATCAGCTTCCTTGATGGGCTCCCCACCTCTTAAACTAATTTTTTATCCTTTCCCTTCAAGTCCTTTTGCATGTTGACACTTACTAGATTTTTGCCTGTGGGGCAGGGAGCAGTAGGTACCCATGTCTCTGACAAATTGCGGTACTTGGATTTTGGGAATCCTGTAATCTAAGCATTTGCTTGTATTGATTGATTGAATGTAAGTGTTGCCTTTTGCTGGAGACAAAGGGAGGCACACAGTTTCTCCTGTTGGTTCTAGTAAGACTTGCTTCCAGGGGACAGTCGGTGAATGTTTTTTTATGTGAAGCCGCCCTGTGCTCTGTTTTGGAGGAAGAAGCCAGGGTGTAAAGATATTTATCGGCTATAAAAGTTAATAAATAAATCTCCTCCTGCCAAAATCAGAGAGGGATGCATGCTGTCGTGTCAGCACAAGTGTCTCTTGAGGAGAAGATTGGAAGAGACAGTTTGTGCTGGTTATTGGCCTTTTGGCTAAACTTGTTGGTGTGGGGCAGAGGCAGGAAACCTGTGGCTCTCCAGCTGTCGTTGGACTCCAACTCCCATCAGCCCCTGCTAGCATGGACAGTAGGCAGGAACGATGGGATCTGCAGTCCAGCACCATCTGGAGGGCCACAGATTCTCCATGCCTGATGTCGAGGGGTCCTGAGCTGGTGGTGTGAGCAGCCAAGGTGAGATGCTGAGCAGCTCCACATTTTTTTAAAAAATGTCTTCTCTCCAGGCCGGATGTATCTCTTCTACGGGAACAAAACGTCTATCCAGTTCCAGAGCTTTACCCCTACAGTCAGCTACCCAGGAGACCTGCAGAGCCATATCCTTTTGTAAACGTCTACTGCGGGTGGGGGGGATGCGGGTGGCGCTGTGGGTTAAACCACAGAGCCTAGGACCTGCCGATCAGAAGGTCGGTGGTTCAAATCCCCGCAACGGGGTGAGCTCCTGTTGCTCAGTCCCTGCTCCTGCCAACCTAGCAGTTCAAAAGCACGTCAAAGTGCAAGAAGAAAAATAGGTACCACTCCAGCGGGAAGGTAATCGGCGTTTCCTTGTGCTGCTCTGGTTCGCCAGAAGCGGCTTAGTCCTGCTGGCCACATGACCTGGAAGCTGTCTGTGGACAAACACCGGCTCCCTCGGCCTGAAAGCGAGATGAGCGCAGCAACCCCAGAGTAGTCCGTGACTGGACCTAATGGTCAGGGGTCCCTTTACCTTTACCTGGGACGGGGGCATCTCAGAGTAGACTTGCGGCACTAGAGGCTTTCTTTCCCTTTGCTCCTCGGGGAGGATAACACTTCGTTTCCTTAGCACCGCTCACAGCTCAACATCCAGACAAAAGCAGTGGAGCCTCTGGTGGAGGGAGGCGCTCAAGTGCAGCAGGTCCTGAACATCGAGTGCCTGAGCGACTTCACAGAGGCGCCCCTCATCAACATAAAATTCCGGTACTGTAGTCCACAGCATCCCTCTGGGGACTGAATGCCAGCTTGTTGGCATGGCTTCCACTTGCACTCTCGCTCTCTCTTGAAACACAAGGCCCAAGCCAGCAGGCTTCCCTCTTCACTCGTCAAAAATGATTGATCTGTTGAACAGGGTCATTTGCTTTCCTATCCGTCCCCTGCCCTGGATAGGGAGGTTTAGGCTTTTCAGTCCTCTCCAGCGTTGTGGCTCATCTCAATTTCCTCCCCGCTTCCCCTTTTTGTCCCCAACTTGAGGGGATCTTGGGGCGCCATGGGTACCCGGAAGAGAAGGGCTGTTGCAATGGGATGAATGGAGAAGGGGATGGGGCTGGGGCAGCCTGCGTGACCAGCCGCGTCTCTGCACCGGAGCAGGGAATGATGACGCAGAACGGTTCCATAATGGTTTGAAAAGCGCACGAAATGTTTCTAGCCCTCAGTGTTGCAGAGAAATTCTGTACATGAGCAGAGCTGAGTGAGATCCATGTCTAGTTCCGGTAGTTGCCGTTTGTATGGTTAGTCCTTACCCTGTTATTCCCTCTGTTTGTAAGAGTGTAAGAAGAGGCTGCTGAATGAGGCCAATGGCCCTTCTGTTCCATCTTCCTGTTCTCACAGTGGCCAACCAGATGCCTGGGAAGGAAACCGCAAGCAGGAGCTAAGCATAAGAGCACTTGTTTCTCCTGCAGTCTCCTGCAGCTATCATTCAGAAGGATATTGCCTCTAACTGTGAAGACAGAGCATAGCCATCATGACCAGTAGCCACTGACAGTCCTTATCCCTCTCCAGTTTTCCCATGAATGTCGGACCTCCAGCAATTGCTGTTTCATAACTGGCAGTTAGAAGATCCTGTGCTCAGTGGACTTGGGGAATCGGCCATGTTCCAGCCGATCCTCTTGAAGTGCAGGGACAGCTGTGCTATGGGGAGTTCAGTGTCTCTTCCCGCCCCCCCCATGCCCCCTTTCATGGGTCTCTCTCCTCCATGTTTCTGCCAGGTACGGTGGGACACTGCAGAACCTCACACTCAAACTGCCCGTAACGGTCAACAAATTTTTCCAGGCAACAGAGATGCAATCACAAGATTTCTTCCAGCGCTGGAAACAGCTCAGCCTGTAAGTGGGGGAATATATAGTACGAGTTTTGAGAAATGTTATCGGTGGAGCTGATTTTAATATCAGAAGTTGGGTTTACCAGCACCTGTTTATGCGTTTGAGGGAGCAACTCAGGAAACTTCCTCAGTAAGACTTAACATATTTCCCATCATTTGTGCTTTCTCCCCCTCCCTGTGTTTGCTTAGTCCATCCCAGGAACCTTCTCCTTTCTTGAGCCGCTTGGTATAGCCTTAAAGTCTCTTTAGGTGACTGTCGGTGTGCAGCAGTCGTCCTCTTTACCAAATTTATGTTCAGGAGAGACTGTAGCCCAGTGGAACAGCACCTGCCTTGCGTGCAGAAGGTCCTAGCTTCAATCCTGGGTGCCTCAAGATAGGGCTGGAGAATAATGCCTGCCTGAATCCTTGGAAAGGCACTGCCAGCCAGAGTAGACAATATTGAGCTAGCTGGACCGATGGTCTGATTCAGTATAAGACAGTTTCCTGTGTCCATAAATGGCACAAGATTTTTACTTCCAGATGAACTACTATTAGGGGGTGGTGGCACCCCAGACATTCTGCCGCCACCACCACCACCACAAGTGCTTGGAGGATTGAAAGTTTGTGCCTTTCACTACCCCTGCAATGGGATCAGTTAACCAGCTAATGCGTACTTGGCCAAGTCTTATCAGGTGGGCATGACCCTGTGAGCTGGTCTGTTTTGTGCTGGTGAGACTTGCTCAGTAGAAGTGCTGGCTCTCTGGCAAGAACCTATAGCAAAAACTTCCCTTTAGATTAAGAGCAGCAGCGTTGTAAGCAGATGCTGTGGTTTTTAGCAAGCTAGTCGAAAGCTGTGTGAATTGGATTGCTTTAATTGTGTCTGTTGTTCATACATGCTGCTGCCTATGCAATTTCTCTCCCCAGCAATCACCTATATATGTGTGTGTGTGTGTGTGTGTGTGTGTGTGTGTGTGTGTGAGAGAGAGAGAGAGAGAGAGAGAGAGAGAGAGATAAGGAAATAGTCAGAGATTTTAAGGTATTAGTCAAAGCTTTTTGGAGTGACTGTTAGTTAGATCCTGCTTGTGGCATCTTCCTTTCCTTCCATATCACCTGAAATCAGTCAGTTTCAAAAGATGGGCAGTTTGAGAGATCTACCCCACTTCTCCTGGCCTACTTGAGAGATCAGTGTTTGAAATTCCCTTTGCCAACCTGGTGCTACCTTCCAGCTGTGTTGGATTGCAACCCCTCATTAGCTCCAGCCAGCGCAACTTATTGTCTGGGCTGATGGGAGTTGTAGTCCAGCAACTTCTGGAGAGCTCCATAGGCTTCCCAAGCCATGTTTCGAGGAAGGTGCATCTTTTGGGGGCTGAGCAAGGATTATGAGCAGCAAGACAGCTCAGCTGTACTTGATGACAAAGGGTGGCTTAGAACATCTCTCGTACTGCATAATACGGCCTAGATACTGCTGTACCATGAACGTTTCTGTTGGTTATCAAACAACCTGCCTAGAAGAGGTGCCCAGAACTCTCCTGCAAGGCCCAAGGGCTTTTGCTTGTACCTGGGGACTGATTTTTGCCTTCCTCAGGGGCACATCTTTTTTAATTGCCACAGTGACTCAGCAGATGCAACTTCTGGTGAATGGCTGAGGCACAACTAGGTTGTGTGGCAGGTTGATGAGGAAGAGAAAGTTTTGCGCTGTCACTGATCTGACACTATCCCATCCCAAATCCTTCTGCAGGCCACAGCAGGAAGCCCAGAAGATATTCAAGGCAAACCACCCCATGGATTCCGAAGTCACCAAGGCCAAGGTGAGCACGCTCACATGTGTTTGCGTTCACCGTGGGAAGCGTGGAAAATTAAGGTTTGGGCAAATAAACATGAAACGCAAACGTTCTTTGGAATAGTGACAGAGGTAAATAGGCATGGAGATCAGGGTCAGTAGACGGGGTATAAAACACCCAGGCTTTCCCATTCCTTGGTATCCAACAAAGAGTGCTTTTGCACAATGTGCAGGACACCTGTGTCACCGAGACTGAAATCTTTTGGGTGGCAGGTGGATGTAGAGCTAGAGACCACATGAGCTGTACTGCCGGCTAGGATGCCAGCATCTTCCTACCCCATTTTGTTCCCTCGCCTTGTACACCTTTCCCCTCGACTGCCTTCCCCACGGCAGCCAAGCAGAGGAGCCCAACTAAGCTGAATTTCCTTCTTTCCACAGCTGCTAGGTTTCGGCAGCGCGCTCTTGGAGAAGGTGGATCCAAACCCTGATAACTACGTAGGAGCTGGGATCATCCAGACGAAGGCGCTGCAGGTGGGATGCTTGCTGCGGCTGGAGCCCAACGCCCAGGCACAGGTGAGGAGGCAAGAGCTCCGGGATGCTTGAGCTCTGGGAGCAGAGTGGAAAGGAGGATACTGCAGTGGGAGAGAACTGGCAGTTGGGACTCCTGGGTTGTCCAAAGAGGGAAGGAGGGATTTGGGAGAAGCTGAAAGCTCTGCTGCCCCAAGAGTGCTTTCTGAAGCCAGACTTAAAGGCTGAATTGACTCTACGTTTCCCTGCAGATGTACCGGCTGACCCTGCGCACCAGCAAGGAGTCCGTTTCGAAGCACCTTTGCGAGCTGCTCTCTCAGCAGTTCTGAGACATTGGCCGCACCAGAGGAGGCGGGGAGGGCGGGCTGCACCGGGGAGAGGGGAGGCTGTTCCTGCACACTTGGCTGCCTACACCTGCCCCCTCCCACCTCCCTCCGAACCAGGGGCCTCCGGAAAGACTGTACTGCTCCCTTGCCTGTTGTTGTGATGACCTCTGTGTTCTCATTGCCTAGCCCGGGCCAGCACCAAGGAATACAAAGCAAGGTGGGCGGGGTGGGGAGCAGAAATGGGGTCCCTGGCATGGACAAAGTAGAATTGGGACGGTGGGGAGGGGGGGATGATTTGCGTCGGGGTAGGGCATCCTTCTGGGAGTCATCTTCCCCTTGCCCGGAGGGTGGCCCCCTGGAAGAAAGCCAAGACCTCTCCCATCCATCCCATCTGCCTGTCCCTTCCAACTCGGGGTGAGGCTGAGATTTGTGGTCTTAATCCCCACCCCTACCCCCACGATATCGGCCGGCATTTTTGGGTTTTGTTTACAATCCTCGCCCCCTTCTCCCCCCAGACAAGGCCTTTCTGTGGGGGAGGTTAACTCCCCCCGCTTTCCCCTGAGCTGGCTGTGGGGGGGTTGCGGGAGAGGAATGGGGTGCGTGTGGGTTTTTTGTGGGGAGGGAACTGCTCGTAGGGGGGTTGTTTTTGTGTTTTCTTTGCCTTGTGTATTTCCCCGGGGTGGGGTGGGCATGGGCGTTCTTCCTTTCCTTTGTCATGGACCATTCCAGTGTTACAGTTGCGTGTGTTTTTGTGGGGAAGTAACCATAAGTCGAGAGCCTCCCCCCTTCCCTCGCCTCCTAGAAGGAAAAACTGCACGAAGGTGGGGAGGGCTGTGAGGAAGAGATGCCTAATCGACTCCTCTCCCGACTCCCCTCAACCCCACCCTTCCCTCCTGGAGACTCTGGAATGCTGCCCTCCGTGCATTTTGGAAAAGCGGGGAGGGAAGGTTCAGTTCATGCTATTCTGGGGGTGTCCCAGCTTCCATGCCGGCCCGGGCTCCATGTTACTCTGCTGTGTAGGTGTTATCTAGCGCATCTTAGTTTTATCTGGGTTTTGAATGCCTGTATCTATCTCCATGTGACTCTTAATAAAGCCGTGAGGGCGGGGGAGAGCCAGGATCAAGCCAGGCTGGGTCACCCCCACACCGCTGACTGACTCGTTGTGTGCTGCTTTTTAATATGTGGATAAATGGCAGGGCGGGAGGGTGTCCCCAACCCCCTGGAGCAGAGGTAGCCATGACTGTGTGAGACAGAATCTGGTATTTCTTCCATGCGGGCTTCTAGCTATGGTGACGCAACGGCAGCTTTGTCTTCACAGCTGGAACCTGCTATGTTTCCGGTGGGGGTGGTTTGCCCCGACACCCGCAGAAGAGGGGGTTCAGCTGTATGGAATTGGTAGGCCGAGAAGCGTTCGAAACACTTTGCGGCCGAAGTGCAACAATTCCGTTATGTCAATGGCACAAAGACACAAAGAGTGTGCTTTTTGCTGGGGCTAGAATGCAGGGATGCTTTCTAGGGTACCCCAGCCGTGGGACTGAAGGCAAGACTTTTTAAAAAGAGGGAGGAGGCCCACTTCTTCCTCAGAAGCACAATGCATTTACCTTTGTAATCTCTCACCTTCCTGCAAAGCCTAAAAGCAGTGGGGAATGGAGGGGGCTAATTAAAGATTAGGAGACCATGTTCGCTTCCCTAAGATATACCATTTCTGGTGGGTGTTGAAATCTGTAACAAGCCCCTCCCTTAATTCTGTGGTGTGAATAAATTATGCAGATCACCTGCATAAACGTATCTGATGTGCAAGCCTCTTATTTTGGTTACCAATTTAGAGTCTTCGTGGAAGTTGAGAAGCTGAGTAAGGACTGGGTTAAATGCTAAGAGAGGAAAGACATTGCAAACTAAGTGAAAAGCCTCATCATTTGTCCAAGGGAGTTTTAGAGGGATTGGCCATCAAAGGTCTGCAAGCCAAGAATAGAAACCTGCATTTAAAATATTGGAATAGATTAAAAATAAATAAATCCTGAGCAAAATACTAATTTAATTATGCTTCTACTAAATTAAAAATGCATACAAACCATCTGGATCGGACACAGAGCTTTTCCCCAGCAAGCATCCTTGAAATTCAACTCCTCTGAATTTCAGCCACCATGTTGTTACCCACAACTGAATTCCAAGAAATTACAGCTTAAAGGCAGCATTTTTATGGGCCATATAAGTGACAAATGCAGATCAGTGGATGCCAGCTAGACAGCTCTGTTCCCAAGATACATTTTTCCACTAGAGCTGTCTGTCTCTATCTTAACTACCTACTTACCAAAGTAACACAAATTTGTGTGGCTCAATTCATAGATTTTCAGAGTGCCTTCTTAATGACCTAAGAAAAAACAAGGAGCCTAGTCTTCTTACAAACCCAAATTATATTGCAAGGTGGCTCATTAACAGCCTGATCAATGAAGCCCTGCCTGGAATTTAATATTTATGTATTACAGTGGTGCCTCGCAAGACGAAAAGAATCCGTTCCGCGAGTCTCTTCGTCTTGCGGTTTTTTCGTCTTGCAAAGCAAGCCCATTAGCGGTTTAGCGGATTAGCGCTATTAGTGGGCTTAGCGGATCAGCTGATAAGCGGCTTAGCGGATCAGCTGATAAGCGGCTTAGTGGCTTAGCGGATCAGCTGATAAGCGGCTTAGCGGATCAGCTGATAAGCGGCTTAGCGGCTTGGGAAAAAGGGGAAAGGAAAAAACCCCCGCAGGAACTCGCAAGACATTTTCGTCTTGCGAAGCAAGCCCATAGGAAATTCGTTTTGCGAAGCACCTCCAAAACGGAAAACCCTTTCGTCTAGCGGGTTTTCCGTCTTGCGAGGCACCACTGTACTTTAGAGGCAAATGTTTGACTCCAATTCCCACCATCCCTGATTATTTACCTGGAGCTGATGTCCAAGATCTGGAGAAGCACAGATTAGCCTGCTCTGCTTTTACAGTGTTCAAAGTGCCTCATAGCCATCATTTCACTAATACACACAGTAGACTTGTAATAGAGATCAAGCAGTTATGGTGATTGAGGCCAAGGAATCAGTACTTGCTTAATGACAGGCAAGATTTGGGGATTTCCAGTTCAGCCATGGCCACTGTAGGACATCAACTCATAGAGAGAGAGTATCAAAGATGCTGCACTGCTGCAGAAGGAAAGAGCTATTCCTACCGGAAAGGGTGAAATCAGGAAGGAAAAGTATGGGAAATAAATAGAAGCAAAGAAATTACAGCAGCAGCAAAAGCACAGTGCTATAAATACCACACTGAAAGCTGGCAACACCAATTTCAGTCATTATCGAATATCCCATGGTGCTGTAATACTCAGCATGCGACAGACCAGACATAATGGCTGTCCTGAGGTGTACTTAATTGGATAGAAAGCACCATTTCAGCACCCTACCTCTGCCACAGGTTAAGCTCAAAAAAATCAATCTCAACTCTCCCCAGAATCAGGTACAAACAAATTTTATGGATGCAGCATTTGAACTGATATGCCTTCCAGCAGAGACTGGTTTATTAGGGCACTACCCCACCTGTCTGCCTTCTTACGTCAACCATTCCAGGGCGAAGTATTTGCTATCAGCTTCCTCCTCAGTTTCACTGTTGCCCTTGTGGAACTCAGTGAGGAGAATGGGAGACAAAACTAGAATTTACTTGGCTGCCCCTAATATCGCTCTTCCTGCCAGCTCCGCCAGCTACACTGATGCCTTAATACAAACATGTCTAGACAATGGTGGCTTTCCATTTTTTCCTCCCAAGAGTAAGGAACAGATATGCAAGACCTAAACTGGTACTCATCGCCATTGCTAGCCCAGCGACCTCTCACTTCCATAAAGAGCAAGGAGTGAGTGGATTAACTCTAGTCTGTAGAATCTCTCCTGCTCCCCCCCCCCCCACAAATCCAGGCTGGTCCAATGCAGGGTAATCAGAGCTTGCATGGGAGGTCTAAGGGCTCTGTCTCAGTGCCCACATCTCATCTTGGGAGTCCGGTAGGGAACATCCCCTCAGAAGGCCGAGTCCTCAGCTGTGAGGGTCTGGAGGGTGCTGGTTGCCAGAGACCGCAGAGCAAAGGTAGGCACATCTGGCTTCACAATCAGGAACAGCTGGTGCCGCTTCCCATGGATGGCATAGGCCTTGTACGTAGAGTAGACCAGGTAACAGTGCTGAGGACGGTGGGAGAAGCCAGCCTGGAACTCCTCCTGCAGAGGGACTGAGGAAAGGACAACGAATATCAAGCTCCACAGGATATAACAGAGGCTGGAGGGCAAGTTTGGCCCCACATGCAGAATAGCAATTTTAAATAATAATTTATTATTTATACCCCGCCCATCTGGCTGGGTTTCCCCAGCCACTCTGGGCGGTTCCCAACAGAATATTAAAAACACGACAAAACACCAAACATTAAAAACTTCCCTAAACAGGGCTGCCTTCAGATGTCTTCTGAAAATAAGGTAGTTGTTTATTTCCTTGACATCTGACAGGAGGGCGTTCCACAGGGTGGGCACCACTACCGAGAAGGCCCTCTGCCTGGTTGCCTGCAAACTTCACTTCTCGTAATGAGGGAACCACCAGAAGGCCCTTGGCGCTGGACCTCAGTGTCCGGGCTGAAAGATGGGGGTGGAGACGCTCCTTCAGGTATACTGGGCCAAGGCTGTTTAGGGCTTTAAAGGTCAGCACCAACACACTGGATTGTGCCCGGAAACATACTGGGAGCCAATGTTGGTCTTTCAAGACCGGTGTTCTGTGGTCTAGGCGACCACTCCCAGTCACCAGTCTAGCTGCCGCATTCTGGATTAGTTGTAGCTTCCTGGTCACCTTCAAAGGTAGCCCCACATAGAGCACATTGCAGTAGTCCAAGCGGGAGATAACTAGAGCATGCACCACTCTGGCGAGACAGTCTGCGGGCAGATAGGGTCTCAGCCTGCGTACCAAATGGAGCTGGTAGACAGCTGCCCTGGACACAGAACTGACCTGCACCTTCATGGACAGCTGTGAGTCCAAAATGACTCCCAGGCTGTGCATATGCAATCTGCCACCAGGGAATGTTGGCTTTGGTTATGGAAAAAAAGGAGGGGAACTATCTTTAAGCCTTTGAAGTTACAGTAAAAAAAATTTACTTAGAAAAGGTCCCTATGGCCACTGCCTCGCTGAGTCACCAGGAAGTTCCACCTGTCACAAGAACCTGAATTTTGCATAATAATAAAATGTTCCAACATGCAAATACTTGCCACAACTTGAGATGTCACAGAAGAACTTTCTGATTCACAGGACGAAAGGGATAAAGAATCAAGAACTCACCTGCACTCTCTTCGAACTTCTCACAGGGGAAGTACAAGGAGACAGTGAGGGAATAGAAGGAGCGGAGGGCAGAGAGGCGATTTTTCAGGGGCATCTCAGATCCTGTAAAAGTGCGGAAAGATACATATTTAAATGCTCTGTTGAGAGAGAAAGGGCTGGGCTCTCTCTGGCCTTCTCCAGCACAATGCAGCTTGCGCCATACCTTCAGCTGAAGTGCCCTGAGGCTGCACGGTGAAGAGGCTTTTCCTCTGATCTTGGTTGATCAGCAACAGCCTGTAGGAGACGAGATTGTGAACAGCAGCTGGTTATACTGGAGGCCGGGGGGGAGGGGGAATGCTGGCAAGACTGGCAGTATAATTTTCAAAAGGGTGGAACAAACATGAAGCCAGCCCCTACAGGGGTTCAGATCCTCAAAGCGCTCTTTTCTCCCAGAAGACTCACCCCAGGATCCCAGGGGCAAGAGCGATGCCAGGAGGCAGGCACCGAGGAGGGGCTCTGGCACTTGCCTTCAGAAGATCCAGCAGCGGCTGCCAAAATCGCTTCACTAACTATAGGAAGAAAGAGAAAGGGCTTGGTAGCGCCACTCGGTTCCAGTTCTCTGGAGGGATAGAGAGAATGCCCTAAACAAGGAAAACCCCAAAGGCTCCCTTCTTCCTTGAATAATAGTAATAATAATAATAATAATAATAATAATTTATTTATACCCCACCCTCCCCAGCCAAAACATCAAATATATGACACATTACCATAAAATCAAGCAATCAATTAAAATACATCCCAAAATCAACTCAGAATCACAGTGAAATCCAATCAGATGGCAGCCTGCAAAATAGGGATGGGGGCCTTAAATGCTCACCAGGCCTAACTGTTTATACTGATCTTATATGAGCCTGTGAGAAAGGTTGGGGGGCCACTTTCATGCAGGTTCTTATAAGGAGAGAGGGGGAGTCAGACTGGCCCCCAGCCAAAGGCCTGGCAGAATAGCTCCATCTTGCAGACCCTGCAGAAAGATGTTAAATCCCGCAGGGTCCTGGTGTCGTGTGACAGAGCATTCCACTCGGCCGGAGCCACAGCCAAAAAGGCCTTGACCCTGGTTGAGGCCTGTCAGAGAACTGCAGGCAGCGAGGGAGGAAAGAATTAGAGGATACAGGGAACGATCTCCACTGCTCAGTACTGAGTCCTCCTCAGAAGACAGAGAAGAGGATAGTGAGTCTGGGGAGGAAGGGGTGCTTCAGAGAGAGGGGGATCCACGTCACAGGGGAAAACGGAAGGGGCTGATCTCGAGGGAGAGGGAAAAGAGAAACTAGTGAGAGCAACGCGTCATGAGAGACGGATCGCTTTGTTTATTCTGCATGTAATCTTGTCAGAAGGAAATAAAGAAAGGAATTTATGGCTGGCTGCCGGGAGTGTTTTCTCTGCTAAGTGCAGCAACGCGTGCAGCTGGCTAGCTGACAAGGCCAGTCTAATTTCCTTGAGGCCCGGGACCTCCAAGATGTTATTATTTGCAGACCGTAAGGTCCTCCGTGGGGCATACCAGGAGATGCTGCCCCATGCAGACCAGCAAAAGTGAAAGGATGAGGATGGCAACCAATGCCCTTTGCAAGGGGAGGGGCAAAAAACTGAATTTCTCGTTCTTGCCTAAAGGGAATGGCCAGGAAACGGGTAGCACAGTCCGTAGAGCTATAATGGCACTCTTAATCTCAGGGTTGTGGGTTCGAGCCTCATGTTGGGCAAAAGATCCCTGCATTGCAGGGGGTTGGATTAGATGACCCTCGTGGACCCGCCCAACTCTACCGTTCTATGATCCTATGAGTCCAAGTTGCTTCACTTCCAAGGTCTCTCTCTCTCACCTCATCAGCCAAGAACTGTAAGGAGGGCTTAGGCCCACACAGCAGCAGCACCTCCAAACCAGGCACGAGCTGGAGCGTCAAGAAGCGGTGGGGGACCTGTTGGGAGTGAGGGACACGGAGAATCAGAAAGCTACACTCCTCTAATGGCCCCTCCCTGAATCGCCAGCCAGCTCACCGTGGGGCTGCCATGAGGAAGGTAAACGGGCAGATCGCGGGAGGTGTGAGGGGGCAGCGAGCGCACCAGCCACACCAGCAGCATGGCCTCCGAGGCTGCCAGCTGCCACCACTGCTCTGTTGCACAGAGCACCTGTCCGCCCACAAGCAGGCTGCCAAACCGCGACTCTGCTGCAGAGGCAAAGACTTCCAGGCACTCCTGAATCGGGAAAGAGCAAAGCAAGACAGAGAATGAAAGAACAGCCACAACAGATTAGACCAAAGTTCCATCTGATCTGATTCAGCATCCTGTTCTCATCTAGGGGAAACCCATTAAGTGCACAACAGCACACTTCCCATGAGCGATTCCCAGTAAATGTTATTGAGAGACATACAGCCTCTGATATATACAACTAATCCAGAATGCGACAGCTAGACTGGTGACTGGGAGTGGCTTCCAAGACCATCTAACACCAGTCCTGAAAGACCTACATTGGCTCCCAGTACACTTCCAAGCACAATTCAAAGTGCCGGTGCTGACATTTAAAGCCCTAAACGGCCTCAGCCCAGTATAGCTGAAGGAGCAGCTTCACCCCCAACGTTCAGCCCAAGAACAAGCCAGTCTCACCTGCAGTATTGCCCTGGAGGGCACCACTGTGCATTCCACACACTGGGTCAGGTCAGCACTGCATTTGCCAGGCTCCAGGAAACTGTCAATCAATTTGTAACATGCCTAAATTGGGGGAGGAGGAGGGAGATTAAATATTTAAGCTACCAGGGATAAAAAGTGACTTCCAAACACATGGAATAGGTAATGAAATCCATTTTTAAAATATTTGAGTGATAAATGTGTAATGTGTGAAAGAAAAAGAAATCTGCAGGTAAGAATTCAGGCTTTGCCTAGTTTTTCACTAGGTCCACCTATTAGAGGCAGGGCAAGACAGATTACCGTATTTTTTGCCCTATAGGGCACACCGGCCATAGGGCGCACCTAGTTTTTTTGGGGGGAAATAAAGAATTTTTTTCCCCCCCAGGCGCTGAGCTGGGGCGGGGGAAGCCCGAGCTTCCCCCGACCCCAGCCCCTAGAACAGGCTGCTATCCGCAAGCCTGGGGAGCCCAGTGGGATCTCCCGCGGGCTCCCCAGGCTTGCGGATATCTGTCCGAAGCCCGGGGCACGCTGCTCAGGTGCGCTCCCCGGATTTCGGGCTGCAGGCTGCTATCCACAAGCCTTGGGAGCCCGGCGGGAGTTCCCGCCGGGCTCCCAAGGCTTGTGGATAGCTTCCTGAAGCCTGGAAAGTGAGAGGGTTCGGTGCACACCAACGCCTCTCGCTCTCCAGGCTTCAGCGAAAGCCTGCATTCGCCCCATAGGATGCACACACATTTCCCCTTCATTTTTGGAGGGGAAAAAGTGCGTCCTATAGGGCGAAATAGTGATGTATGGAAGTGAGAGCTGGACCATAAAGAAGGCTGATCGCCGAAGAATTGATGCTTTTGAATTATGGTGCTGGAGGAGACTCTTGAGAGTCCCATGGACTGCAAGAAGATCAAATGCATCCATTCTTAAGGAAATTAGCCCTGAATGCTCACTGGAAGGACAGATCCTGAAGCGGAGGCTCCAATACTTTGGCCACCTCATGAGAAGAGAAGATTCCCTGGCAAAGACCCTGATGTTGGGAAAGATGGAAGGCACAAGGAGAAGGGGACGACAGAGGATGAGATGGTTGGACAGTGTTCTCGAAGCTACAAACATGAGTCTGACCAAACTGCGGGAGGCAGTGGAAGACAGGAGTGCCTGGCGTGCTCTGGTCCATGGGGTCACGAAGAGTCGGACACGACTAAACAACAACAACATAGGGCGAAAAATACGGTAGGTACGAGGGAAGAAGCAGGGTGCCTTTGAGCATATGCTAAACCCAGGAATCTGCAACCAGAACAAGAACCAAGTTGTTCCATGAAAAAATCCACTACTGGTTCCACCCATTCTGAATTATTTTTCATCAACATCATTCGGAGGGAAGAGCTTTTTAGTTGTTACAATTGATACAGCAACCTCCAAGTCGCTAGCCGTCCTCAGGTCAGGCATTACCTTCAGGTCTTTTTTGAGACGTTCAATGTTGCGTGCATTCACCAGCTCCTCCAAGCCCAACACCAGCACCTGTAGTAAAACACACAATTGCCTCCTAAAGATCCTCTGGTCATTCCTCCTGCTTAAAGATTCTTAGAAAAAGATCCTCTGGTTATCCCTTCTGCCAAAGAGGGTATGTACCACCTTGCCACAGAGAAGGACAGCACCCAGTTCCTGCATAAGCCAAGCAGGTTTCTAGACACAGCTTGATATGCATGTGCTCTAGTGGATCACAAGATGTGGCAACAGAACACCTGTGTATTTTAGGAGCCAAAACTCTTGACTTCTCTGGCCTCAAATATATACGTTACGCCTTCAGATTAGCTTATCTAGAAATAACCCCCTGCAAGTCTCCTCTCTACACCTAAGGGTGCCCTGGAAGTGGTGCCCACCCTCCAGGTTCCAAATTTGCATTCTCTGCCATTCTTTCTACAAATGTGAAAGGGTGGTTAAGGTGTGCTATGGTTAACTAATGCACAATTAGCAATCAAACTGCACAAAAGGCTTAGCAGGTAGGACAGGTAAGCAGCTGGGAAATGAGAGTTCTTGGGAAGATTTTAGGGGAGACAAACTTTCCTTTTCCATATCTTACTGAAATAGACCATTTCCTATAAGACACCAGACTGGGCTTGTGGGTTTTTTTGCTATTCCGCATCAGCCTTCATCAACCTGGTGCCCTTCAGATGTTTTGTACTACAATCAGCCCCAGCCACCACAAGGAGCTGTAGTCTAAAATATCTGGAGGAAGCCAGTTTGCAGAAGTTTTCTCTAAATCAGCAACAGTAGCTCTAGGCACACATCACAACTAAGATATCTTGGCTGAAGAGGATCAGTACGCTATGAAGTTTATATAACTATTTAACAAACACACACAAACACTAGAAAGCACAGTTGCTTAAAACTGAATGCCACTCAACTGAGACAGCTGCTCCCTTTGGAATTATGTACCATTCCAATGCACTGGCTCGCCTCCCACTTTCCTGTTACAGACTAAGGCCGAAATGACATTCCACCACCTCTGACTGCTCACCATGGCACTGAAGACATTTTCAAGGAGTCTTCCAAGGCTGAAGTCACTGGCACCTTCATCTGAGGACAGGACAATGAGGGTGATGCTGGGAACACCAAACACAAAAATGTTAAGGATATAAATATAGGCAGGAAATCTACAGGAACTCTTCACCTTAAATGCCACCATGTTCAACAGAGATGCAGCCTACAAACAGCTGTCTACAACCGTGATGGCTAGCAACTTGATTTGGTTTGCCATCACAAAAAAATATGTGAAAAACTTGAGTGAACCCTATAAAGCAATATTGTATTTATGTGGTAGCCTGCTAGCCATGGATGGCAAGGCACTGTGTGCAGGAAAGTGAAAAGGCTGATAGAGGAAGGAGGACAAGCATAGTAACACAGCCCACTTTCCTTCCTCTGACAGCCACAACTGACTAGGAAAAAATTATGTAAGTTAGCAACTGTTGCCCCTAATTTACTAGGTATCTGCTGCTACATTAAAAAAAAAAAAGAAGATCATTAGGGCTGAAAAGCCTAATGAAAAGAAGCTTGTGTGTGTTTCTGTTCAACTCTTTAGTATTTTTGTGTTAAAGGGACGCGGGTGGCGCTGTGGGTAAAACCTCAGTACCTAGGACTTGCCGATTGTATGGTCGGCGGTTCGAATCCCCGCGGCGGGGTGAGCTCCCGTCTTTCGGTCCCAGCTCCTGCCCACCTAGCAGTTCGAAAGCACCCCTAAGTACAAGTAGATAAATAGGTACCGCTTTATAGCGGGAAGGTAAACGGCATTTCCGTGTGCTGCGCTGGTGCCGGCTCGCCGGAGCAGCTTCGTCACGCTGGCCACGTGACCCGGAAGTGTCTCCGGACAGCACTGGCCCCCGGCCTCTTAAGTGAGATGGGTGCACAACCCTAGAGTCGGACACGACTGGCCCGTACGGGCAGGGGTACCTTTACCTTTACCTTTATTTTTGTGTTACATTTTAGAACAGAGTTTTGCAACCATGAAAGCAAGAATGAAATACAGTTATTAGGGCTTGAAGAAGGCCCCCTTGGATTAAATAAAATATATAAGAAGGCTGCACAGGTCTTATGAAACATTACAAATGAGAGGGATTTGTCCCTCTGCCCCCGCTGCTCCTGCTAGATTGAAATTCCTGCCCTCTGCTGAAGCAAAATGCACCCCTCTTACCGCAACGAACCCTGACGAAGGCATGGAACCTCACCTGTTATGAAACACTTTCCACACCACTCGAGTATTCTCTGTACAGGCAGCTGTCAGTAGGACATCCAGGTTGGAGCCAAACATATGAACCCCATTCAGGGAGCCAATCACAGAGAATGGCAGCTGTGGGATAAAGGTAAGCTTTAGTATTCTATATATTAATATGCAAAGCTGTTATATACTTAGTCAGACTCCTAATTTTCCCCATTCAGACTGACAGTAGCAATTCAAAGTCAGTGTGGAGGCTTATTTTTTTGCCCTGCTAATGGAAGGGGTTTTAAATCAGCTTTTGCTAACCTGGTGCCCTGCAGCTGTTTTGGACTCCAACTTCTGTTACCCCCACCAGCCAGTGGTAGCCAGGGCTGATGGGAATTGTAGTCCAAGGCAGCTGCAGGGCTGTAGTTTGGTGAAAGCTGCTTTAACTTTATCGTGTTTTTAATCTGTTATGTAATCTTTGTATTTGAATTGCTCCTCTCTGATTTTAAGTTGCTTTGATACTTTTTTTGTATAAGGCAATGAGAAAAAATCCCATATCAGATCATTTAGTATTGACTGACTGATAATGACCCCTGCAAGATATCAGGCAGAGAGAGTCAGAGAGGTCTTTCCCAGGCCAGCCAACTGAAATTAGCTGCAGATTGTCAAGGGTTGTAGCAGGAACCACCTTCAAAGCATGTTGCTATACTGCTGAAAAATGGATCTTCCGTACAAACCTATGAAGTCGCTATGTCATACCACTGGGCCACATACCCCAAGGCTCTCTACTTTGACTGACAGCATCTTTGCAGGCATTGCTCTTCCCCAAAGGTAATTCCATAAACAAAGTATATGCTGTACCCACAAAGAATTGTAGAACTGTAGAGTGGGAAGGGACCATGAGGGTCAGCTGGTTCAACACCTTGCAATGCAGGAATCTTTCACCCCAAAGGGGTCTTGAACCCATGACTTTGAAATTAAGAGTTTCCTGCACTACTGACTGAGCTCTCTTTGATGAACTGCCCTGAGATCTTGCGATGAAGGGTGGTATATAAATCTAATACAGTGGTACCTCGGGTTAAGTACTTAATTCGTTCCGGAGGTCCGTTCTTAACCTGAAACTGTTCTTAACCTGAAGCACCACTTTAGCTAATGGGGCCTCCTGCTGCCGCTGCGCCACCGGAGCACGATTTCTGTTCTCATCCTGAAGCAAAGTTCTTAACCTGAAGCACTATTTTTGGGTTAGCGGAGTCTGTAACCAAGCGTCTGTAACCTGAAGCGTCTGTAACCCGAGGTACCACTGTATATAAATCTAATAAATAAAAACAAGGGCGCAGCGGGGTGGGAGCAGAAGCCGCAACCCCCCACCTGCTGCTTGGAAGAGCCACCTCGGCTCCTGCAATACAAAGGCACTCCGCTGCTGGCCGTGAGGCACAGCAAAGTCACGGAACCTCCTGCTTCGTCCCACATCTTGGGGGCTCCTCCGCTCGCTCTTCTCCGTCAGCGGCTCTGCGCAAAGGAAGAAACACCCCCCCCCATCACCGCCGACGCCCCGTCAGGTCTCCCCGCCGCTCTTTCCGCTCCTCCAGCACGACCACATTAGCCGCCATCTTGGGGAGCCCGAGGCACGCTGGGGCGCGAGCGACGCCGTCGCCGTGGCAACAGGCGCCTCTCAGTGATTGGCTCGTTCGCTCCCCTTCCCTTCCCACGCCACGCCCCCTCTCCATTTCCATTCGGTCCTCCTGGGACCAGGGGGCGGGAGGCGGTGCTGTCAATCCAGAGGGGAGGGGAAGGCGCCTACGCGTTGCGTCCTCGGCGCGCGCCGGGGAGCGGACCAGAAGGAAATCGCTTCCGGTGAGGTTCAGAGGGAGAGCGAGGAAGAGAAGCCGGATGTCTGCGTTGGGTATGGGAATTGGAAGGGGGGTGGGGCTGGAGGTGGGGGGCCGTTGCTTAGGACAGGTGGGGTTTTTTTTGGGGGGGGGGTCCGAGGAGAGCACAGAGGCTGAAGCTACAATTCCCCTCCCTGCTTTTCTTAGTAGGCGCACCTCCCCCCCTCCACCGTGCCTCCCTCGCCCTCAAACTCTCCTCTTCTCCAGCAAAGCCAAAATGTTCCTTTATAATTTGTTCAGGAGACCGCTGTAAGCAAGTGAAAACATTAGCAGGATTTTCATAACACTTGTAAAGTAGCAATTATCATGGACAATATGGAGAGATAAACAAAAATGGATTATGGAATCATATGCAGTTGGAAAGGTTGACAAAGGGACCCATGGAGGGGATGGTGGGAAGCTTGGAGATTCAGGGAAATCTCTAAATATGGATATGTATTTGATATTGTTATAGCTTTATATTTGTAAAATCAAATAAAAATTATTTCCAAATATATATATGTTGCACATTGGGGAGAAAATGGGGGGGGGGTCCTCCTCCCTCCCACCCCAGAACTCAAAGCCAAGCAGCAGAAACTTCTGGGCTGCAGATTCACGGCCGGCAAGCGAGGAGCCTTTGTTTTGCCCAGTGCAGTGTTATTACATTTAAGGAACTCGCTGAAACAAGATGGAAGAGGGAGAAAGGTTACGCTAGTGCAGTTTTATTTAAACAGAAATAGATGGCTTAATGTTGTTTTTCAAAAGGGGAACTGTCAACTGGTGCTAAGCATGACAGCAAAGTGGCTGCTGCTGCCCCACCCCCTAAACGAAGGCTGTTTCTGAAAACCGGTTTGGGGTGGGGTTGTTATTAGGTTTCTCATCTGCCTAGCGCCGTGAGGTTACAGCAATATAAAAAGGCAATGCTGAAATCAGTTTAAAAGCAAGCTAGAAGAATAGGGTGGGTCCTAAAATATATATTTCTGCTGTCAGAGGCTTGTAGACTCATGGGAAGTAGCCAGCCAGCCAGCCAGCCAGTGTGGGAAGTGGGATGTTGGACTAGAATCCCTTTCTCACCACATGACAAGCTCCTTTGTTACTGCTGAGCTGTCACTTTCCCGCTCTGTAATTGTCTTCTCTCTTCACCACCTTATTTGGATTACAGCCCAGGAACGCGGGTGGCGCTGTGGGTTAAACCACAGAGCCTAGGACTTGCCAATCAGAAGGTCGACGGTTCGAATCCCCGCGACGGGGTGAGCTCCCGTTGCTCGGTCCCTGCTCCTGCCAACCTAGTTCGAAAGCACGTCAAAGTGCAAGTAGATAAATAGGTACCGCTCCGGCGGGAAGGTAAATGGCGTTTCCGTATGCTACTCTGGTTCACCAGAAGCAGCTTAGTCATGCTGGCCACATGACCCAGAAGCTGTACGCCGGCTCCCTCGGCCAATAGAGCAAGATGAGCGCCACAACCCCAGAGTCTGTCACGACTGGACCTAATGGTCAGGGGTCCCTTTACCTTTGCCTTCACCACCTTATTTGGATTACAGCCCAGGAAAGGGGGAAAGGCGATGAAGGGCTGGGGTTGGGGTTAAGGAGAGGCCCTTAGGTTGCATCTGACACATGTGCTGGAATTTCCCCACCCTTGGACTAGAATTTTGCTGTGATTGAGCAGGTCTTTTGCATCTACTACCCACCTGCCTGACCCTACGTTACCTTCAGATCCACTTCCATTTGACTTGCTTCTCTCTCTTTTACCCATTTCTCATTTCCCTCCTTCTCCTCTTCTGCCCTGCTTATTTAATGAAAAGACAGTGACCCCTTAAAGAGACCACAAGGTTCTGTGTTTTATACAGCATGTGTGCCTTTGCTATGGAATAAATGTTAAATAGCCGTTGATTTCAACCTTGCCTCTGTTATTAATGTTTTTGCCACATTACCTCACCACGGGTAGCTGGAGGAGATGGTGGTGCCAACCCTGGACATGCCTGCTCAGCCCATGGGGATGGTTGCTGATGTGGTTTTCGTCATCGAGGGCACTGCCAATCTCGGGCCCTACTTCGAGTCCTTGCGCAAGCATTACCTTCTTCCTGCCATTGAGTGAGTGTTTTGCATGGCCCCAGGATGCAACTGCAGTAGTAGCTTTGTTGCAAGAAAGGAGAGGCTCTTGGGAGACCCTCATAGGGAAGGAAATGTTGGGGGAATGCTCCTTTCACGGGAAGGACTGCAATCACTCACTTTGCATCCTATTTGGAAATGAGCTTCACTGAAATCGATGAGATTTGATGCTTAGTAAGAGGCATTGGAACAAGGGAGTGCAGGATTAAAATATAGTCCAAACAGGGTTTTTCGTCAGCTGAAGAAACAACTGCAAGTAGAAAGATTTGTTAACTTTCCTGATCCCAAATGACATAATTTTGGGGCATGGAGAGGAATCTAAATTAAAAGAAAAACACATTTGCAGAATTAAACTATCATAAATGATTTTATTTATGTTTGCCCCAGTAACCAGGCAAGTAGAGCATGGCAAGTGACTAAATTGGGAATAGTGATAATAGAAAAAATAATCCTGTGATTTCACATCCTCAAGTGCATTCCAGTTTCTCTAATGTGAGCCAGCCCTTCTGCATTTTTGTCAAATCTTCTCTTTTATTGCCAGGTACTTTAACGGTGGTCCCCCTGCTGAAACAGACTTTGGTGGAGACGTAAGTGTGTGGATGCACTTTTGAATTTGTTAATGAATTCAAGGAATTTTGTGGGCTCTGAAGATCACCTTTCTTTGAGTATACCTAGTTGCTTACTTGCTTACCTGGTTGGTTGGTTGCTTGCTTACTTACTTAAAGCATTTTTATCCTACTCTTCAACTGAAAAGATTAAATGATAGTTCCAACCCTAAAGCTCACAAACACACAATGTCAAATGAAAAGGGATATTGGGGGGAGGGGAGGAGCAAGTAATTGAATAAGTCATTAAGCTGTGCATGTCAAAGGGTAAGTAGATAGCACATGAACACAGCAATGATTTCCAAACCTGTGGAGAATCATCCACATGCAGCCAGTGAGCTGCCTGAGATCTGCCAGTGAGCTAGTATTAGTTTAGTTTTTCCTGTTTTCAAAAATATATATATTTGGGGGTTAAAATTAAAAATGTGAGATGTGACTAATAACAATTTCTTCTATACAAACAACCACACAAATTTGTGCACACACCTCAATGGCACAGACACACACTTCCGCAACTTTGTAAAAGTTAATTTTCAAATGCCAGAATTCTTGCATGTCCAAAGTAGATTCCCGCAGCCTGTGTGTTGATCCACATTCAGTCATCAGCCTATTGCTTTTTGTCATGGGGAGGTGACAGGAGCTGTAACAAGCAATGGAGTCTCTTTCCCTGGCTGCCCAAATCTCTAATCATACAATTTTTGGTAATGTTGTCATTATTTAAAATGTCCTTTTTAATAATGAGAACGGGCAGATTCTCTTATGAAGATTGATCAAAGCACTGGGGGATAGTCAACATGGTGCCCTCCGGATTTAATAGACTACAAATCCCATCACCCCTGACCATTGGCCAAACTGGCGGGGGATGATGGGAGCTGTACCCTCCATATCACCTAGAGGGCACATGTTGGTTACTTTTAATGGAAGCCAAAGCTCCTGATTAGCGACACAGCCAAGCAGAAGACCAATGTCCTTGCTTATGATAGTCAGGGTACTGAAAATTCATTTGGCCCAGAGCTACCCTATCTAACCAGCTTCTGCCTCCCATCCTCATCTACAGTATGGTGGTACCCAATACAGCCTGGTGGTGTTCAATACGGTGGACTGCGCCCCTGAGTCGTATGTGCAGTGCCATGCACCAACTAGCAGCGCTTTCGAGTTTGTCACATGGCTTGATAGCATTCAGTGAGTCTGGGACCGTACATTATGTTCTTTTATTGGCTGCATTGTGCTACACAAGGGTTGCATTTTCGTGTGTAAGGGCTTAGTACTGAAGAGGAATCTGATGTCTTGTGACTTTTTGCAACCAGGAAATACGTCTCAGCAAAACAGCACAGCAAATGTTATGGGGGAATAATGTTCAGTTGCCCTTAGTTTGGGTCCATGGCCTGCCTCACAATTATCTTTCTCCTCTGCTTGTGTAGCATGCTGAGGCCTAGGTTCATCTATGAAGAGAATGGCCTGGTTGGGAGAGGGATGGGTCATCCATTTCTGGATGATGGAATGGAAGGAAAAGCTTCTGGGTTTTCTAGGATTGGTATCCAAGGTCTTCCAAGTTTCCTGGGAAACATATGAAGTCCTATCTCTGAATCTTGTCTCCATGGATTCACAAATATTTTATTAGCTCTTTCAAGTTAATCAATTTAAAGGATTTGGGTGGTAGACCTGGGAAAGAATCTCTGCATAAAACCTTGGGAGATCCACTGCCAACTGGAGTAGACCAGCCTTCTCCAAGCTGGTGCCCACCAGATGTTTTGAGCTACAACTCCTCAGCCCTAGCAAGCGATACAAAAGGTTGGGGATAATGGGAGTTGTACTTCAAAACATTTGGAAGTGATCAAGGTCAGGTTGAGGAAGACTGGAATATTGGATTAGCTGGACCAAAAGCTTGATGGTATTTAGCATTTTTGTGTATGCCTCAGCTCTGGGGTTTGAGAAGGAGACCTTTGGTTCCCTGCACTGTTCCTCTTTATCATTTTGGTTTCCCTAATTTCAGATTTGTGGGTGGTGGCGGTGAGAGCTGCAGTCTCATCTCAGAAGGCCTCAGCACCGCTCTGCAGCTCTTTGATGACTTCAAAAAGATGAGAGAGCAAATGTAAGTGGATTTTTGTGTGAAGGGAGGGCAGAAAGGATACAATGGGTGTGCATCTGTGTTTAATACTTACAGAACATTAGATGTTTAAAATTGTGAAACCTTTTCGCTTTGCTTTGTGGTTTCCCTAGATCTGGAGTTGTTTTGCAGAAAAAGGGCAAAAACATCAGTCCAGGTTGCATGCCATATTGAAAACAAACTACTTCTGTTTAATGTGATTGAGCAGTGTGCTGGTGCACTGTACTGTATTGTTCTTGCTCTGCTACTCCCTTCCTCCTGCTGCTGGGATACAAATGTTAGTCCAGCTTGTTATGACATCTGAACTCCAAACAGATCCCAAGCAGTAAGCCAAGAGCATACCTTGATCACTACAGTCGTACTTTGGTTCTCAGATTTAAACCGTTCCAGGAGTCTGCTCGACTCCCAAAATGGTTCAAAAACCAAGGTGCAGCTTCCGAATGGCTGCAGGAGTTTCCTGCAGCCAATCAGAAGCCGCTTCGGACATTCGGCTTCCAAAAAACGTTCGCAAACCGGAACACTCACTTCCGAGTTTGCGACGTTCAGGAGCTGATTTGTTCGACATCTAAGGCGTTTGACTACCAAGGTATGACTCTACTGGGTTGTGTTTCTTGTCATGGTGTTTTTCAGAACCATTTGTGATTTCCTTTGGAAAGTCATAAGATACCTAGAAATGAAAGGTCTCATGGGTGGGGGTGGCGCTTGAGCTTCTGTGCCAACTATGGAAGCTTTTTCATGCCCTTGTTTGTTTGTTTTTTAAATTATGTGCTTCCCATCTCCCCAAGTGGCTCAGAGTTCCTGGGGCAGCTACACCAGCTGTTGTTTTTAGATGATTTACAAATTGCTTACATTTTAGGGGTGAAATATAAGCAGTTTACAATATATCTTAACATCCTCAATAAAGATCAAATACAAACAATGCTATAAAAGTACCTGTATTACAAACACCACCATTAAGTAGGGCATCCTCTTAAACATCAGAATAAATATTAGACATGAAAGTTGACTACAAAAATGCAATGGAAATCCCACATTTTAGAACAAGTTAACTGAACAAAGCATCTTCTAAACTTCAGTATAAAAAATTACAAGTGGAAATTAACTACCGAACGATATATTCCGTATTTTGAATTAACCTAATCGTTATTTTCGGAGAGAGCACAGGAGATACATTCAAATACAGTGATACCTTCCATCTCAAACTCCTAGGCTCCCAAACAAATTGGCTCCCGAATGATCGAAGCCTGGAAGTGAGTGTTCCGGTTTTCGAATGTTCTTTCGGAAGCCGAACATCCGATGGAGCTCCTGCAGCCAATCAGAAGCCACGCTTTGGTTTCCAAACGTTTTGGAAGTTGAACAGACTCCCGGTACCGATTCTGTTCGACTTCCAAGCTACGACTGTACTTGCTTTAGTTGCAAATATTGAAGCAGAGTTGAAGGCAGTTTCATCCCTGAAAGCTGAAGGGAAAGCAATTGCTTTCCTGAAAGCTAGGACTGGGGAATCTCCAGGTGGGACGCTCGAGGCTCAGGTCAGCAGGACGTTGCAGATGGGCTGATGTGCACCTCCTCACAATCCCTTCTCACTTTATTCCCCCATGGGTTCTTTGAGCATCTTAGTAGTGCCATCAGAACGCTACATTGCTTTTGAAAACCTAACTGTATCAAAGCACTGCACGCTTGGACCTTTTGGTCCCCAAGACTCACCTGTTTCTCCCCCCACTCCCCATGTTCTCCCCCCAAACAGAGGTCCCACACATAAAGTCTGCATCCTAATCTGCAACTCCCCGCCCTACCTGCTTCCAGCTGTGGAGAGTACCACATACTCTGGCTACACAACAGAGAATTTGGTGCAGAAGATTGGTGATGTGAGTAGAAGAAGCTTGGTTGTAACTAGACTCCTCGTTTCTCCAGATTCATTCATTCATTATTACATTTTTATACACCTTTTCTTCTAAGGAGATCAAGGTGGTGTTTATTGTTCTTCCTCTTCCCCAGTTCATCCTCACAACCAAACCAAGATAGGCTTGTTGTCGTTTAGTCGTTTAGTTGTGTCTGACTCTTCGTGACCCCATGGACCAGAGCACGCCAGGCACTTCTGTCTAAGATAGGATTAGTTCAGGGATATTTAAAAAATAATAATTTTATAAGTCATGCGTCCTTGTTTCTCAATTTGATCATTTTATGTGGTTTTGTACATTTTGTGTTACTTGTAGCTTTGTAAGCTTTTGTGGTATTTTATGCATTGTTGCTTTTTTTTATTATAGTTTAGTCTTTGTCGTAACTGTTAAGTGTAAACCATTTCATTGTTATTTGCCGATATTCAGTTTTACCGTTTGCTGTTGAACGCTAATGGATTATTGGATATTGCTTTATTTGATCTAAGTTGTTTATTTTAAAATTATGCTTTTATTGTGGCTTTTTTGTGTGTGTTGGATCAGATTTGTTATGAGGCGTGTGATGATCTTCGCTGTCTATTCTGTTGCTTCTTCAGCTTGTAAACCGCCTTGCGTGTAGCAACGTAGAAAGGCGGCATACGAATTAAACATGACATGAAATTGAAATGAAAGGTGGGGCACCATGTTCCCTCCTCTGATCACCTACCAGGATTCCTTCCCACATGCCAGTCGGAGTTAGACAGTTCAGGGGATTTGGGGAGCTTTTAGGGGTCTCCTTTCAACATGGGAATGTGGGAATTGATGCTTCCTCTGCTCACCTGCTCCGTCTCTGTTCCGCAGCGTGGGATCCACTTTTCCATTATCTCCCCCCGGAAGCTCCCTGCACTGCGCATTCTCTTTGAAAAGGCCGTGACGGGGGGCATGATGGAGGGCCAGCTCAAGGACTACAGCCAGGACCCCCGGCATATGATCCTCATACGCGGCATGGCTCTTCCAGGTAAGATCTGGCCTGGGAACAAGCTGTGGGCAGGCTCTAAGAAGCATCACACACACCCTTTGAGTCAAGAAAGGGTCTTGGACATGTGTTTACTGCAGGGTGATAGCCGTGCATCAGGCTCTAGGACTGTGCTCTACAACAGAGAACTGTTTATGGACTACAGTTCCCATCATCCCTGACCATCTGCTAGCTAGGGATGATGGGAGTTTTAGTCCAAAAACAACCGGAAGACCCAAGCTTGGTAAACCTTCTGTTTACTGATATTTTTTGCCTTTCCGCTAGTCTGCTCAAGGAGGACAGATCAGTCTCCTTCCAGCCTGTGCTGGTTTCACACCTGTCAATTCAGAACTCTGTTCTTACTCATTTCTGCAGTGATCGGCCACAAACGGTCTAATGGACACCACATATTTAAATGCAGCTTTTGAACATATTTTACCCTACAACAGCCATTCTAGTATGCATTTTGGTACGTTTCTTGAGCCGAGAACTGCATTGCAACATTTGGAGAGCGGGAAACCTGAAAGATAACTGTGTTCTGATCCATACACGGGCCTGGGGCGTGTGTGTTAGCTCTGTCCCTATCAGAAGGAACAGAGGACTCAAACATCCCCTGCACTCGGGGTGTTGAGCAGCACTTGGACTAGAGAAGTTGGGCTAAACGAAGATCAAGATAATTTTAACAGTAGAAAATGGAGCAGGGAATTATAGGGACAGATCTACCTAAATTGTATAGAAATTTGTTTACCGTATTTTTCGCTCTATAAGACGCACCAGACCACAAGACGCACCTAGTTTTTGGAGGAGGAAAACAAGAAAAAATTATTCTGAATCTCAGAAGCCAGAACAGCAAGAGGGATCGCTGCGCAGTGAAAGCAGCAATCCCTCTTGCTGTTCTGGCTTCTGGGATAGCTGCGCAGCCTGCATTCGCTCCATAAGACGCACACACATTTCCCCTTTTTAGGAGGGAAAAAGTGAGTCTTATAGAGCAAAAAATACGGTATGTATGCTACTACAGCAGCAAGATTGCTACTTGCCCAAAAGTGGAAGAAGCAGGGGTCCCAGTAAAGGAAGAATGGATACAAAAAATTATGGAATATGCAGAAATGGCGAAACTTACTGGAAGAATGAGAAATCAAGATAACCAACATTTTATTTTGAAAAATGGAAATGGTTTATTGAATACTTACAGATAAATTGTAAACAGATGAAAACATTAGCAGGATTATTGTAGTAACCTGCAGTTTCATAAGAGTATATATCTACAGTAGATAATTAAATGAGCAAGCTAAAGGAATTTGGATATGCAGAAGATATTAAAAAATAAATTGAAGGAACTGCAGAAAGAGGGGTTCGGAAGTCAAATTTTGAAATGTTAAATTGATTGTAAAACTAATGAAATGTATTGATTTGGAAAGTATAAATAAAAACTTTTTTTAAAAAAGGAATTCAAAAAAAGAAAATGGGGCGGGGGAATGTTAGTCCCTCTTCTGTTACCGGCAGCAGGAGGGTTGAGTCATGCGCACATCCTAGTGTATGGGGGTTGTGGGGAGAGAAGTGTCTGTTGCGCACTTCCTGCTGATGACTAATATCTCCCCTGTCTTTTCCATTTGCAGTAGGCGGAGGAGCAGCCGCCAACACGCTGCAGGCCAAGCAAGCCGTGCCCCAGCCCCAGCTCCCCACAGTTCCACCCCAGCTCCCTCCCACCCCACCTCAGGCCCTGCCGGCAGTTTCTCAGCCATACCAGGTACATCCTTTGCCCTGGTAGGTGGCGGTGGTGGGATGCCGCCTCCCGAAAGCTCATCCCTCTCCAATCTTGCCCATCTCTTCTTTTTAGGTGACGCCATCGGCTACGCTCACTGCGGCCCAGGCTGCAGCTCAGTCTGCCGTGGAGGCGGCCAAGAACCAGAAAGCCAGCTTGAGCAACCGCTGTGAGTCCCTCGTCTGTTCCCCCAGGATTGGGGTTTCTTGGGGAGGAAAGGAGGCTGCAGGCTAAAGAGGGGTGAGGCAGTGGAATTTTTCGTGGTGGAATACAGTGGTACCTCAGGTAACATGCACTTCAGGTTACATGCACTTCAGGTTACAGACTCCACTAACCCAGAAATAGTGCTTCAGGTTAAGAACTTTGCTTCAGGATGAGAACAGAAATCGTGCTCTGGCGGCATGGCAGCAGCAGGAGGCCCCATTAGCTAAAGTGGTGCTTCAGGTTAAGAACAGTTTCAGGTTAAGAACGGACCTCCGGAACGAATTAAGTACCGTATTTTTCGCTCTATAAGACGCACCAGACCACAAGACACACCTAGTTTTTGGAGGAGGGAAACAAGAAAAAAAATATTCTGAATCTCAGAAGCCAGAACAGCAAGAGGGATCGCTGCGCAGTGAAAGCAGCAATCCCTCTTGCTGTCCTGGCTTCTGGGATAGCTGCGCAGCCTGCATACGCTCCATAAGGCGCACACACATTTCCCCTTACTTTTTAGGAGGGAAAAAGTGAGTCTTATACAGCAAAAAATACGGTACTTAACCCGAGGTACCACTGTAGTTAGGGGCAGAGGTGTCAGCTTGCAAGGGCGATTGGGGTAGGGAGAGGAAATGTCCTGATGTTGGGGTTCATGGTGGCTGGTCCCGTGACCGTATTTCCTTCTGTCTCTTCCATAGTTGCCTCCTTGAACCCCATGCAGCCTGCCTTCAGCCAAGCTCCCGCACAGACCCTCCCCGCAGGCTCTGTACCAGCCCTGCCTCCCAAGCTCCCGGCTTCTTCGCAGGCCAGTCTGGTCTCCACGGTAACCACAGGCTCCGGCCTCCTGGTCCCACAACCAGTACAGGCCCCGCCACCGGCTGGGCCCTCAGCCATGGTATGTACGGTAGGCCCCCGGAGGTCTTTGCGTGAGATGCGTGTGGAGGGGAGAGGTGTGTGTATCTTTGGGGGGGGGGGAGGCCGCCTTGTCCTTCGAGAAGCGGTTGTGAGATGTATGCTTCGCGCAAAGGGTGACGGCCGAAACACTATCAGAACACTCAGTTTGCAGGGAATGCTTTGGAAAAGGAGTGTGCCAAATTCTCCTCTTGGCTCTCAAACCGGCTGCAAGCAACTGGTTCATTTTGCTGTTGCTTTATTCCACCTCCCCACACTTGCCTCTGCACAGGACATAATGCGAAGAGATCCAATTTCTTTTCTTTAATGATTCTTAATTAAAATGCAAACTCAAGAATAAAACAAAATCACAAAAACAGGTATGAAATATTGAAGCTGAGACATTGGGTTGTCGTTTTTATTCTGATTATGTATTTGTGGTTTTACATTTTGATTTTATTCTGTGAACCGCCCTGAGACCTCTGGGTATGGGCCAGTATATTAATAAGAATAAGAATAAAAAGAATAAAAATAAATAATAATAATAATAATAATAATAATAATAATAATAATAATAATAAAACTTCATTGAGAACAGATATTTACTTACAAGCTGATATACAGATGCTATTTAACCCCAAAGAAGCTACCTCAAATGCACAGAAATGTATCAAACAAGTGTTGGAAATGCAAGGACTGTGAGGGGTCGTTCTGTCATACGCGGCGGACTTACAGGAAGGCATATATAATGAAATTAAGGACAATCTTAAAGTGACTTTCCCAAGAGGCCAGGATCCTTCCAGCTGGGCATACTAGACAGCGAAATCCCAAAGGAAGCCTCGGCAGTATTTATGTCTGTGACTACGCCACAAATTCTGTGTGCTCACAAATGGCAGGAGAAGAGAACATCCTCAAAGGAAGAATGTTTGATGAAAATCTTGGAATACACAGAGATGGCAAAATGGATGACGTTGATAAAAGATACGAGTTTAGAATCTTTTAAAGAAGACTGGAAACCCTTTCTAGTCCACATTCGAAGATCATAGCGAGGTTTGAAGTGTTAGAAAACAGCAGAAACCCATATTAAGGAACATGATAAAGAGGGATGAAATGAAATAAGGTGGAACCTTAAGACGCAATTGTATGTAATTTGGGTTATAGACATCGATGTTGGGTGAGCGGGAAGTCACTTGTTTTGTTAGAGTACCGTAGTATCTCAGAAGTCAAATGGAATCTGTTCCGAAAGTCCATTTGACTTCCAGAACATTCAGTAACCAAGGCGTGACTTCTGATTGGCTGCAGGAAGCTCCTGCAGCCAATCAGAAGCTGTGGAAGCAGCGTCAAGGCGTTCAGGTTCCAAAGAACGTTCGCAAACCGGAACACCCACTTCCAGGTTTGTGGCATTTGGGAGCCAAAACATTCGATTCGCAAGGCGTTCGGGATCGAGGGTACGACTGTATAATCGTTGAGTAACGAATGGAAATAAAATAAAAGATCATTATAAAAAGAGAACAAAAGTTTACAGACATGTGAGAAAAGCCCTCTGGAAATCAACGGCCTCAGGGCCTGGTCTCAAGAGCGTTGGGCTCCAGACCCTGGTAAAACACAGCCTGGGCTCCCAAACATTATGTCTCTCTCTTTTCTCCCCACCCCACAGCCTAGTGGCGTCCCTCCCAACAGCATGAACGTGGCTCAGCCAGCGCAGCCACAAATCGGGGCCACACAGCAGTCGGTCACGAACAAGGTGATAGCGTGGAGCGGCGTGTTGGAGTGGCAGGAGGTGAGAGCTGACTCGTGGCGTGGGGGAAGGGTGAGCCGAGAGCACAGAACCGGTTTTGCCTGGCATGTTTTGACAGTCTGCCCCATCCCTCTTCCCCCAGAAGCCCAAGCCGGCTTCAGTGGATTCCAACACCAAGCTGACTCGTTCCCTGCCCTGCCAGGTGTACGTCAATCAAGGAGAGAACCTGTGAGTGCCTGTCTGCGGGTCACCAAAGGAGGGGGAGCGTGCGGTGGTCAATGGCTACGGGGCAAAATATAGCGATATTCTGCCTCCACTGTCAGAGGCACCGAGTTTCTGGGCACCGGAAGTAGCGAGAACTCAGCTGTGATCAGGGGCTGCTTGCGGGGTTTCCCATAGGCATATTGTTTAATTATCTGATGGATCAAGTGGTTGCATTTGTATCCCATCTTCTTCTCTAAGGATCTCCCAGGCCCTAGGTCAGCACTCTAACCACTGCTCCGCACTGCCTCTCAAAGGCGTCAGGATTTGAACCAGGGGCCTCTTGATCTGCGGTCAAACGCTCTGCCCTTCTTTGGGCTGCTGTGAGGAGACCAGATGAGCCATTTGGACCGATCTAGCGCTGTGGGTTAAACCACAGAGCCCAGGGCTTGCCGATCAGAAGGTCAGCGGTTCGAATCCCCACAACGGGGTGAGCTCCCATTGCTCAGTCCCAGCTCCTGCCAACCTAGCAGTTTGAAAGCACACCAAAGTGCAAGTTGATAAATAGGTACTGCTCCAGCGGGAAGGTAAACGGCGTTTCTGTGCGCTGCTCTGGTTCGCCATAAACGGCTTAGTCATTCTGGCCACATGACCCGGAAGCTGTACGCCGGCTCCCTTGGCCAATAAAGCGAGATGAGCGCCGCAACCCCAGAGTCGGCCACGACTGGACCTAATGCTCAGGGGTCCCTTTACTTTACCTTAGCGGGGCTTTTCCGAATGCTAAGCTAGAGAGCCGTTGTTTGTGGTGAGGCAGCCACGCTGGAGTAAAGACAGACTTAAGATACAGGAGGAATGGCCATGGGGGCATGGTTCAGAGTTAGGTAAGTTTTCGGAAAAGGATGCCAGCAATGCAAGTGGGCAAGGAGCTTCTGATCCCATCTCAGCCATGCTCTTGTTTTGTTTCTAAGGGTGCTTGGGAAGGATCTGGGGGCAAGAACAGGTGCAGCTGTCTTTAAATTCCAAAAGAATAGCAGCCTCCCTGGTTTGTGAAAATTAATGGGGGAAGGATACATTTGTCGTAACCCGAGGTGGAGAACCTCTAAACCAGGGGTGGCAAGATGTCTCCAGATCCTACCATCCCTGACTATTTGGCCATGCTATCTGGGGCTGATGGGAGACGGAGTCTTTTAAAAAAAATCTGGAGGTTCTACAAGTTCGCCACTAACGCTGTCAGTCTTGAGAATTGCCGGATAAGGCTCCTTTCCTTTTTTTGAGAAAGTACCGTATTTTTCCATCTATAAGACGCCCCCATGTATAAGATGCCCCTGTTTTTGAGGACTCCGATTTAAGAAAATGGGGGGGAGATGGCCCCCATGTATAAGACGCCCCCAAATTTTGGACATTATTTTTAAGGGGGGAAACATAGTCTTATACACGGAAAAATACGGTAGATCTAATCAGGTTGCTTGGAGCGGGGCCTTCTCGGTGGTTGCAGCTGCCGAGTGGCCTCCTTAGGGAATCCCAATGAGTTTTTCTCCTGGCTGATGGTCAACATGTTGTGAAGATCTCCACCCCCACCCACCCCCATCCCCAGGAGTTTTAAGCTGAATTTGGTGGCTATGTGGATGCATGATATCTCCCATCGGCGTGTTTCCTCGTTGGATTTTTGTCATTGCTAATTGCTTATTAAACGTGTTAGATATTTTGCGGCTGCGCGTAGCCTTATTTTAAGGAGCAATTAGTACACCAGGTTAATATGCTGTGGCGTTGCAGGGGGCAGGGCATGCTGCTAACTTGCCTGTTTTTTGCTCCATTCCAGGAAGGCGGAACAGTGGCCCCAAAAGCTCATCATGCAGCTGATCCCCCAGCAGCTTCTGGTAAGAGGCGAGATCAAGGTGGTTGTAGGTGGAGCCTGTCATAGTGTTAGGCTATAACCCAGGGGTGGAGGGCTTTTTCCAGCTCGAGGGCCACATTGCTTTCTGTGCAGCCTTTCAGAGGCCGCATGCCAGAGGTGGTAGAGGTCACAGGCAAAAAATAAATAAATAGCCAGTGCAACTACTAAACCTTGCCATTGTACAGGATGCTGGTTTCAACACACAGTTGCACATCCCTCCCTGTCACGGCTAAAAATTGGCCGCTGTTTCTTTGATGCTAAAAGAACTAAGTCAGCATGAGCCAGCGGCCTACAATGACTCATGCAACCTTTCACCAAATTATACCTGTATATATAGAGTGGTCAGTGTTAGTGTTGAGTGTGGGTTGGTTGGATGGTAGAAAGCCGGTTGCGTTTGGTGTGTGTAAAAGCTGTCGGTCGTGGTTGGAGAAGAAGACTTTTTAAGAATAAAAGCAGCAACACTCTGCAAGAATACTCTTTCTCAAAGACACTTTTGTGCCAACTAAGGTCCAAGGACTAGGCAACAAAGTAAAAAGGAGGTCAGAACCTTTTCTTTTTCAAACACTGTCACTCCCTACTATTCATTTGTGCAAGAGAAAGGCCCTCATCCAGCCCACCAGTGCAGCCAAGCACCAGTTTAAGACAGTTACAGCCTCCTCTCCTGATTCAAATCACACACAGAGAGAGACAGAGAGCTTGGCACCATGAGCACATTGATGACGTCACGCCCCCAATCTCCTAATGGCCGCTCCTGAGCAGCATCTGTGTTTTTAACGTATCATTTTTGTTTGTTCAATTTGGTCAGCGATATCTTTAAGCTACTGAGAGATCAAACAGGAGCAACATAAGTTGCACCTATGCTGCATCAGGTGCGGCGCTCGATTGGCTGCACGACTGAGTTTGAAACTCCCTTGTGCAGCCAATCCCTGCAGAAAACAGCCAGTCCAGCCCGCTTGCTTGGGGAGTCCCAGGTCTCTTGTGTTAGTTTCTGTTTTGTGCCACTGTGCAGCTGCTTGGGATCACAGGACTCTGTTTAGATTCCAGAGACCTTCCAGGCTGTTGGAAGTCTCACGGAGATGGGAGACGGATGTGACATACTGGTTTCCTTTGTTCCTTTGTTTCAGTTGCTCTCTGCTTTCATAGAGAGAGGATGTATTTTTGGAGAGCCAGTGTAGTGTAGTGGTTAGGAGCGGTAGACTCGTAATCTGGTGAACCGGGTTCGTGTCTCTGCTCCTCCACATGCAGCTGCTGGGTGACCTTGGGCTAGTCACACTTCTTTGAAGTCTCTCAGCCCCACTCACCTCACAGAGTGTTTGTTGTGGGGGAGGAAGGGAAAGGAGAATGTTAGCCGCTTTGAGACTCCTTCAGGTAGTGAAAAAGCGGGATATCAAATCCAAACTCCTCTTCTTCTTTTCTGTCTGCGTAGCTTATAAATAAAACTCTTTGCAATGTAGCCATAAATCTCATCACTTCCGCATGCTGCTGGAAACTCTGCTTAATGGGAACGTGCGCGAGGCCTCATCAAAGGCTCAGGTCGTTAATTATTCTTCGGAGGCGATTCCGAAGGCTCGGCCGGAGGAAAATGAGGCTTTATCAGCTTGGCCGAGCGGAGATGGCGACATCTTGCACTGCAGTTCCCAGACACCCAGCAACCAGCTGGCTGCCGGGTGCTTAGGAAGCATTGTGCAAGAGACTTGCAGCCCACCTGCCAGTTAATAATAATAATAATAATAATAATATTTTTTTTTATTTATATCCCACCCTCCCCAGCCGAAGCCGGGCTCAGGGCGGCTAACAACAATAAAATAGTACAACATTCTAAAATCATTTCATTATAAAATTAATTCAACTCAAATTGATGGCAACCATTGGGCTAAAGTTCTGTAAAGATTGCCAAAGGAGGGCGTCAGGCTGTACCCTGACCAAAGGCCTGGTGGAACAGCTCTGTCTTGCAGGCCCTGCGGAAAGATGTCAAGTCCTGCAGGGCCCTAGTCTCTTGTGACAGAGCGTTCCACCAGATTGGAGCCATAGCCAAAAAAGCCCTGGCTCTGGTTGAGGCCAGCCTAACCTCTCTGTGGCCTGGGACCTTCAGGATGTTTTTGTTTGAAGACCGTAAGTTCCTCTGTGGGACATACCAGGAGAGGCGGTCCCGTAGGTACGAGGGTCCTAGGCCGTATCCTAGTTATCCTGCGATGCAGTGGTGTCAGGCGATGGGATGCAGGTGGGTTGTCAAAGCGGAGTTACAGATAGCAGATGGGCTCACCCAAAAACGTTTGGTTTGCCGTGCGCAAGCTCAGGCTCCTAACTGTGCTTTTCCTTTTCCCCTGCAGACGACTCTGGGCCACCTCTTCCGCAACTCGCGCATGGTGCAATTCCACTTCACCAACAAGGACCTGGAATCACTCAAGGGCCTCTACCGCATTATGGGCAACGGATTTGTAAGGCACTATAGGGGATGGGGGGCGCGTAACTCAGGTGATTCGGGTGGCATCTCCTCAGGGTGGGTTGGGCATGTCAGGCCAGTCAACATGATTATACAAGCCTCCCATATCTCTCTGCAAACCGACCGACCGATCGGTGCGTCTGGCTGTTAACCAGAAGGTTGGTGGTACAAACCCACCCAGGGACAGCTGCGGGCAGGATTCCTCCATGGCAGGGGGTTGGAGTAGATGACCCTTGGGGTTGAGGATACGCAGAACACAAGGCAAATGCAGGATTGATTCCCAGTTGCCCCACCACACTACTTTCTTGCCAGAGTGGCTGTTCAGTTTTGAACATCCCTGATGGTAGGAGGTGGGTTTTTCACCCGGAGGGTGGCTTCCCTTGGGAATTCAATTTCTTCCCATGGGGGACACAGTCTTGCAACAGACAAACCTTGGCCATAGAGGGCAGAACCTCCCATTTATAGGCGGAGCTTCTTGGTTATGGGGACGGAACCATCATCTTCTGAATCAGGCAGCAATAATAATAATTATAATTATAATTATTATAATAATTTTACTATTTGTACCCTGCCCATCTGACTGGGTTGCCCCAGCCACTCTGGGCGACTTCCAGCATATTTAAAACATAACAAAACATTAAATGTTAAAAACATCCCTATACGTGGCTGCCTTCAGACGCCTTCTAAAGGTTGCATGGTTACTTATTTCCTTGACATCTGACAGGAGGCCGTTCCACAGGGTGGGCGCCACCACCGAGAAGGCCCTCTCCCTGGTTCCCTGTAACTTCACTTCTTGCAGTGAGGGAGCCACCAGAAGACCCTGGGAGCTGGATTTCAGCGTCCAGGCTGAACGATGGGGGTGGAAAGGAGGGGGGGCAGATAATTTTCTCTGTGGGCCGGATTCTGTAGCACAGGGGTGGCTAACCTGCGGCTTCCCAGCAGGCGTTGCTGAGCTCCATCTCCCATCGCCCCGACGATTGGCCTTGCTGGCCCCGGGGGCTGCTGGGAGTTGGCGCCTCAGCTGCGCCCAGAGGGCCGCAGGTTAGCCACCCCTGCTTTAGCAGATGCATCCTTCTCGTCGTCACATGAGCAGGCGGGCTGCGTCCACTTCCCTCACACGACGCCCTGCGAGGTGCGGGTGCTGATGCTTCTCTACTCCTCCAAGAAGAAGATCTTCATGGGCCTCATCCCCTACGACCAGAGTGGCTTTGTCAACGGCATTCGGCAGGTCATCACGAACCACAAGCAAGTCCAGCAGCAAAAGGTGCGGGCAGCTGTTTCCCCTGAAGGCACAGCTCTGTTCTCTCCGGCTGCGTACCACAATACGTTCAGAGTGCATTTTTCTCCTCAGAGAATTCTGGGTGCAGCTGTTGTTTCAGAAGTGTTTCTGGAAACTGTAGCGATGTGAGGAAACCGCAAGGCCCAGAATTCTTTGAGAGGAAAAACATGCTTCAAATGTGCTTTTTAATAGTTAGTTCAAAGGTATACAGAAATGCATACCCTTTGCAAAAGTATCTTTTTTATAATACACAGAGATAAAACAGCTGCTTAATATAAAGAAAGAACAAGGGCAGAAAGGAGAAAAGAAAAGAATAACCTAAAGAGATGCAGTGATACCTCGTGTTACAGACGGGATCCATTCCGGAGGCCCGCCCGTAATGTGAAATCCCCAAAACTCAAAGCGCTGTGTCTGCGCAGGCACGCGGCGCGATTTGGCGCTTCTGTGCATGTGCGAAGCGCGATTTAGCGCTTCTGCACAAGCGGCAAAACCCGGAAGTAACCCGTTCCGGTACTTCCGGGTTGCTGTGGGACATAACGCGAAAAGACAAACATGAAGTGGACGCAACACGAGGTATGACTGTACAGAGACAGTAGGGCTGGGTGATTGCCGGTTTTCAACATTGCAATACAGTATATCACCAGCTAACCATTGCGATATACTGATATATCACTATGTCTGAAATGAGGATGGAGCTATGCAGAGGCGTTGGCTGGCTTCACGGTTTTCCCCGCATTGTGATTTTTGCAAAGCACATGCACACATAATAATTTGCAATATATTGCCAGGTCAAAAACTATCAAACCGATATCATGGTTTGGATTTCAGACTGGTTTTGGATGAAATATCACCCAGCCCTAAGCGAGAGAAGAAAAAGAGAAAACCTTAGAGAAAGAGAAAGAAAGATAAAAGTACTTCCCCCGGCTCTCTGTCCTGCAGCCAAATACAGTATTCACTCATTAAGATCCAACCATTCTATCGTCTGTAAACCAGTATTTTTTCGATCTTCAAATCCAGATATTACAAGTTCATGTTCTCTTTTCTGCAAAAAGTCCACAAGTTCAAATGGACTTTAAAGAGTTTGTATTACATCCTCCATCTCCTTGTCTCTCTCTTTTCCCCCACCCAAAGGCACATTGGCTCGTCACATGTTGAAATCTCTATGACTCTCTCTAACCGCATCGCATCGTGCACTGTCTCCCAGCTGAAGTTGGGTGCCACAGCCCCTCCCCAAAAGCCCCAACATCACAGGCCATTTCCAGTCATGTTTCCACATCTGCCTCTGACCTGTAAGCTTGGGGAGAAGACCCTCCAACATTAAGCTATTTGGCCATGGAAATGACTTGTGGGCACATCAACTGGAGTTTCTAGCCTCACTCCAACTATTTGTTGCATGGCTTTTATGTTTGCTAGCGAACCGCGTACTTCCTTGTGCACAGGTGGAGATTCATGCCTCTTCACAGGCATTTGCTCAAACGCCTGCCTCGATTTCCATAAGCCTTTAGTGACAGAAAGATACAGGCTATTATTTTATTTCTTTATTTTGGCTTAGGTGGTGCCTGGCCAACTCAGATGGTTTTCTCTCCTGGCTTTGGAATCTCCCCGGTCTCTTCGTTCCCATCGCGTGTCCCACCCCCCTCCTCAAGTGCTCATTGTTCTCCTGTCTCTTCCTCTCTTTGCAGCAAATGGGGGGGTCCCAGCCCCTGGGATCCACGGCCGGCGCACAGCCATTCCTGGCAAAGCAGCCTGGTGCTTTGCCGGTGACACAGGGGGTCCAGCAGCAGGTAAGAAGGGGGATGAGAAAGGAAGAGAGAGAGTGTGTAGAAGAGACATGAATGGAAGAATGTAGTATTATTCAATATGGAGCAATGGTGGTGGGAAGTTAAAAGGGGGGGAATTGTTAACATTTATCAATAATAATAATAATAATAATAATAATATAATAATACAATTAGGGAACCTATCTTGGACTTTTCGTAGGAAAAAGAAATGAATGGTTATGCGACACCTTGGCTTAAAAGAAATATTGTTTAACAGAAAGTGGATGTTTGTATGGATCAAAAGTTTTAAGTAATCATATTTTCTGGGGTTTTTTATGTAACCAGCAGATGGAAAACCGTTCTTTTGTTAATGTCTTCTTCTTCTTCTTTCCCCCTCTCTTTCTTTTCTTTATTTCTATTCTCCCTTACTTTTCTGTTTTTACTTATTCGATTTGTATCTTCTGCAGTTGGGATTTTACTGTATCATGGGATAATCTTAATAAAAAATCTTAAAGGGAGGAAAAAAGGCAGAAGAGAGTTTGCTCTAGTTGTTTGCCCGGCGAGGGTGGGAAGCAGCCGTAATGAGGAGCAATGGGGGGAGGCTATCCGTTGACAACCCTGGCATCGCACTGCCTGCGCTCCTTTCTCATTGGCCACCTCCCTGCGTAATGCCCCCCTTTTTTATTGCAGATGGGTGGGCAGCAGGTGAGCCCTGGCATGCCTCAGGTGGGAATTATGGAAGAGCAGCAACGGCAGCAGGGTCTGGTGAGTCGCTTTGCAAAAGGGGGGGCTCATGCCGCCCTCGGAGCCCCAGTCTTTCATGCAGCTCACCCTCACTGACCCCATGGGGCTGAGTCCTAAAACCCAAAGGGAGATGTATAGGGTAAGGGGGATACCTCTGGGGATTAACCTGGCTGCCTAATATCCTAACGTTTCCGAGCACAATTCAAAGTGTTGGTGTTGGCCTTTAAAGCCCTAAACAGCCGCAGCCCGGTATACCTGAAGGAGCGTCTCCACCCCCATCTTTCAGCCCGGACACTGAGGTCCAGCGCCAAGGGCCTTCTGGGGGGTTCCCTCCCTGCGAGAAGTGAGGTTACAGGGAACCAGGCAGAGGGCCTTCTTGTAGTGGCGCCTGCCCTGTGGAACGCCCTCCCATCAGATGTCAAGGAAATAAGCAGCTATCTTATCTTTAAAAGACATCTGAAGGCAGCCCTGTTCAGGGAGGTTTTTAATGTGTGACATTTTAATGTATTTTTAATCTTTGTTGGAAGCTGCCCAGAGCAGCTGGGGAAACTCAGCCAGATGGGCGGGGTACAAATAATAAATTACTATTACTATTATTACTAACTGATGTGGCACTTCAGTTAGAAAACCCAGTACTCTAGCGACACCAACAGGCCTAAATTTTATCTCTGCCACACTTGTTTTTCTCTTGCTGTCTCAGGCTGGCAGAAGCAGGCTAAGCGTGAGGTAATAAGACAGTTCTTTTGCCAGAGAAAAACCCCGCTTTCTCACAACAGCCTGTCTTCCCTTCAGGCAAACCTCTGTGGTCTAAACCACGGAGCCTCTTGGGCCTGCCAATTGGGAGGATGGCAGTTCGAATCCCCGCAATGGGGTGAGCCCCCGTTGCTCTGTCCCAGCTCCTGCCAACATAGCAGTTCAAAAGCACTCCAGTGCAAGTAGATAAAAAGGTACCACTCTGGCGGGAAGGTAAACGGCGTTTCCGTGAGCTCTGGTTTCCATCATGATGTTCCGTTGTGCCAGAAGTGGTTTAGTCCTGCTGGCCACAAGACCCGGAAGGTTGTCTATGGACAAACACCAACTCCCTCGGCCTGAAAGTGAGATAAGCGCCGCAACTCCATAGTTGCTTTTGACTGGACTTAACCATCCAGGGGTCCTTTAAAGGTAAAGGTAAAGGGACCCCTGACCATTAGGTCCAGTCGTGACTGACTCTGGGGTTGCGGCGCTCATCTCGCTTTATTGGCCGAGGGAGCCGGCGTACAGCTTCCAGGTCATGTGGCCAGCATGGCTAAGCTGCTTCTGGCGAACCAGAGCAGCGCACGGAAACGCTGTTTACCTTCCCACTGGAGCCGTACCTATTTATTTACTTGCACTTTGACGTGCTTTTGAACTGCTAGGTTGGCAGGAGCAGGGACCGAGCAACAGGAGTTCACCCCACCGCGGGGATTCGAACCGCCGACCTTCTGATCGGCAAGTCCTAGGCTCTGTGGTTTAACCCACAGCGCCACCCGCGTCCCTAGGGGTCCTTTACCTTTACCTATAATACCCTTTTGCAATCTGGCTGCTGCAGAAGCATTGCAAATAATATGCGTACCTGCTCTGGGTGGCTGCCGATCTTTGTACCTATCAACTGAATCACTCACAGAGACACATGTGCTGTTGTTGGTCCCGGATGGTGTTTTATTAGCTGCCCCCCTCCATTTTGGCAAAGGGGTTTGGGTGGCAGCCCATCTTGTGGGTCGATCTCTGCATTGCCCTTTCACGTGTCTCTCATTCGCCAGGCACTGTTAGATTGTATATGGAGGATGCAGGCCCAACCTAACCCTGAGCTGGGGTGAAGCCACTTCACTGGGTGGGAACAGCAGGGCAGGGCAAGGCAGTACGGCCTGTTTCACCTCAAGTGCCGAAAGGGGATTCTCCACCCCTCGGAAGCCAGAATGGCAAGCTTGACCATGTTTTCTTCTTTTCCCGCCCCCCAGTTGCAGCTCCGAGTGCAGCAGCCTCAGCCAGCAGCTCCAGCCACCAACCAGCCTCCGCAGGCACAAGGCCCCCCCCAGGCCGGGCCCCAGGCCACACAAGCAGGCGCCATGCTTAGACCCCAGAACCCTGGAGCCAATCCTCAGCTCCGCAGCCTCCTCCTGAGCCAGCAGCCGGTAAGGGCGATCTCCCTCCTCTCTCCCATGGCATCCTGCTTTAAAAAAAAAAAACCATTCATTTACTTAGAACCATAGAACTTTCAAAGTGGTCATTAGCGCCAGGCGAAAATGTTCCTCTTTAGCCAGGCCTTTGGCTGATTGACATCCAGTGCCCTTTTAAAATGTGTTATTGGGTTGCTCTTGTTTTTGTTTTTATTATGTATTTTTATGTTTTTATCTTGTGGACTCCTGAGACAGGCAGGTGCAGGGCGGTATACAAATTTAATCATAATGATGCCATAGTAATGAATGCTGTAGACGGAAAACCGCTAGACGAAAGGATTATTGCGTTTTGAGTCTTCGTAGAATTCTCTATGGCTTGCTTCAAGATTAATGTCATAGTCTTGTGATGTGTGTCGCTCTATATATATATAGCCGCTATATATATATAGCCTATATATAGCTATATATATATTCGATAGCTTTAATAGCCGCTGTGAACTTCTCTGATATCTATGGATGAAGGGCGGCCTTCAAATTTAATAAATGATGATGATGATGATGATAACAACAACAGCAACAATAGCCCAGCCCTGCTCAGTTCAAGTCCTGTGATTTTGGTGCAAGAGAATGAGTCGGTTCAATCTTCTGCATAACAGCGTTTGAGCTGTTTCAAGGCAATTTCACGAAGGATCTGGATTGATCTGGAACCGTGCAAGAGCTGTTTTGGGAATGACAAGATTCCCCCATTTAGCTCTGCCAATAGGAGGGTCCACCGTGATTCTCTTGGACATAGAATCATAGAGTCGGAAGGGACCCTGAGGATCATGTAGTCCAACCCCCTGCAATGCAAGAATAGACAGCTGTCCCATATGGGGATCGAACCTGCAACCTTGGTGTTATCAGCACCGTATTCTAGCCAACCGTTCTCTCTCAGTGGAGGAAGCCTGCTGGAGAGGGTGACTCCTCCGTAGGAATATCCAAAGCAGGGCCAAGTAAACTGCTATACTCCTCTCCAGTAGAGGTCAGTCCACCGTCACTGGCAGAAGAAACGGAGAGCTTTTGTATAATCTCCAGGGCCATCGGCCACAAAGCTTTTCCTCTTAACCTAGATGTATATTCAATCCTTCACCGAAGTCCCACCCCACCCCTGCTTCTTTTAGAGCAGGAATGTCCAACAGGTCGATCGTGATCTACTGGTAGATCCCCGGGAGGTTTTGGTAGATTGCGGTCGATCGCTGGGTCCCTTTCCTTAGCGTTGGTAAAATAGAATCCTGCCCCGCCAACTCACCCTACCCTCCATTGTTGCACGGTCTGGGAAGACAGAGTTTACTCAGTGAGGCTGTTGGTTTGTTTCCCCAGCGATCTGTTGGCGAGTGGCTGATCCCCTTTCTCCCACAAGCTGTGACCTGAACCCCTAAAAAATGGGGCTATCCTCCTCCTTAAAAGCTCAACAACTTTGACCTGAACCCCCAAAAAGGGTGTAGATCACTGCCAGTTTTTAATTCTGTCAGTAGATTGCAGTCTCTTGGGAGTTGGCCCCCTCCCCTGTTTTAGAGGAACCAGGGTCCAAAGCCTATACTGAGCAGGTACACACTGCAGTACACCTGAAGTGCTGGCCAGGTGGGTGAAGGGAATGGAATCGCCTTCTGGTAGAGGGAGAAAATAGCCCCACGGCCTCTCATATGTGGAGAGATAGCCTTGTGCCTTGTGTTAGCCACTCAGGGCAGACCCTGGTACCTAGGAGAAAGGTGGCGGCAGCAATATTTGAGAGAGGGAGGGATGGAGACTTCTAAGATGGAAGTAGTTGCATTCGGAAGGTGGGATGCTGAGGGCGAGACGGAAAGGAGCAATCGCTTTGCAGTGTCTGCTCTGCAGTGTTGCTCAGAAGGTGTACCTGTTTGAAGACTCGTCTCCTCTTCCCACTGTGAACGAATCATCTCTTGCCCTCTGATCTTCTCTACCTTCCCTCCTGCACAGCCCCAGGCGGGAGTTCCTCAATCCCAGCAGCCCCTCCACCACCTCCAGCAAGGTTCTCCGGGAATGTTGCCCCACCAGCCCATGGGAACAGCTCTGGGGCATCAGCCTCCTGGACAGCAGCAGCTCCAGCTCGCTGGACAGACCCTCATGCACCAAGCTCCAGGGCAAGCGTGGCCAGGGCAGATGGGACCGCGGGCGGCGCTGCCAGGTAGGATGCGCGAAATCTGCCTAGAACCAAACAGCCAGATGCCTTTGCCACTCCGGAAGCAGCTGTATCTAAGAGCTGGGGGGGGAGGGTCTTTGTTTTTGGCCCAGAGAGTGGCAGGGAAGAAACAGGGAGATCATCAGCATCTTGATGACACCTCACCCCAACTTCCCCGATGTTGGCACTCAGCGGCTTCTTATGGGATAAGGAGCTGATCTTTGCAGAACTCCACAACACAGTTGCCATGGGATGAAGTCTGCTCCCGCGAGTAGAAGCAGTGCCCCCCCCCAACTTACAGAGCCAGTTCTGGAAGATAAAAAGGACCCCTGACCATGAGGTCCAGTCGTGACTGACTCTGGGGTTGCGGCGCTCATCTCGCTTTACTGGCCGAGGGAGCCGGCGTACAGCTTCCGGGTCATGTGGCCAGCATGACCAAGCCGCTTCTGGCGAACCAGAGCAGTGCACGGAAATGCCATTTACCTTCCCGCCGGAGCGGTACCTATTTATCTACTTGCACTTTGACATGCTTTTGAACTGCTAGGTGGGCAGGAGCAGGGACTGAGCAACGGGAGCTCACCCCGTTGTGGGGATTCAAACCACCAACCTTCTGATCGGCAAGTCCTAGGCTCTGTGGTTTAACCCACAGCGCCACCCGCGAAGATACCCCATAGTTGATCAGAAAGAATCGGCAAGAGTTATGCTCCCCTCCTTCCTCTCAAGTCAAGGCAACCAAAGCTTTTCTCGGTGGCAAAACCAGGCTGAAACAGGTCTAGATAATCTGCTTCCACCTTTCTCCTTGTCTATAATGGCCTTCCCTGCTGTATCTCCCCCTCCCAGGTCAAATGCTGATGAACGCTGGTCCCCGGGGGCCAGTCTCCCAGCCAGGTTTGCAGCAGGTTCCTGCCCCCAGCATCATGGAAGACGACATCCTCCGAGACCTCATCTGATGGCGGAGGGTCCTGCTCCAACGCCACCCGGGGTGGAGATTGTTTCTGCGTTGCGGACAGTGCTGCTCTTCCGGAAAACATTGCCATCTTCCTTTCTTTGTGTGTAATATTCCCCCCACCCCCCGTTTGTTAATAAATGTTATCCTCTTCCCTTTGTGTCTTGGTCTTTCCTGAGACAGGTTCGTGCCCACAGCATCTCTGCCTGCCCCTCCCTCCCACCTCCAACCAGGCTCAGAGCTGAGGAGTGGACTCAGGGACCCTGCACATTAGCTCAGCAGCTGACCCTTCACAGAATTTGGGAGGGTGAAGATGGATGGGGGCGGATAAGAAGCAGTTCCCATGCCAGCTTTGGTGAGGGTTTGCACTGCAGAATTGCGAGGCTCCCAGAGGGAGATGTGGGATTGAATGAGTAAGAGCAGGGGTGATAAATCGGGATCTGTAGGCGATACAGTAGATCAGTAAGGGTATCTGACTCTCGGTAGATTGACAACAACAACCACTACTACAAAATAATAATTCTGTGCCACAGCTAGACTTGTGATGATCATTTATCTCTCAGCCTCAGTGTCTCTTACCTGTAAAATATAGAGTATTAAATGGTTGCTGTTGTGCAATTCTGCTGGCTGGTTTTAGTGTTTTATACAGTAGTACCTCTGGTTACGTACTTAATTTGTTCCAGAGGTCCGTTCTTAACCTGAAACGGTTCTTAACCTGAAGCACCACTTTAGCTAATGGGGCCTCCCACTGCTGCCGCACCGCTGCCACGTGATTTCTGTTCTCATCCTGAAGCAAAGTTCTTAACCTGAGGTACTATTTCTGGGTTAGCAAAGTCTGTAACCTGAAGCGTATGTAATCCGAAGCGTATGTAACCCGAGGTACCACTGTATTAGATTCCATGACCTGAAGTTTCTCAGGCAGAGATTTCTGATTTGAATACGTGCGTGATGGGAGTTCGCTTACACTATAATAATTCTGTTAGTCTTTAAGGTAATGCAATATTTCTTGTTTTTCCTTCAAGTTACTAGCCTGACTATCCCTCCAAAAACAGAACTATCCTGTGTCCCTAACTTTCATTCTCCACTATCGCTGCACAAAACATTGCAGTCCGCATTCAAGCTAGTTTTCAGACTGCCTGTTGTGTTGCCCATTTTCTGAAATGTTAAGGTTTCTTAGTGCAGAAATCTAGTTCTGTGGATAACAGTGGCTTGAGGAAGGAGGTTAAGAACCACAATTTTTTTAGGAGTTAATGTTGTTTATTGTGGGCGAAAACTAAGAGAGAGGAGGAGATTGGAGCTCAAGAGTTCTTTAGGAAAGCTAAGGTGTACCCTGTTAGAGAGGAGTGGAAAGGGATACAGAATGGGCAGAGAATAAGCGAAACAGACTAGAAGCCAGGACTCCAGAGTTCTTTGTACCTATCGACTGAATCACTCACAGAGATGCATGTGCTGCTGTTGGTTCCGGATGGCGTTTATTAATAATAATAATAATAATAATAATTTTTATTTATACCCCGCCCTCCCCAGCCAAGGCTGGGCTCAGAGCAGCTTACAAGTAATAATAAAAACAAGTTGAATGATTACAACTTAAAAACAAAATTAAAATACAACATTAAAATACTGAAACATTAAAATATTAAAAGGTAGCCTCCTCGCAGGAGGAGAAGAAAAAGAAAAAAGAAAGAGAGGGAGGGAATCAAATTGGCACCAAGCCAAAGGCCAGGTTGAACAACTCTGTCTTACAGGCCCTGCGGAAAGAAATCAGATCCTGCAGGGCCCTGGTCTCATGAGGCAGAGCGTTCTACCAGGGCGGAGCCAGAGTTGAAAAGGCCCTGGCTCTGGTTGAAGCCAATCTAACTTCCTTAGGGCCCGGGACCATTATTATTAGCTGCCCCCCTCCATTTAGACAAAGGGGTTTGGGTTGCTACAGGAGTTTGGCCCAGTGCCCTGAACAGTGCAGTCGCTGGAGGCCACTTTGCAGAGGTCGCAGTGGCAGCTGACAGCCACAGGGTACGTGAAGATCGGATCGACACCTGCTGGGCATCCGCGCAGCAGCATGGTCTCGTAGCGGACCTCCTTGTAGGTGCAGACTCTCTGGTTGAAGACGATTCGCTCGTCCTTCAGCAACATCTCCTGTAAAGGAAGTCACCGGGCAGGGAGGAAAATAAAGGGAAGTTATAGACATGTCTGACTCGCCCTTGCTAACATAGGAGGAGCAGGGCAGCAACCAAAATGAAAAACCTGACAGGGAACTTCGTAAACTTTGAGTTCTTTTCTAACCATCAAGCAGTGTATAAATTTCACGAAACAAATCAACCTTTAACATTGCCACACTTAACATATTTCTATCCCTCCTGTCTTCCAAGAAAGCCAAGGTGGTTTACATGATTCTCCCCCTGTAAGTAGCAAACCCAAACACAGACGGTGAGGCATAGTAATGTAAAGGACCCCTGGACGGTTAAGTCCAGTCAAAGGCGACTATGGGGTTGCGGCGCTCATCTCGCTTTCAGGCCGAGGGAGCCGGCGTTTGTCCAGAGACAGCTTTCCGGGTCATGTGGCCAGCAGGACTAAACCGCTTCTGGCACAACGGGACACTGTGACAGAAACCAGAGCAGAGCACGGAAACGCCGTTTACCTTCCCGCCAGAGCGGTACCTATTTACTTGCACTGGCGTGCTTTTAACTGCTCGCTTGGCAGGAGCTAGGACAGAGCAGAGGGAGCTCACCTCATCACGGGGATTCAAACTGCCAACCTGATCGGCAAGCCCAAGAGGCTCACAAAATTCTCATCTGCCCTTTTCTTAGCACTGCTTTTTGGAGGGCATAGTGACATGCTTACTCACTTCGGGGTTCAGTGCTAAAGCCCCCCAAAAGGAGTGCACTTGTGTGCCTTCTAATTTTCAAGAAAGACGTTTGACAATCGTGTAGACCAGGGATAGGGAACTTTAGGCTCAGGCCCTGAATGGAACCTTCTGGGCATCTCTTCCTGACTTTCCAGGATGTACCTTCCTCAGTGCCTTTCCCTGGTCTCCACAACCTCCTCAAGTGGCTTAGGGCTCTCGTATTTACGGGACCGCCTCTCCTGGTCTGCCCCTCAGAGGACCTTAAGGTCCATGAATAACCATAGTTTGGAGGTCCCGGGCCCTAAGGAAGACTATCCTCCATCAGGGCCAGGGCCTTTTCAGTGATGGCTCCAACCTGGTGGAATGCTCTGTCCCATGAGACTAGGGCCCTTCAGGATTTAACCTCCTTCCGTTGGGCCTGTAAGACAGAGCTATTCCGCCTGGCCTTTAATTTGAATTCAGCCTGATCTTTTATTTCCCAACTCTTCCCTCCCCCTCCCCTTTTATGAAGATTACCCGCTCTGAGACCCCACAGCTAATTCTCCCTTGGCCTCCTCGCTGGCCCAAGTAGGACTAATTCAGCCAGCTAGCCCTGGCGACTAATGCTTATTAGATGGATTTCCCCCAAATTGATTTCTGAACTTTGAGTTTTATTGTTATTCATGCTTTTATGCTGTATTTTATGCTGCTTCTACAATTAAGTGTTTTAAATTTGTTATTAGCCGCCCTCAGCCCGGTTTTCTGAACCAGGAAGGGCGAGGGATAAATAAAAAAATATTTATTATTTAAGTGCCTTCAGCTGTTAAAATGTCCACCACAGTGCTGGCAGGCGAACTTTTCTCTCAGCTTGCCCAATCGGATGCACTTGATGCCAGGACCGATGGGAGCTGGAGTGCTGGCGCCATCTGGTGGGCTGCTTTGATTTAGCAACACGTGCTCCGCTCAGGTCAATACTGCATAATTCTGAGCTTCAAATGGGTGCCTGGCTTCCTAGAATGGCATTCCCCATTCCCCCGCTTCACAACGCCCCACATATGCACACAAGCGCGCACATACACACCCTGGTCTCGCAGTAGCCACTGCAGATGGTGGTGGTGATGGGCATGCAGACGAGGCAGTCTTCTTTCTCGGCCGCGATGGTGACATTGATGGGGCGGCAGGCAGGGGTGTGGCTGGTGATGCCCGCGTTGCTCCTGCGGCTGGCGGTGGGGGTAGCCACCAACAGGAAGAAGGCTGCCAGCAAGAGGATCTTTCCCTGGTTGTAAAAGGAGGGAGAGGTGAGAAGCAGGGATTGAGGAGTTTGAGAGCGAGGCTAGTCTGAGGTCTATACCAGGTGTTGGTGAAATTGTTGCCATGGTGGTTTTAAGGGGTTGGGTGGGTGGGTGGGTGGGGGTACCAGAAGGAGGCAAGGTTAGAGCTAATGCGGTAGGAAGTGCTTGAGCATCAGGAGAAAAGTCTTGACAGCAGGAGCGACAACACAACTGTTATAAGAATTCTAAGGTCTCAAATATAAAATACCGTATTTTTTGCTCCATAAGACTCACTTTTTCCCGCCTAAAAAGTAAGGGGAAATGTGTGTGCGTCTTATGGAGTGAATGCAAGCTGCGCAGCTATCCCAGAAGCCAGAACAGCAAGAGGGATTGCTGCTTTCACCGCGCAGCGATCCCTCTTGCTGTTCTGGCTTCTGAGATTCAGAATATTTTTTTTCTTGTTTTCCTCCTCCAAAAACTAGGTGCGTCTTATGGTCTGGTGCGTCTTATAGAGCGAAAAATATGGTAAGTGTTCATCAATCTACAAGGCACATCTACAACACATATGTAAGTATATAAACCATGTGTCTGAAATACAGTAGACGACCGGGTTGTGAACGTGATCCGTGCGGGATGCATGTTTGCAACCCACATCTGCGCATGCGCAGGTTGCGATTCGGTGCTTCTGCACATGCACAAAGCGCGATTTAGCACTTCTGCGCATGTGTGACTGCCAAAACCCGAAAGTAACCTGTTCCGGTACTTCCAGGTTTCGGCGGTCCGCAACCCGAAAAAACGCAACCTGAAGCGGCTGTAACCTGAGGTATGACTGTAGTACAGGAGAACAATCCTGAAGCCATTTTGACTCTCCCAAATAAGCTTTCCAATTGTCTTTTTGGCTGTAGGGACTTGCACCTCCCTTTTCAAATACAGTTTGGGAAGTATCTGTTAAGCTGAGCACACTATCAATATGTGTAAGAGATTCAGGAACTAAGCGCGCTTTGGCAAGGCTACAGGTTTTCTCCTACCGATAGGGAACCCACCTAAGGACTCTATACAGGCTCTGGAATACCCCATAAGGCAGTGTTGTCCAAACTTAGGTCTCCATCTGTTTTTGGACTACAATTCCCATCATCCCTCACCCCTGGTCTTGCTAGCTAGGGATGATGGGAGTTGTTGTTCAAAAATAAATGGCGAGTTTGGGAAACCCTGCCATAAGGGAAAGGGAGCAGTTTTTCTTATAACACAACCAATTACCTAGAGCGGTAATTGGGCTCTCCTCCCTGCTGAGTTCTACAAGGGCAAAACCGAGGCACCACCAGCACATTTAAAGCAGCAGCATACCACTGTGAACAGGAATGCTTCCCACTTTAAGGCTGGTCCAACACATTTTGACGTCCGAGGCAAGACATGCCACGGGTACCCACCCCCAAATCCGGGCTCACACTCCTGCAGGATGGGAGGAGACCAGGATCAATGCAGCCGCTCTGGGCAGAAAGGGGGCATTCCACTAGCTGTTACCAATGTTTTTCGGTTTTCAGCTACCTCCTTTGGCTTACCCGAAACCGAGTCAGGATTGGGACCTCTCGTCCCCTCAGAGCATGCGTCCCAAAACAGGTCACCTCACACTGCCTCAATGGCACGCCAGCCACGCTCCAGGGCACTGAGATTAGGGCAGGGAATTGCCTCCTAAGCGTTTTCCCTCAACAAAAAATTGTAATTCTGTAAACCTTAAGATTCCCTTAGCCCTGCTAGTGTCTTTTTCACTATATAGCATACCCTCCAACATTTCTCCAATGAAAATAGGAACATCATTATTATTATTATTATTATTATTATTATTATTATTATTTGTTTATAGCCTGCTCAGCCACCCTGAATGGCTTCCAACATGTATAAAAACATTTTTTAAAAATTAAACATTAAACATTAAACATTAAAAAACTTCCCTATAAAGGGCTGCCTTCAGATGTCTTCTAAAGGTTGTATAGTTACTTATCTCCTTGACTTGGTGGGTTGGGTCACATATCTCCATATTTATCCAAGGAAAATTGGGACGTGCCGGAATCAAATGAGACACTAGGACGGCTTCTGCAAATCTGGGAAATAGGGGCACTTGGAGGGTTTGCCCGTAGCTTGCACGATACCCTTGCTGCCGTCGCACTCCCTGAAATGCTTAACCCATCTAGCATTCGAAAGACCCAAGCAGTAACCATTGCATTGCAACCTCAATAAACAGTTCATGCTATTCTAAAGTTGCTTCTCTCAGCAGTGAATGAGCAAGAACCGCACGCTGATCCCATGTTCTGCTTGAGTGGGCGCCTTATTCGTTTACACCTACCTGGATCAACTTCATCTCGTCTCCTGGGCTGGCCTGGATTGGAGTACCTCCGCCCCCTACCTTGCACCTCCTTTTATAAGGTCTTCCCCCTCCCATCACGCAACCCACAGAAGCCTCAAGGACAAAGCAAAGGGGGATGTGATGATATCTGGTTGCCAAGCAGGTTGCAGCATCAAACGGTGCCAAAAAGGCACTTTCACTGTTCTCTTGGGAAGCGCCGTTTTTCGGCTCTTCCTTTCCATTCAGCCAATAACAGCACCCTCCAACATTTATCCAATGGAAATAAGGGATGTCCGACCGTACCCTCCAACATTTCTCCAATGAAAAATGTGGTGTTGTTGTTTAGTCGTTTAGTCGTGTCCGACTCTTCGTGACCCCATGGACCAGAGCACGCCAGGCACTCCTGTCTTCCATTGCCTCCCGCAGTTTGGTCAAACTCATGCTGGTAGCTTCAAGAACACTGTCCAACCATCTCATCCTCTGTCGTCCCCTTCTCCTTGTGCCCTCAATCTTTCCCAACATCAGGGTCTTTTCCAGGGAGTCTTCTCTTCTCATGAGAGGGCCAAAGTACTGGAGCCTCAGTTTCAGGATTTGTCCTTCCAGTGAGCACTCAGGGCTGATTTCCTTCAGAATGGAGAGGTTTGATCTTCTTGCAGTCCATGGGACTCTCAAGAGCCTCCTCCAGCACCATAATTCAAAAGCATCAATTCTTCGGCGAATTGATGAAAAATAGGGACGTCCTAAGGAAAGGCAGGATATTCCGGGATCAAATCAGAAACCAGGTTGGCTTCTGTAAATCCGGGACTGTCCCTGGAAAATAAGGACACTTGCAGTATGACTACCATATGTCCAGGATTTCAAAGGCTAATTTCCAAAATGTGGTGCTTTGTTCTGCATCTTAGGCAAGGCAACAGAAAATTCACGGTTTTTTGGTGGCGTTTTGTAGAAAAAAAGCTAAACAATTTTTGGGTTTTCTTTTAAGAAGCTCAACAATTTCAGTGGTTTCTAATAATAATAAAATAATAATAATAATAAAGCTCTTCCTAAAAAACCCCCAGGCTGTCCTGGTTTTTATATTCTGAAATATGGCAGCCTTAACTTGGAGGGTCTCAGAGCCTTAAAGGCCATGGCAATGTGATATGATGTCCAATGTGCCTGAAGGCCCCAAGGCGGGCTTCGGCCCTGACAGTCCTTTTGCCCATTCCCCGGGGTCTGAGTCAACTTCCCCCTGCCTGCTAGGGGCACCTCCAGAGTCTAATCCCAGCCGTTTCCCGTTTCCCGCTCATTCCTCCTCCCTCTCTAACTGGTCCCGCCAAGGTGTCTCCACAAGGCTCATGAGCAGGGGTGGAGCAAGGTGGGGACGGGGGGGTGGACCGCCCCGGGTGTCATCACTGAGGGGGGTGACATTTGGCATGCCACACACCCATCAGGGGAAGGGGGGAGTTGCGCCGCTTTGCCAGCGGCCTTCCCCCTTCGTTTTGACATGGAGGAGGCAGGCAGGGAGATGATGGGAAGAAGAAGAAGAAGAAGAGGAGGAGGAGAAGGAGTTTGGATTTGATATCCTGCTTTATCACTACCCGAAAGAGTCTCAAAGTGGCTAACACTCTCCTTTCCCTTCCTCCCCCACAGCAAACACTCTGTGAGGTGAGTGGGGCTGAGAGACTTCAGAGAAGTGTGACTGGCCCAAGGTCACCCAGCAGCTGCATGTGGAGGAGCGGGGACGCGAACCCGGTTCCCCAGATTACAAGTCCTCCCTCAAAAAGCTCAACTTTGGGCAACCCTTCCCTTAAAAAAGCTCAACCACTCCTGGCAATGATGACAATGAGTAGATCACAGCCAGTACAGTGGACGCTTGGGTTGTAAACGTGATCCATGCGGGAGGCACGTTCGCAACCCACAGCGTTCGCAACCAGCAACCCGCGCGTCTGTGCACGCATGGGTTGCGATTCGGTGCTTCTGCGCATGTGCAAAGCACGATTTAGCACTTCTGTGCATGCGCAAGCAAGGAAACCCGGAAGTAACCCGTTCTGGTACTTCCGGGTTCGGCGCAGTGCGCAACTCAAAATCGCACAACCCGAAGCATCTGTAACCTGAGATATGACTGTATTTTTTTACTGTGAGTAGATCGCAGTCTCTTGGGAGTCCAACTAGATTTCAATGGGGGGCGGGATGTGACAAGAAATTTTCCACACCGGGTACCACCTGACCTTGCTACGCCACTGCTCATGACAGACAAAGGCTCAGCAGGTTAACAGCAGGTTCTAGGCCCAGGGCCCGTTGAAAACATTTAGTTTCCTGAAGCAGTGCCACAAATTCCACCTGTCCTACAATACATATAGTACCTCAGGCTAGCCACGTTTTATTGGCGCCTGAGGAAGCGAATCCCACAACTCCCCTCCCTGCTCTCTGGCAATAAATATACAGTTATAATAATGCCTCCCTTATTATTTATTATTTTTTGAATTTATATACCGCCCTATACCCAGAGGTCTCGGGGCGGTACACAGAATTAAATCAAAATATAAAACCACAACTTCCATAAACAACAACAACACAATAACCCCCCCAAAAAACCCCACATTTCCCCAGAAACTTATGTTTGTACAATGCTCTAAATTTGGGGGAAAGTGCTGGATTGTATAATTTTGACCATCCAGAAAAAGCTGAAATTTTCAGCAGAGAACATTATTCTGAACTGTATACCTATTGTGTGGAAGTTAACAACAGGACAACGAAAATGGATTCTATGCGCTCTAATGGTAACCAAGAGACTGATATTGATGAACTGGAAGGATAAATATATGATCCCCTTTAATAAATGGATTGACAACATGATAACACTCGCAACTAATGAATAGACTGCTTACAGACGTAGACTTTGTTTGGATAAATATGACAATATATGGAATGAGTTTATGCAAAATGTAGCAGGCTATTAATATTTACATATGTATTAGGAGAATAATATCAAATTTATATGAGAATGTATGGGTTAGGGCATTTCTCATATATTGTAAATACAGTGGTACCTTGGTTCGTGAACTTAATCCATTCCGGGAGTCCCTTCGACTCCCGAAACCATTCGAAAATCAAGGCACAGTTTCCAGTTGCCTGCAGGAGCTTCCTGCACTCAAGCGGAAGCTGCATTGGACGTTTGGCTTCCAAAAAAGTTCGCAAACCAGAACACTTCCAGGTTTGTGGCATTTGGGAGCCAATTTGTTTGGGAGCAAAGCCGTTTGAGTACCAAGGTACCACTGTATTCGTATAATGCTTCTTTCTACACATTTTTTAGACCCCCCCCTTTCCCCTTTGCATCACTTTATTTCTTCATATTTGAAACCTTCCCAATAAAAATTTAATTTATAAAGTTACAAGAAGTTAAATTGCAAAAAAACCCCAAAACCTGCTGCCTCTTCAGTGCACCCAATATCAACTGCCTGAGGCGGCTACCTCACTCTGCCTATTGGTGGGGCCAGTCCTGTCTAGGCCTGAGATAAGGATCAAATTAATCCTGGGGGTGCTGGCGGATAATTAAAAAAAACTAATTTCATACCCCACAAGTGTTCTGGAAAAAAACAGGACATATTGGAGGTAATGTAATCTGCATTTCAAGATGAAATCAACCAGTTTTCATCTCCTGCTGCCAGCAGTAACAAAAAACAAATGAAGTGGCTAGAGATTTTTTCCTAGGCCACGGGTTCCTATTTCTTGTCCAAGGCCATTAGCTCTGGGCTACACCAGGTGTGTTGCTAGGTGACAAATCCCTGCTTCCTTTGACACATCCCTTCTACCTGAGTGGTGTCCCTGAAGCCAATCCCTGCCATGGCGGAAAGTGTAGGAAGACAGCAGCTTGCCTTGAAAAGCAGCCAAGTGCCGACTAGGCTTGAGCTTGGTTTCCTAAGAGACATGAGCCCATTGGGATGCAAACAGTTCAATTCTGTTCGGCGCTGGGCTGAGACCCCCTTAGCAGAGATGAGCTGATAATGATTGACGATGGGCTTTTTCCACAAAGAGATCAAAGGAAGTTGGCAGTGCCAGGTGGGAAAGGGATCACAAATTTTAAGGATAAAATTTATTGAGTGAGTTTACTTATATGCCATATCCTCCGACGTTTCTCTGATGAAAATAGGGATGTCCCATTCCACAAAACCCTACACATCTTACTGGGTTGCCCCAGCTACTCTGGGCAGCTTCCAACATATGTAAAACATTAAACTAAAGGGACCCCTGACCATTAGGTCCAGTCGTGACCGACTCTGGGGTTGCGGCGCTCATCTTGCTTTAATGGCCGAGGGAGCCAGCGCACAGCTTCCGGGTCATGTGGCCAGCATGACTAAACCGCTTCTGGCGAACCAGAGCAACGCACGGAAACGCCGTTTACCTTCCTGCCGGAGTGGTACCTATTTATCTACTTGCACTTTGACGTGCTTTCGAACTGCTAGGTTGGCAGGAGCAGGGACCGAGCAACGGGAGCTCACCCCATCGCAGGGATTCGAACCGCTGACCTTCTGATTGGCATGTCATAGGCTCTGTGGTTTAACCCACAGCGCCACCCGCATCCCCACTTATACGCCATATCCTCCAACATTTCTATGATGAAAATAGCGATGTCCCATTCCACAAAACCCTACACATCTTATTGGGTTGCCCCAGCTACTCTGGGCTGCTTCCAACATACTGTGGTACCTCGGGTTACAGATGCTTCAGGTCACAGACGCCTCAGGTTACAGACTCTGCTAACCCAGAAATAGTACCTCGGGTTAAGAACTTTGCGTCAGGATGAGAACAGAAATCATGCGGCGGCGGCACGGCGGCAGCAGGAGGCCCCATTAGCTAAAGTGGTGCTTCAGGTTAAGAACAGTTTCAGGTTAAGAACGGACCTCCAGAACGAATTAAGTTCTTAATCCGAGGTAACACTGTATTGAGAAGCAAAGTGGCTAGTAAGCCTGGTCTTTATTAAAGGAAATAAACTGTTGTAATAGTCCCCAGTCACCACATGCAGGAGGGAGGAGGAACCCAGAACAATGGTGCGCAAGCCCTTATATAGATTTTTGATCTATACCACTGTATAAAACATTATTAAACTTTTTTTTTTTTAAATCCCTATACAGGATTGCCTTCAGACAGCTCAGGGGCAAGATAACTCCATACCCTACCCTCCAACATTTCTCCAATGAAAATAGGGACATCCTAAGGAAAAGTGGGACATTCTGGGATCAAATCAGAAACCGGGACGGCTTCTCTAAATCAAGGACACCCCTGGAAAATAGGGACACGTGGAGGGTCTGATTTGCTGCTTTCCCACCATGAGCTGTGCCCAAATCAGCTTACAGCAAACATTCAAAACATCGAAATACAAATATAAGAAAAATGCAGAGCACGTCAGTAAATTTTTAAAAATGACTGAGATAAATTTAACAAACATAGAATAAATTAATATTGCAAAAAAGAAGGAAGGATGGATGGATGAAAAGGAAGGGAGGGAGGGAGGGAAAAAAGAAAGAAAGAAAGAAAGAAAAGCAGTTTTTGAGCTGGTTCAGGGTCAACCCTCTGGAACAGGCACCTCTTCAGTGCGCTGTTTATCAGAAGTGAAGCTTAGTATATGTCCTTGGAGCAAGCTTCTCTGAAATTGGATTACCCTGTGTATGCTGTTGTGAGTTGTTTTGCCAGATGGGCAGAGTGCAAATAAAACAGGATGGAACAATGATGGGCAAAAAATGACCCTCAAAAAGGGCGCTCAACTCCTGATCAAATGGAAAGGTAGCAAGGAATTGACAATGGAAACTGTTGCTCTCTTATCCTACCAAACAGTCTTCCTTGTCTTCCTTTTTGGTTTATTATACAGTGGTACCTCAGGTTAAGTACTTAATTCGTTCCGGAGGTCTGTTCTTAACCTGAAACTGTTCTTAACCTGAAGCACCACTTTAGCTAATAGGGCCTCCTGCTGCCGCCGCACCGCCGGAGCACAATTTCTGTTCCCATCCTGAAGCAAAGTTCTTAACCTGAAGTACTATTTCTGGGTTAGCGGAGACTGTAACCTGAAGCGTATGTAACCTGAAGCGTATGTAACCCGAGGCACCACTGTATTATAGTAGGTTTCTTACACAGCTACACTCCCAAAGAGCCAAAGTTAACGCTGCACCTAGCTAGCTTTGTTAAAACACAGGCTTTAAAAATGCACTGAAACTTGTCTGTATATATTTGTGTGCACTCAAAACACATTGCTGTGATTAACAAAACAGAGGAAAAAGGGTTTCGGAAGAACGTGTCTGACAAAGGCTGAAGCTGAAACATTTTGCCACATAAATAAAACCCCGATTCTGTTAAATCACAGTTACACATATATTATTTTAGTGATTAACTAAATCCCAGTCCCCAAAGGGATATGGAGCAAGCTTGTGGAAAGTGCTGTTGGATACCTTCATCTACGCACACGTACCTTTTGAAAGGTCTTTTCAAAACACACGCTGTTGATTAGAGCCGGCGCTACAGCTTGTGTCTGGAAACAGTTAAACTACACAGCAGTATGGAAGAGCTTGTGCCGGGTGCTTTTTAAGAGATTCCCCCCTGGGCCACCAGCTGGTACCTGCTGAAGCAGTACTTCGAAAACACACTGAAGCAATGAAAGCCAAATTGATGTAGAAGCTAAAATGTATTTATTAACTCACTTCTTTTATCTATATATATTTTATTTGGTTTTACATATTTAAGTTTACAATCATACCACAACACATCCAAGGTTACAAGGGTCTCCCGAATCTCTGGACTTCTTCCCCTTCCTGGGTTCTGTTAATAAACCTTTTCTACTGCACCTTTTTTTAAATAATCCAAGTTTTTTTTTATAACTCCATTGTGTCCATAGTTCTCGTTACATTACAAGTGTTATTGCAGGCCTGCTAATGTTTTCAACTGCTTACAGTGGTCTTTAAGGTAAATTGTAAATTTCCCCCATTCCTTATTAAAGTTTTGTTCTTCCTAGTTCCTGAGATTTCTGGTCAGTTTTGCCATTTCGGCATCGTCCAACAGCTTCATTTGCCATTCTTCTCTGGTAGGGACTTTATCTTCTTTCCATCTCTGAGCTAACAGCATCCACGCAGCTGTCATCGCATACATAAAAAGTATTTTCTGCTTCCTTGGAATTTCGGCACTTATAATTCCTAATAGAAAAGCCTCTTTTTTATATAAAGTGTAGTTTAAACATTTTTCCCCCAATTCATTATATATCATTTCCCAGAATGCTTTTATTACCTTGCACGTCCACCACATATGGTAAAAGGTGCCTTCTTTTTCTTTACATTTCCAGCAGGTACAGTGGAACCTCGGGTTAAGAACTTAATTCGTTCTGGAGGTCTGTTCTTAACCTGAAACTGTCCTTAACCTGAAGCACCACTTTAGCTAATGGGCCTCCTGCTGCCGCTGCCATGCGATTTCTGTTCTTATCCCGAAGCAAAGTTCTTAACCCAAGGTACTATTTCTGGGTTAGCGGAGTCTGTAACCTGAAGGGTCTGTAACCTGAAGGGTCTGTAACCCGAGGTACTACTGTATTTGTACCTGTCATATATTTTTGCTGACATTGTTGTTGTTGTTTAGTCGTTTAGTCGTGTCCCAGACTTCATGACCCCATGGACCAGAGCACACCAGGCACTCCTGTCTTCCACTGCCTCCCGCAGTTTGGTCAAACTCATGCTGGTAGCTTCGAGAACACTGTCCAACCATCTCGTCCTCTGTCGTCCCCTTCTCCTTGTGCCCTCCATCTTTCCCAGCATCAGGGTCTTTTCCAGGGTGTCTTCTCTTCTCATGAGGTGGCCAAAGTATTGGAGCCTCAGCTTCAGGATCTGTTCTTCTTTTGCTGACATACTTGGTATTAAATACCAACGGTACATCATTTCCATATAATTTTCTTTCAACGGACAGCATGCCGTGAATTTCAAATCAGTTTTGCATAAAATATTTATCAACTCACTTCTGGTGTTTTGGACTACAACTCCCATCAGCCCCTGCCAGCTGAGGCTGATGGGTATTCTTCCAAGGAGTTCAAGGGAGAAGCATACATACTTCTTCCCCTCATACTGTTGTCATAACAACCCCATGAAGAAGGTGGAATGGTGTGTCGATGCATGTGATTGGATCACTGTCAACCAATCAGATCCAAGATGTAAACATGGATCACACCAGCCCTTATCCAATACTTGCACCCACAACCTCATATCGGCTCTGGAATGATGGACTTGAGCATGATTTGCTCCAGTTTGTCAAATCCATCCCTCCTTCCACGCCCACCTGTGTGAGTTAAAATGGGCATGTGAGTACGCAAGGACAGCCCTCCTAAAGCTAAAAGTATAAATTACAAAATGGAAAACAACAACTGAAGATTTCTATCTCAGATCTGTGCCGTTTTCTGAATGCTTCTAAATGCCAGACTGTGAAGTATAATTCTTGAATGAACATTGAAATGGAAAATAACACTATAATGTGTCTGCATGTATACTGTGAAGCATGGCATGAAAATTTCCATTGAAGCGAAAGAAAACTGTGAGGAGAACCTAACAAGTTAATAATTAGTGAGTATATCTACTTGGCTCAGTCACATGGTGTTTAAAACACCTGAAATATGTATATGTTACAAGCACATGCTAATCTGTGGTCTTCTATCTTGGGAGGACTGTATCTTTGTTCTCAAGCTACTGAAGAGAATGGATGTTTTACTCCCTCTCTCTGGTAGAACAGCCTCAGCCTAATGGAGGCTGAAATGGAGAAGAGACAGAGCTTTAATTTTTAGTTCTGGAAGATATTCATAATCTAAGACATCTCACCTATGCCGGCATCAGTATATCATGCAACAAACTGGATGTAAATTTATTGCTTGAAGTCGAATGAAGTTTGAGTTCTGCAAGTAAAGCTTTCCGAACTGTATTTTTGGACTGGACAATTTTTATTTCAAAGAAGAGTTCGCTTTTATTCATCCAAACTGCTGCCCATATGTGCAGCGTTAACAATATCAATAGAGACTCTGTGGTCATCTCTGCAAAACGGACACAAATGCTAGATAAGATAGATTCTATAGGTTTGCTCTGCCTGATCCTTGCAAAACGCTCGCTGCCCCTGGCCTCTCACACCGGCATGGGCTTGCCACTCCCGTAGCATTTATACTCTGTTTCGTACACGCGAGGAACGCACATGATCTCCACCACAGGCACCCGGCAGGAGACCGTGGGAGGCTTCTCCACCGGGCAGAAGCGGTCCCAGGTGCGCTTGTAGTCATGGGGAGGCTGGTAGGATTCTCGGGTCAGGGGAAGCAGACCCCGGTGGGGAACAGCAGGTATGTGTGGCCCCAGACGGGGCACTCGGGTTGCTTTGAGGAACACCTTGATGTCCCGCATTGGTTCAGGATCACGGATCACGGGGTATTCGCCACACTGCTGGAGCGAGAGAGCATCCTTCCTAGCATAGCCTTGTCGTTCCTTGCTGCAGGAGAGAGAGGAGGGAGGAGGGATCAAAATGCGTCCATTTCTCTGAAAGTGGGGTGAAACCAAGCAGTTTAAAGGAGAGAACACTGTCTGGAAGGAGCTCCCTGTGTACACACCGCTACTCTTGGCACTGCAGAATATGATATTGTTTGGGAATAACTTGCCGTATTTTTCGCTCTATAAGACGCACTTTTCCCCTCCTAAAAGTAAGGGGAAATGTGTGTGCATCTTATGGAGTGAATGCAGGCTGCACGGCAATCCCAGAAGCCAGAATAGCGAGAGGGAGAGTTGTGCAGCGCTCCCTCTCGCTGTTCTAGCTTCTGGCTTAGCCACGCAAAGCCTCCGCAGGGCAGCGGGGAGTGGCTCTGTCCCTTCCCCCACCTCCCAGAAAAGCCCCCAAGAGCCGCGCCCAGGAGAGGCTTCGGTGGCTATCCCAGAAGCCAGAACAGCAAGAGGCTATTCCAGAAGCCAGATCCCTCTTTCTGTTCTGGCTTCTGGGATTCAGAATATTTTTTTTCTTGTTTTCCTCCTCCAAAAACTAGGTGTGTCTTATCGTCTGGTACGTCTTATAGAGCGAAAAATACGGAACCTTTTTCTTGATCCTGTGATACACCATACTTTCTTTGCATGCCTGCACTCGGGTAGCACACAGACTTTTATCACTGGTATTTCATTAAAAGCAGTAAAAATACTGATACCTACGGTGCCGCCTCTCCTGGTACGTCCCACGGAGGACCTTACGGTCTTCAAACAAAAACATCTTGGAGGTCCTGGGCCACAGGGAGGTTAGGCTGGCCTCAACCAGAGCCAGGGCTTTTTCAGCTGTGGCTCCAATCTGGTGGAACGCTCTGTCACAAGAGACTAGGGCCCTGCGGGACTTGACATCTTTCTGTAGGGTCTGCAAGACAGAGCTGTTCCACCAGGCCTTTGGCCAAGGCACAGTCTGACCCCCTCCTTTGGCAATCCTCACAGAACTCTAGCCCAATGGTTGCCATTAATATGATTTTGAATTGATTTTAAAATGAATTGATTTTAGAATGCTGTGTTACTTTTATTGTTGTTAGCCACTCTGAGCCCGGCTTTGGCTGGGGAGGGCGGGATATAAATAAAATTGTTGTTGTTGTTGTTGTTATTTCAACAGCAAATGGGATACCATACATAAATCGGGCAACAGCCAATATCTGCCATAATCACAGATATCATAGAGTTGGAAGGGACCCTGAGGATTTTCTAGTTCAACCCACTACGATGCAGGAAGATACAAGCTGTCCCTGACGGGGATCGAACCTGCAGCCTTGCCAGCACAAACACTCCAGCCAGCTAAGCTATCCAGCTGTCAAGGCACATTAGGCATGGTTGTCAACCTAAAAAATACAAGTTCTGTGCCATTGTAAACAAGTTGTCCTAGCGATAGCAAACAAGGGTCAAAGAGTGGAATGTGGGTTCAGAGACGAGACAATAAATAGACGAATAAATAAATGAAATAATATTTATGCCCCACCCATCTGGCTGGGTTTCCCCAGCCACTCATTAAAAACACGATTAAACATCAAACATTAAAAACTTCCCTAAACAGGACTGCCTTCTGATGTCTTCTAAAAGTCAGATAGTTGTTTATTTCCTTGACATCTGATGGGAGGGAGGGAGCCACTACCGAGAAGGCCCTCTGCCTGGTTCCCTGTAACCTCACTTCTCGCAGTTGCACCCTAGAGGATTGTGGGAAGGGAGTGTAGGCAGTGGCAGAGGTGTCTGGGGTGGGGAGAGAACCTTGGAAGTGCTACTTACTCAGTGAAGGGATGGAAGTCCCGGCTGGTGACAGAGATATAGGGGTCATTCAGCCGCAGAACTGCCTTGTCCCGGATGTAGAAGGGTTTGCCTGCCATCTCTTCATTCCGTGTGCTGGCCACAATGGACTGCGGAGAGCAAAGGAACAAAGCCACTGTTGTGCGTGGAAATCTTGAACTCCTCGGTGGACAACCCCAACCAAGCCTGGTGTTACCACGCAACATTCTTGATGAGTGCCACCCACAAAAGAGGATTGGTCATTCAAAGTAGCTGAATTTATAGAATTGGCGAAATTAACTGCAGTAGTAAGATATCAAACAAATCAGAAATAAAGGTCACAGTGGGTATGGTTTGAAGAACATATGAGTTCTGCTCTAAATATACTACTCTAAAGATAGCATCCTGATATGTTTGGACTAAGCTTGTAAAGTTGAATTAGATAATATAATAGTACAATAAAATAAGTAAGGTATTTATATTATATTATATTATATTATATTATATTATATTATATATTTTATTTTATTTATTTATTATAAGGTATTTATATATTATTTACATGAATTGCAATGTAAATAAGAACTTTAAAGGAATAAAGATGATGAGCACTGGTGGAGGGAAGTCACAAGGGTGTGTCACACCATCCACCTATTTTATGCATTTTTTCTTTACCTATATCTTCTTTCCTTTTTTTGGTTTGTTTGCTTGCAAGTATATGTATGTTACTGGTTTGTATGTATGTTAAATAAATAAATAAAAATATTTTTTTTAAAAAAACGTTCTTGAGTGCCTCCCAGGGCCCAACAATGACTGAGCCGCCATTTTAATTTCCCACAATGCCCCTGGAGCAATGCTGTCTTAAGGGCATTGTAGGGGAAAGGAAAGGGTGTAGCTCCTTGTAGCTGCTGTCACTGCCAAGGAAACCTGCCAGAATCAGGAGGGAACGCCCTCAGATCCTTGACCCCAGCCTTAGTTAGGGCTCTTGGGTCTCAAGCACATGACCTGCTTTCTTTGATTGGCAGGCCAGCAAAATAAAGAAGGATGTCAAAGAAAAGACCAGGCATGTTGGGGAAGGGATAGGGAAGGCCCAATGTGAGGCCCAATACCAAGATCAGAATCCCACCTCAAACTTGCTGCAGAGGCACCAAGGATAACCCAAATATAAGCAGTTTAGGCCACAGATGGAGAAGGAACTGCAGATGTTGTTGAACTACAACAGCTCCCATCACCTCTCACATCACTGACTGCATTTGGCAGCGGCTGATGGGAGTTGGGGGTCCCACAATATCTAGAGGGACACAGGTCTTCCTTCCCACTAAATGCAGACAGCACAAACCTTCCCCACACACCAGGAAATAATGGATACTGATTGGTCCGATTCCATGGGTAGCATACAAAGATGTGCAAGCTTTTGTTGGAATCCATCTGTCTCAAGAGACAATGGAGTGCACCTCTGGGGGTGAAGCCAAATTGACCTCCCTGGGGCGCAAGCCTGGGCAGTGTGTATGGAGGTCCTGGGCTGCCCAAATGACAAGACCCACCCGCCCCTGGCCTCATTGATGTGGTCCAAAGGACAGCAGAGCAAGACATTTGGCACCAGCTGAGCTGCAAGAGTTGCCGGAAGGAGGTGCACAACCTGTCTTAAGGACTCCACTCTGGATTTGTGTAGCATTTACTTTACTCCTGTTATGTACTGAGCTGAATCCTAGAACAATAGGATCCAGAATGCAGCAGTCTGATTGGTCTGCAGGAGCAGCCAATCAGGCTCCGGGATGAAGTGACTCAGTGACCTGATTGGCCTGCAGGAGGAGCCAATCAGGCTTCTGGAGGAGGTAAATCCGCAACCTGATTGGCCTACAGGAGCAGCCCGGAATTAGCCAATCACGCAGGGCCCATTGTGTAAATAATGTATATATAGCTAGATGTTTTGGGGAAAGATTCATTCATTGCTACTATGAGCTGAATAAAGAGCATGAAATTCACACTTGACTCCGAGTATATTTCAACTCCTTAGCCTTTTCTACCCCTGAAGATATCCCACAAGGCAGCAGAGGTTTGGATCAGTTTTTCTTCTCCTAGATGGGCTACCTTCCCAGTCTGACAAGTCCCATCTGCCTCTCACTTCCTTCTACAGATGGTGCAGAAACTACCGTCTTGACCGCTGGACCCACGATTGGTCACATCTGTTCAACCTGCCAGAGCCTGTCTTGGCATGCATGTTAAAGTCCCTAACTCACTGAGGCTTTGAGACCCATCAGCCAATCCTCACCTGCTTTAGCCGGCCAGTCAAAGGCATTCCTGGGGTGTGGCCACTGTCGTATACTGACAGCTTCTAGGAGCCACAGGTGAGAGCTGAGTGCAGGTGGGGACCAAAGGTGAACAAACCACCCCAGAAGTAGCACATGTCCCCCACCAAAGGCACTACCCCCTCCCCTAACACCCTAAATATATATGCAAGCAATTGTTTGTAAGGTATGCAAAACCAAGCAACCTTTAGGTAGAGGTTGTCAACTGGTTAACCTAAAACAGAACACAAAGATGTCTTGGTCAAAAGGAAGAAGATGTCCAGCATAGGGGGGATGTCCTCTCCCTGCTTCAGAAACACCAAATACCTTGGATGGTCCATCCAGGTGATGGTCAGCCAAGCCAAATGGCTGAGGCCCAGCATGGAAGGTGGGCTCTTGTGGGAGATTGGGCCAGCCAGGGTAGCGTTCCCTCGTCTCGCTCTTCTGGTTGCCCATGGTCAGCGGGAACCTCCATGCTCTCAGCTGCAGCTGTCGGGGAGAAGATCAGAAACAGGGGTACAGAGAAGAAGGGGTTGGGGGAACAGTCACCATGACTTCACAAGGACACCCTCTCGTGCAAATGTTTCCTCATTTGCCTCGGGGAGTTTGCCTCCTTCAGCCTGGTGTTTTCAAACAGAGCCATGGAGGAAAGATGATTTGTCTTGCCATCACCTTGTCACTTGAGGGCCTTTGTTCTTCCCCTTGAACAGGGGCTTCTGCTGAAAAACATCTTCATGTATGCGACAACGGCCGCGAGAGTTTTAATAGCACAAGGATGGAAGACTGAAGAAACCCCAACTAAAGAATCATGGCAAGAAAAATTGATGGACTATGCAGAACTGGCAAAACTGACATATAAACTACGGGACAAGGATAACTGTGACTTTAAAGATGAATGGGAACCCTTTACAAAGTACTTGAAGACGCAACAAAGCGAACTGGACTCTTTGGCTGGCTTTGAATAAACATTCACAAACTTTTTATTGATAATAATCAGCTAAATAGTTTTGAGGATCTATACAACTGTATAACATGCAGAAAACAGCATTTTTAGAGAAATCAAAGACTGGAACTGAGGGAAGTCGGGGGATGGGGGTGGGTGGGTTCTGTGGGGGGGGGGAGGAGAGGGAGGAAAAATGGGGGAGGGAAAATAAGGATGATATGTTTCTGGATAATATGTTTTGTTTTAATTTTGAATAAAAAAGTTATTTTTAAAAAAAGAAAGAACAGGGGCTTCTGGGAAACTCTGCAGAATCCTCGCCCCTGTCCCATTCTCCTGCCTGGACTGCAATCACAGAGTGTGGGTGTGTGGGGCTCCATCGATGATATTTCAAGATTACTCCCTGAATGTCCAGCTGATTCAGTGTGCTTCTAAATGGGGGCTTTATACAGCAAACCTGTTCCTCAGGTCTGATTTTTTTGTGTTTTGTATTTGGCACACACCCCCATTTTTTCCAGTCACAGGTATTCACTGCTATTCCACCACTGCTTGCTCATCAACACTAGTGGGCGGAGTTTGACAGAATGTGTCCAACTGGGTTTTTGTGGGGGTGGGATTTTTAAGTGTGTGTGTGTCACCCATTGCCTTTAACTTTACTGGGCATGCATGTGAATACTTCTGTACCTATTTGCATACATCTTTAAATTAAAATAAAGGAACCCTAGAAAAGCATACAAGAGCAGATGCTTCTCATCTTAATATTGTCATGTTTTGGAATGAACAGAAAGGGGGGCTTGTGATTTTTCAGAGCAGGTAGGCTGCAAGTAAATAAATAAAAATACTTAGCTAAAAGTAGAAATAATCAGAATATTTGAAACTGAAATGCTCGCTGAGGTCACTTGGGTGATGTTGTGACACATTCTAGCGATGCAACTGGCAACCTGACTGAGCAATAGGCATGGCTTCCGCAAACTGGCCAATCGCAAACTGGCCAATCGCAGTGCAGGTAGCTCGGTCCTGGCCCCCCCCCCCCCTAAATCCTGACTATGCCCAGGCTCAACTGAACTTACTTCTGAGTAAGCTCACACAGAACCAGGCTGTAATTTACAGACTGGATTCATTCCACCCATTCCCTCCTCAGTAAAGCCACCAAGCCTAGGGAACTTCAAGAACTGTCACTATTTGGGGGTGGGATTCAGTCACAAATTCAGGTTGTGCAGTTTAGTTGGCTGGAAACTCTTGCGCAACAAACCTGCTTCTGCAAAAGATCAGACTTTTTGCAAGAAGCAAAGTGACAGGGAAAAACACACTGGGAGTTCCCATAACACTTGGGTTGACACAACACCATCTGACCTCCCTGAAAGCAAATCATGACAAAAGCAGATTAAATTGCCAACTTTGTCTAATCCCCCTGCAAACAAATGCGGACAAATCCTCAATACACTGGCCATCTGGATGTACCCATTGACCATTTGGGCTTCTATTCCCTTTCCCAGATCTCAGAGCTTCCTGCTTGCCCCTTACCTTCTCTCTCAAATCTTTGTTGTAGAGGACGTCCCAATGCGCATAGGCAACAGAGTAGCGGGGGTGAGCCAGGACTCCCCCGTGGGTTTTCGGGCCATAAGCGAGTTGTGAGGTGGTTGTCAAGCGTGGGATGACCTCATCTCGGAAGACTTTCTCAGATGCCGGGGGCAGCGGCTCATAGATCGTAGACTGGCGATGAGCGAAGCGGGGGTGCGAGGGAGGAGGTGTGGGAAAGAGCAGCAATGGGACAAACCATCAGGAAATGGGAAAATGGGTGCATGGATGAAAAATAGAACCAAGACCCCGCCCCCCGTAAGACCCATTTATTCCCGCAGGAGTTCTGGTTCCAGGCGGCATTAGCCCGCCTGCAGAGTACCTAGACAGGGGTCAGCAAACTTTTTCAGCAGAGGGCCGGTCCACTGTCCCTCAGACCTTGTGGGGGGCCGGACTGTATTTTGGAAAAAAATATATGAATGAATTCCTATGCCCCACAAATAAGATGCATTTTAAATAAAAGGACACATTCTACTCATGTGAAAACACCAGGCAGGCCCCACAAATAACCCAGAGATGCATTTTAAATAAAAGGGCACATTCTACTCATGGAAAAACACACTGATTCCCGGACCCTCTGGAGGCCGGATTTAGAAGGCGATTGGGCCGGATCCGGCCCCCGGGCCTTAGTTTGCCTACCCATGACCTAGAGGCATAGCTGTCAACTTTTCCCTTTTCTTGCGATGAATCCTATTCGGAATAAGGGAATTTCCCGTAAAAAATGGAAAACGTTGACAGCTATGCCTAGAGGTAGAGAGAGGGGGTGTCAGTCCCCCGCTACAAACCACATCGCTTCCACTAATCCGAATTGCACCAGCCATCCCCCTTAAAGTCACCAGCTTTGGCTCACTCGTGCATAGGGCGGCGGGAAGGGCAGTGGGGGGCTGTAATTGAGCCCCACTCCGCTGCTGCTCAGCCTCCAGTCATGCCTGCGTCCCTGCCGGGGCACCAGCGTCGGGGAGTCCACCTCCCAGTCGAAGGGGAAGGCGGAGAAAGTGCCCGCCATGTCCGCCTCCGCTTTTGGGACATGGTTGCCGGGCGGCCGGGCGGAGGAGGAGGAGGAGGCGGCTGGTACCCTGGGCACCAGGAAAGGGGCGGGGCCCCTGGAACGTTAGCGACAAACGTCGCCATGGAGATGGAACGCTCGGCAGCCGGGCGTTCTAGCGCCCCCTTTGATCGAGCCCTGGATTCCATCCGGTCCCGTCCTAACGAGTCCCAATGGGATGCTGGACCGCTGTGGGAGGGGGAGCCAGGGCTTGCACCTGGATTTCCTGGGGGCCGGAAGGCCTGCTAAGGATCGTTGCTACTGAGTGCTAAAGGCCGTGGCTGAACGGTTGGGGTGCAAGCTCTTGTTGTGTGCAGCCCACCCTATTCGTGTTTACTGAGGAGTAAGCCCCTACCCGGTCCCTCAGCCCTTTCCACCTTGCTCCCAAGTAAGCGTGCATCGGGACTGTAACTTCAGTCGGAGGATGATGGTTCTTATCATCCTTCATTGCATGCATGCACAAATGGGAGCTGCAACATAATGTTGCAGTATGGCAGGGGGCAGAGGACCTGTGCCCCTTCCATTGGTGTTGGACGCCAACTCCCATCAGCCTCTTCTAGGACATCTGGTCTCATCCCACCTCTGTTTTCTGTCTCCACACGCCCCACACCCCACTGCCTGCCTCCCATGGCCACTGATCAAAGCAAGCAGTTATTGCAGTTCAAAGGCCTTTAGAAGACATGTTTATTATTAACATTTTTATTGTTGCTGTTGTTAATATGATTATTGAAAGGTTATGTCCAGTCAAATTCGACTATGGGGTGTGGTGCTCATCTCCGCCTTCAGGCCGAGGCAGCTGGTGTTTGTCCACAGACAGCTTTTCTGGGTCATGTGGCCAGCATGATTAAGCCACTTGTGGCACATGAGACACCGAGAACATTACTAAAGCTCATGGAAACACTGTTAACCTTCCTGCTGCAGGGGTACCTATTTATCTACTCGTGCTGGTATGGTTGGCAGGAGCTGGGACAAAGAGACAGGAGCTCACTTCATCGCTCAGATTCGAACTACCGATCTTACGATTGGCAAGCCCGTTGTTGTTGTTGTTGTTGTTGTTTAGGACATCCCTATTTTCATTGGAGAAATGTTGGAGGGTGTGACAGACCCTCCAAGTGTTTTGGATTTACAGAAGACTTCCCTGTTTCCGATTCGATCCCAGAAGTCCCACCTTTCCTTAAAAGGTAAAGGGACCCCTGACTATTAGGTCCAGTCGTGGCCGACTCTGGGGTGGTGGCGCTCATCTCGCTTTATTGGCCAAGGGAGCCGGCATACAGCTTCCAGGTCATGTGGCCAGCATGACTAAGCCGCTTCCGGCAAACCAGAGCAGCACACGGAAATGCCATTTACCTTCCCGCCACAGCAGGACCTATTTATCTACTTGCACTTTGACGTGCTTTCGAACTGCTAGGTGGGCAGGAGCAGGGACAGAGCAACGGGAGCTCACCCCGTCATGGGGATTCGAACCGCCGACCTTCTGATCGGCAAGTCCTAGGCTCTGTGATTTAACCCACAGTGCCACCCGCGTTCCTTAGGATGTCTCTATTTCCATCAGTGAAATGCTGGATGGTGTGGAGTTACGCATACCCCCCGCCAATCCAAGTAGATAAGTAATTATACAATCTTTAGACATCTGAAGGCAGCCCTGTTTAGAGAAGTTTTTAAATGTTTAATGTTTTAATATGTATATGTTGGAAGCTGCCCAGAGTGGATGGGGCAACCCAGTCAGATGGGCAGGGTATAAATAATAATGTTATTGCTTTTATCATTAGGGAATAGGACTTCCCTATTTTTACTGGAGAAATGTTGGAGGGTATGCGGGCAGAGACCTTGATGAGTCAGCTCTTCCAACCTTCCCCAAGCCTTGTTAGCTCCCAGGGAGATACGTCAGTGGGACGTCATGCACCACTGATACTCTTGTGTAGGCCTTCCAAGGGGCAGCGGGCAGAGACAGCCCTGCTCAGAGAAATTGGATAGGAGAAAGCTCTTTAACGCAACAAAAGAAGCAAGAACAATTTAAACAATGGGTCTGCTAGGGCTGCAAGAGACCCGTCTCAGGTATGGACGGCTTAAGAGAGCAGAGCCTCTTGCGTGGATCTTAAAAGCCAGGACTCGTTCATTATAGGGAGGAAATGGTTTCTGGGGTAACCTGGTCCTAAGCCATTTCTTAGGGCTTCAAAGGTCATTGCTGGCACTGCTAAATGGAGCCCGGAAACAAACAGGCAATCAGTACAGATGGAATCAGTTCTGATCTTGAAGCGCCGGATAACAATCTGGCGTTTTGTACTAATTGAAGTTTCCGGGCTCTTTTCAAAGGGCAACCTTGCAATAAAGAACATTGCAGTTAATCCTTCCTAGAAATTAAAAAAGGAGAACCTTTTGCAATTTTACAGTTGGGTGCTTTCTTCAAATCGTGTGTTTTCCAGCTATCACAGGTGTGGCGGAGAACCTTGGTCCCTCCAGATATTGCTGAGCTGCAGGGGCCAGTGAAGGGAATATTTATATATTATATATTATATTTATAATATAACGTTGCAGGGTGGAGAGCTGAATTTCAGAATCCCATCCCATCCCATCCGCTCCGTTCCATTTCCCCTTCCTCCCTGCTTTCCCCAGTGTGCTGTAGCAGTTGGAGCATCAGACTAGGACCTGGGAGTCCAGGGTTCGAATCCCCACTCAGCCATGAGGTTCACAGGGTGACCTTGGGCCAGTCACTGCCTCGCAGGGTTGTTGTGGGGCTCAAATGAGGCAGGGGCGAAACCGTGAGCTCCTTGGAGAAAAAGGGTAGGATATGAATATAATCAATCCATAAATAGTCAGTGACCATGCAGGCTGCTTGGAGGCAGGGTTCCTTATGATGTTATTCTAGAGGGCTTTTGTACTTCTGCAAGCTGAGAGACTCCCCCAAGGCTTCTGATGCCCAAAGCTCGTGTGCGATCCTAAGGAGCACCCATCAACTGCAACCCACACCTCCAATAATAAAGACTTGCCATTTTACTTTCAGCCATCCGATGGCACTCAGGGTCAGTGCACACTATCACTTTTGGAGTTCCAGGTGGGTGGGATGGATTTGGAGAGGGTGGGGTGCATTTTATTGGTTTATTTATTGAATTTATATACAGTGGTACCTCGGTTAAGTACTTCATTCGTTCCAGAGGTCTGTTCTTAACCTGAAATTGTTCTTAACCTGAAGCACCACTTTAGCTAATGGGGCCTTCTGCTGCCGCTGCGCTGCTGCTGCACAATTTCTATTCTCATCCTGAAGCAAAGTTCTTAACCCAAGGCAATATTTCTGGGTTAGCGGAGTCTGTAACCTGAAGCATATGTAACCCGAGGTACCACTGTACCACCCTATATCCAGGGGACTCATGCATGTTCCTAGCAACCCTGAGAACCAGTGAGGGCCAACTTGAATTAAAATGGGGGGGGGAGCCCCGCCCCGCATAATTGATTACATGACACAGTGCATGTGTGCCACGGCTAAAAATTGGCCGCTGTTTCTTTAATGCTAAAAGAACTAAGTCAGCATGAGTTAGCGGCCTACAATGACTTTCACCAAATTGTACCTGTATATATAGAGTGTTCAATGATAGTGTTGGGTGTGAGTTGGTTGGATGGTAGAAAGCTGGTTGTGTTTGATATGTATAAAGCTGTCGGTCGTGGTTGGAGAAGACAACTTTTAAGAATAAAAGCAGCAATACTCTGCAAAGTACTCTTTCTCAAAGACTCTTTTGTGCCAACTAAGGCCTGAGGACTAGGCAAAGGTGTAAAAAGGAGGTCAGAACCTTTTCTTTTTCAAACACTGACAATGTGTACTATTTTAATGGCAATGCCCATCAACTTTGGGGGTCCCCGGCCCCCTCAAATATTTTATTGGTGGGCAAAGACCCCCTTGGCTCCTAAGAGTTGGCTCCTGTGGTGTGATGTCACACAGGAAAAACGTGCCCTTTTGAAAAACAGGGCTTGGAATTGGGTAGGGGGAGCGAGCAGGTAGGTGAGGAGGAGTTGTGTGGGGCAAGAGGTGTTCTGCGAACAAGAAGGAGGAAATAGGTAGAACTTGGTGAGGGGTGTGTGTGTGAAGGCCATCTTGGCACAGGGGCAGGGATATGGGGTTCACGGTGCCTTGGGTATCCAGTGCTGCGTTGCTGGGGAAACAAGCCCCTCTTGAGATCTAATGCTCTCCAAAGGAGACTTGGGCGTGAATAGGTGTTAAGAAGCCATTTTTCTTAAAGACATGACCGTCTCCGACATGTCTCGATTCCCAATGGAAACATGACTCTGGAATCTGGCTACCGCTTGGCACAGATGGGGGTGGTGGCTCCATTTGTTTATTTGTTTCAAAAGGTGAAGGCGATGTGGGCCCTTATCCCCAAAGACCTGTGGCTAAGGCCTCCCAGGGTCGCCCGCTGCCCCAGCAAAGCCTGTTATGATATCTCCTGCCCCCCATATTCCGCTGCGTCTTGCTGCTGCGGTCGTATTTTGCAGACACACCCTGTGTCTATCCTGACAAAGCGCCAGGCAGCAGTCTTCTTGGAATCGATAGTGAAGGCCCTCACATAGGTCTGGGTCGTCTGGCACTCAGAGATCCAGTAGTTTCGATCCACCCCGCGGCAACCGCCCGCAGTTCCCCTTCTGGGTGTGCACTTGGTCTCGAAAAAGTACTGCCTCAGCCGGCCGTGAGGCGTCTGAAACTCAGAGAGCAGCGTCACATTCCTGCCACGGATGTCCACAGCTGTATGTTTGTCTGCCACCCAAGTGCTCGTGCTGTCACACACCGCCAACATCGCCTCAGCAGTGTCTGACAAGGGTTGGGTGGTCGGCTCACTTCTAGAAAGAGCAACACGGGGAGACAGGAACTCCTCGTCCCCGACTGGAGGAGCATGAGTGCCGAGGACGTCAGCGGCGTTGGGAAGCGGGGTGACATGAGAGACGGCGCAAAGCCATGCGGTGACCACAGTAATCAGCATCGCTTCCTCTATGATGGGGAACCTGTGCAGGAAGTGGGGAAAGGCAAGCCTGGGAAAATGCGTCCGCCAATAAAACGTCCCATCCACAACACAGGTTGCCAGCACGTGGTCCCCCCCCCCCAAAGGCCACATCAACCTCATGGATTTAGGGCAAATCCTAGCTTCCCTGCCCCCCAATAATTTTCGTACTTTCGCAAACTTTGGAGCTCCCCTAAACCTGCTGATACCTCTTTTTTTTTTAAAAAAAATGCATTACATTTATATCTCACTTTTCCATCAAAGAGCTCAAGCTAATGTATACAGTGGTACCTTGGGTTAAGTACTTAATTCGTTCTGGAGGTCTGTTCTTAACCTGAAACTGTTCTTAACCTGAAGCACCACTTTAGCTAATGGGGCCTCCCGCTGCTGCTGCGCCACTGCTGCACGATTTCTGTTCTCATCCTGAAGCAAAGTTCTTAACCTGAGGTAATATTTCTGGGTTAGCAGAGTCTGTAACCTGAAGCATATGTAACCTGAGGTACCACTGTACATGGTTCTCTTCCTCTCCATCTTAACCAAGGGTGCCAACTTGGGGGATGGGCAGCCCCCTCAAATATTTTATGGGTGGGGAGGGAGACAAAGATATATTGGCCCCTAGGAATTGGCTCCTAGGCTCTCAACAACCCCGTGAGGTAGGTTAGGCTGAGAGATCGCGACTGTCCCAAGGTCACCCAAGGAACTTTATGGCTGAGCAGGGATTTGAAGCTCAGTCTCCCAGGCCCTAATCCAGCACTCCAGCAGTACTTCCTCCTGAACTTCACAAATAGAGGGAATGACCGTGCAGATTGTGTCCATCCCTCCACCTCTTATAAAAGTGATTTCCCCAACTTTTCTGCCAGACCCAGGGCCCAATTGTTAACAACAGCAACCTGCACCGAGGGAAATTTTCTTAATTTTGTATTTTTTTTTTACCTTTACCTACTGGGATCTGTTCTCTCCTCTACTTCTTGATTCACTCTTCTTTCCTTTCCTTTCTTGCTCTATCACTCTCTCCCCTTTCTGTTCTGATGACATTTGCAGTGCTGCTGTTGCAGACCACAGTAAGTCAACAGAGCTCTCTCTTTTTTGGCTACAGCAAACAAGAGGTCAAAGTACCCGGATATGGTGTCCTTTAGGACTTTGTCCTTCTGTGGCCAACTAGAATCTGCTGAAGAGAACATTTGGGTAGTTTCATGAATTCCTCAGGGCCAGGGGCCTGAATTTATTTGGCTGCACTAAACTAGAATCTGACAGAACTTATTAGATATACAGTGGTACCTCAGGTTAAGTACTTAATTTGTTCCGGAGGTCCGTACTTAACCTGAAACTGTTCTTAACCTGAAGCACCACTTTAGCTAATGGGACCTCCTGCTGCTGCTGCGCCACCAGAGCACGATTTCTGTTCTCATCCTGAAGCGAAGTTCTTAACCTGAAGCACTATTTCTGGGTTAGCAGAGTCTGCAACCTGAAGCGTATGTAACCTGAGGTACCACTGTATACAGTCATCCCTTGGTTTTCGAACAGCTTAGTTCTCGAATGTTTTGGCTCCGGAACGCCACAGACCCGGAAGTGACTGTTCCACTTTGCAAACTATTTTTGGAAGCTGAGCGTCCGATGGGGCTTCCGCGGCTTCCGATCGGCTGCAGGAGTTTCCTGCAGCCAATCTGAAGCCACGCTTTGGTTTCCGAACGTTTTGGAAGTCGAACGGACTTCTGGAACGGATTCTGTTCGACTTCCAAGGTACGACTGTATAGAGGCACTTGCCTCTGTCGAATCACAGCTCGGGCATTTCATGGAGATTACAGCTGGGGAGGGTGGCAAGTACTGCAGGCACGCGTGTGGTGCCCACAGTGGTTTCTCTGGTTTGCTAATGTGCCCACAGGTCTAAATCAGTTGGAGACCATTGCCCAAAGGCAGTCCAACTCTTCATAAGGACTTGCAACTCCACATCAAGCCATCAGGTGGCGCTCAGGGCCAAAGGACACTTTCCCCTTCCAAAGCTACAGCAGGCGAGGACTATAGCATGGGTAGGCAAACTAAGGCCCGGGGGCCGGATCCGGCCCAATTGCCTTCTAAATCCGGCCCACGAACGGTTAGGGAATCAGCGTGTTTTTACATGAGTAGAATGTGTCCTTTTATTTAAAATGCATCTCTGGGTTCTTTCTGGGGCATAGGAATTTGTTCATTTTTTTTTCTTTTTTCCAAAATATAGTCCTGCCCCCCACAAGGTCTGAGGGACAGTGGACCGGCCCCCTGCTGAAGAAGTTTACTGACCCCTGGATGATAGTGTGGATGTGCAAAACACAGCTTGTGGAGATAACACACCACACATTTAAAGGCTCCCCACCTGAAAAGAATACCAGGAACTGTACAGTGGTACCTCGGGTTACATACGCTTCAGGTTACAGACTCTGCTAACCCAGAAATATTATCTCGGGTTAAGAACTTTGCTTCAGGATGAGAACAGAAATCACGCAGTGGCGGCGTGGCAGCAGCAGGAGGCCCCATTGGCTAAAGTGGTACCTCAGGTTAAGAACAGTTTCAGGTTAAGAACGGACCCCCAGAACGAATGAAGTTCTTAACCCGAGGTACCACTGTACTAGGGACGCAGGTGGCGCTGTGGGTAAAATCTCAGTGCCTAGGACTTGCCCATCGTATGGTCGGCGGTTTGAATCCCCGCGGCGGGGTGAGCTGCCGTCTTTCGGTCCCAGCTCCTGCCCACCTAGCAGTTCGAAAGCACCCCTAGGTGCAAGTAGATAAATAGGTACCGCTTTATAGCGGGAAGGTAAATGGCGTTTCCGTGTGCTGCGCTGGTGCCGGCTCGCCAGAGCAGCTTCATCACGCTGGCCACGTGACCCGGAAGTATCTGCAGACAGCGCTGGTCCCTGGCCTCTTAAGTGAGATGGGCGCACAACCCTAGAGTCGGACACGACTGGCCCGTACGGGCAGGGGTACCTTTACCTTTACCTTACCACTGTACTTGGTTAAGGGTGCTGGGAATTGTAGCTCTTCATGGAGCAAACTACAGTTACCAGGATTCTTTTGGGGCTGTGCAAAAGGTGCCTTTAGATGTTTGTTGTATATGCAGCCTGAGAGAGCTACTAGGAAGGCTTGGGCTGTCAGGGAGGAGCTGGCGGCCACCCACATTTCTTTTCCATGAGTCTTGCTTTCCGCACGCTCCTTCCCCCCCCCCCCAGGAGCCCGCCCCCCCCAGCCAAAAGGAAGACATTCAGGACACAGGAAATCCAAGCAGCAGGCATCATGTCTTTTTGTTTTTTAATCCTCCCCACCCACCTCCACACACAGACATCACACACACTTTCCTAGAAATCATCCCCCCCCCCCAGAGTAATGAACGCAAATAAGTTAATAATTAAGACGACAGGATCAGGTCAGACACAGGCTGTAGCTGGAGGGAAGGGAGGTAATAAATATGAAGAGAGGAAAGAGAATGAGGGAAGGGAGATTCCAGAAGGAAACTTACACCTAGCAATCCCCCCCCCGAAAGTATGTTCCAAAAGAACTCTAGGGATCTCTAAGACGCTTATCCCAGGCTCCTCAATGAATACCGTATTTTTTGCTCTATAAGACTCACTTTTTCCCTCCTAAAAAGTAAGGGGAAGTGTGTGTGCGTCTTATGGAGCGAATGCAGGCTGCGCAGCTATCCCAGAAGCCAGAACAGCAAGAGGGATCTTGTTGTTGTTGGCTTCTGAGATTCAGAATATTTTTTTTCTTGTTTTCCTCTTCCAAAAACTAGGTGCGTCTTATGGTCTGGTGCGTCTTATAGCGCGAAAAATACAGTATATCAGCCGTGATGGACTTCAGATTCAATGGATCTCCCAACTCCAATCGTCAGCTGGAAGGGAAAGTGGGGCGCATGCAAAGCGGCAGATTCGGCGCCTGCATTGAGGCTGCGTGCATCTGAGGCTGTGCAGACGGCACATCTGGTGTGTACAAAGCAGCGGCGAGGCCTGGCAGGTGTGGTTGGTGCCCACACGTGTACAGACAACACGCCCTAAAACATTCCCCAGGATCCACCTGCCGTGCACACGCAGGGAATCTTTGGCAAATGCGCCAAGATGGAACAGGTTCCCCGAGGGTAGGCAGTCGGAAAAGCCCTGATCTCGCAGATTGCGCTGAGGGAAGGACTCTGGAGTCCACTGTGCACCGCAAGGGTGCAATGGCAGCACTGGTGTGTGTGTGTGAGAGGCAGCCAAAGGCAGGTTTGAGTGACTCTAAAGCAGCACCCACAAGACACCAGTGCCCTGAGACATGTGATAGGTATGAAGTTTTGACCACTAAGGACCACTTCATGGCCCCTCCAGTCCACAAAGTCTGCCTGGCTGCATCTCAATAATGCTTAAAGTTTGCTTCTCCACTGTAGAAGTGCAGCAACAACGTCTCTCCCGTCCAGCAAATGGCCACGTTTGCGACGATGAACCTTGTTGACAGGGACTTCGCGGGGCAATAAGCAAAGCCAGACAAGGCAGCCTGAGGCCTGCCAATCAGCCAGGACCACACACCTTTCTTCTTGTTCAATGGGAACCATGCACATTTCCCTTGGCCAAAGGGCGGCCATCTTGGGCCTAGCGGTCCCATTGCTCCATCTCCATCTCTTCAGTAGCCAAAGTGACAAAGGTAGATTACCAGTCGCCTGTCTCCCTACGTCCGACCAGTACGAGTGAGCAGGGTGCAGACGCACGCGGTGTCGATGCGAATCCAGCGCCAGGTCACGATCTTGTCAGAATCCATGGTGAGGGCCCTCACGTACGACTGCTTGGCCTTGCACTCAGAGATCCAGTGTCGGCGGTCCACACCCCGGCAGCCACTCGCCGTGCCCCCAGCCGGGTTACACTTGGTCTCGAAGAAATATTGCTTCAGCGGGCCGGTCAGGGTCTGGACCTCGGAAAGCACCGTTACGGTTTTGGCGCGGATGTCGACGGCTGTCCGCTTGTTGGTCACCCAGACGTTGACGCTGTCGCACACCGACATTTCTCCCCGGCGGAGGGATCCGTCCAACGACCGCTTGGACCTGAGAGTCCGGTTTGCGGCCTGCGCCGGCTGGGCGCTGGAGTCCTCCATGAGGAAAAGCAAGGGCGGCTCTGCCGGTTCGCTGTTGGAAAGAGTGACACGCGGAGAAAAGAGGTCCCAGTCCCTCAGGGGGGTCTCGTCCCAGAGGACATCGGTGGCGTTGGACTGGGTACTGGCGCTGGGAAGGGGGGCAGCACGGATGACGCAGAGCAGTGGCGTGACCATGGCATGGAACAGAACAAGCATCACTCTCTGCGCGGCGGGGACCTGGGAAGACAGGGAAAGAAATGAGTCTCCAGAAATGCTGCACGCCTGCCGACAAAGGGCTCGAGAAAATGAGACAGATCTATGGATCCCCGTCATTATTTTCACTATTTTTAATAGATAATTTTATTATTTATTATTTTTTTCTCATGTTCTCTTTCTTTTGATTTCTCCTTTCCTTCTCTTTTCTTCCTTCTGACTTTGTTCTCTTCTAGACTAAGTAGCTGTTTTATCTCAGTAGTATATTATAAAAAAGATACTTTGTAATGGGTATATATTTTTGTATATCTTTGAATAAGTATCTTTTCTTTCTTTTTTTTTTAAAAAGATCAGTTTATTACCTATTGCAAGGCACTTAGAGAGATCTTAATACAGTCGTACCTCAGGTTACAGATGCTTCAGGTTGCGTTTTTTCAGGTTACGGACGCGCCGAAACCCGGAAGTACTGGAATGGGTTATTTCCGGGTTTTGAAATCACACTTTGCGCATGTGCAGAAGCACCGAATTGCAACCTGCGTGTGCGCAGACACGGCGCTGCGGGTTGCGAACGCTGCGGGTTGCGAACGTGCCTCCCGCATGGATCACATAAATAACCTGACCATCCACTATACAATCAAGCGGTATAACGATTGTGTTACACAAAAGATAAATAATAAACCTCTTTAAAAATATTGCCGCATCAACAGGTAAAAATGACACTAGCAGAGTGAAACAGTACAAACAGGCAGTGAAAATGGCAAATTAAAAATACTGGCAGAATTTGCCTTTAGGTTAGCTCAAAACAGGGTCAGAAGTATTTTGGCACCACAAAGCAACAATTGGACAGGGCACAGAGCTATTTGATGGGGTTTATGGTACAGTTGCCATATTTCAAACAGTTGCTAAGCTTCTTTTGGCAAAGTTGTTGACCTACTGAATTCAATAGATAACAGAAAATCATAGAGCTAGATGAGAACCTCAAGGGCTGGGGCGATGCAGGAATTTCAACGTGTGGTCCCCCATCCAATTTGAAACCATAGCAGACCCTGCTTAACTTTGCAAATGTACTTGCAGTGTTATTCCTGCATCACAACAGGACTTCCTTCTGGGCAGACATGGTTAGAAACTGCACTGCCAGAAGCCTATTTGGGCAGCGAGAGACATATACCATACTTTTCCATGTATAACCCACCCCCATGTTTAAGACGCCCCCTATTTTTGGGGACTCAAAATTAAGAAAATGAGGGGATGTTGCCAGGAGTTGTTGAGCTATGTGGGGGGGGGGAGGATTGCCCAATTTTTGAGCTTTTTTGGGGGGGGTGGCATAAAGTTGTTAAGCCTTTTTTCAGAGATTGCCGAAAATCGCTCACCCATCTGCCTGACGCTGTAAGCCACAAATTGCCCGCCATATTGCCACAGCGGCAACCAATCAACCCCAGCCTTTGCCGCAACAGGCCCAATAGCCGCTGATGATCTCTGGCTTGCAGCAGGAACCAATCCCACGTCCCACCCTATGCACTATCCATGTATAAAAGGTAAAGGGACCCCTGACCGTTGGTCCAGTCATGGCCAACTCTGGGGTTGCGGCGCTCATCTCGCTTTATTGGCCGAGGGAGCCGGTGTACAGCTTCCGGGTCATGTGGCCAGCATGACTAAGCCGCTTCTGGCGAACCAGAGCAGCGCACGGAAACGCCGTTTACCTTCCCGCCAGAGTGGTATCTATTTATCTACTTGCACTTTGACATGCTTTCGAACTGCTAGGGTGGCAGGAGCAGGACCGAGCAACATGAGCTCACCCCGTCGTGGGGATTTGAACCACCAACCTTCTGATCAGCAAGTCCTAGGCTCTGTGGTTTAACCCACAGCACCACCTGCGTCTCTTATCCATGTATAAGGCGACCCCAATTTTTGGATGTAACTTTTTAAGAAAAAAACCTTGTCTTATACATGGAAAAGTACGGTAAATTCAATTGATGGTGATGGGAGTAGATGGGGTGACGGGACAGTTACCTGTGGGTTCAATGCTTTCTTCAATCACAGCCAAGCAGATTCCAGGTTTTAATCATGTCCTTCCAGGCTGGCGTCCTGCTGTGTTGCTCCCTGATGTAAGCCAGTCTGGGAAGGAGGGGATCCTTTTGTTTCTGCAGCAGGAGCTGCTTTCTGCTGCCCTGTCCCTTAATGGGTGCTGGTGCTTCCTCGCAGCTCACGTGCCCAGAAGTCTAGGCTCCTTGGGACGTCTGCAGATCTCACGCTGCATCTTTGCTTCTCCATGGGATGAGCAAGAAGAAGGGACCTTTCTCACGGATGCAAGTGTTTCGTCTCTGTCTCAGAGGACAGGAAGATGTTCTGGGGTGTCATTCACTTGAGGGCTTGATGCTACTCACAGCATCTGGCAGAGGAGACAAAAAAAACAAACTCTTCAATGGACAAGATCAGAGTAGGCAACCTAAGGCCCATGGGCCACAAACAGCCCACGGGGGTTGTTTAACCGGTCTACAAGCTGCCCCCAAACTGAGCCGCCTGCTCAGCGAGTCCCCGTGCGCTGTGCTAAACTGGCACAGCACGGTGCAGGGACTCGCTTCTGCGGCGCTAGAAATCGCGTCTATGGAGACGCAAAAGCTGGAAATCACGTCTATGGAGACCCAAAAGCTGGAGATCGCGGGTGGGCGTGCTCACACACATGTGCAATCTGGCCCACGAAGGGATCTCTGCTTGAGTGAACTGGCCCAGGCAAGGTTAACCTTGCCGACCCCTGGACAAGATTGAGGAGTCCCAGGTTTCCTTGCAAAAATCCTCAGGGGGTTTAGTACCATCACCTTTGCATAAAATCCCCTCTGTGACATATTCCAACCTTCCGTTGTTTCAGTTGGCTGTGTACACACCATAAACACGAACTCAGGGCGATACATGCTAAGAGGAAGGCATGTCTGGCAAATCCTCACCGTGATCAACTCCTGCCCGGAAATCTATGTCCCCACTGTGGAAGGACGTGTGGATCCAGACACGGCCTCCACAGTCACTTACGGACTCATTGTTAAAACCATATTCATGGAAGACAATCTAATTTGACTACAAGTGATTGCCAAAGAAGAAGAGGGAGGCACACCATACATTTAACATGCTTTACTTCCCCCCCAAAGAATCCTGCGAACTGTTAGTTTAGTTCCACAGGGACGCAAGTGGCACTGTGGGTTAAACCACAGAGCCTAGGACTTGCCAATCAGAAGGTTGGCAGTTCGAATCCCCACAACGGGGTGAGCTCCCGTTGCTCAGTCCCTGCTCCTGCCAAGCTAGCAGTTCGAAAGCAGGTCAACATGCAAGTAGATAAATAGATACTGCTCCGGCAGGAAGGTAAACGGTATTTCCGTGCGCTGCTCTGGTTCGCCAGAAGCGGCTTGGACATTCTGGCCACATGACCCGGAAGCTGTGCGCCGGCTCCCTTGGCCAATAAAGCAAGATGAGCGCCGCAACCCCAGAGTCGGCCACGACTAACCTAATGGTCAGGGGTCCCTTTACCTTTACCTTTTAAAGTGATGAAAGCTCCTAAATTATTGGCTTGTGAGAGCCATGCGGTCTGAAGTGGAGCAAGCAGTTCAGACCTCACACGTTGATTATCTAGTCCCTCCCAAGGCGAGCTAAGCCTGGCAGGACAGCTTACTCTATGGCAGAGCTTTCCAAACTGTGCGTCACGACACATTAGTGCTCTGGCTGCAGTGTGTAGGTATGTCATGCAAACGCTCCCTGCGCTCCTCCCGGGGCTGGAAAATGGTTAGTTTAACCTCCGGTTTGCTAGTGTCACGAAATGATGCATATCTAAAAAATGTGTCACCAGCATGAAAAGTCTGGAAAACTCTGCTCTATGGTCTTAACCCTTTCATGCATCAAATAGAATTAAGCATGTTTGAGGCTGGTTATCCCAGTTACCTCAGGGAGGGTATGGCTGGCTGACAGGAATACTGAACAGCAGAACTACTAGGAGGTAAGGATACACTGCAACAGGTGCTCAGTGTTTTCAGAGAACCTTGTGATGTCTCTTGCCTTTTTACCGAATCCAGAAGGTTCTGGATCTCTGTCCCACGGCTAAAGCTCACTCGATCTTTCTCCTCCCCAAGAACTCAGGATGGAGACATGGTTCTACATAACACCTGCTCTGGATCCCACCCAGTTTGCAAAGAACATAAGAATGCAAGTGCCCTTCCCAGCTCTTGTTCCTAATCCATCAGCAGCCAACATGGTGCCATGCAGATGTTCCGGACTACAGCTGCCAATCATCCTGTATAATTGGCCATGCTGCCTGAAGCCAAAACATCTGGAATGCAGCACAGTTGGCTACCTCTGCTCTAATCCACATGATAACATCAAGAACAATTTTATTTTATTTTTATGTTCCAAGGGCGCTGGAAGACACCCAAGAGATCATGCAGAACCTACCCCTCATTTATGACGATTTAATTAATTTATATACCACTTATAATTGCCAAAGTGGCTACTCAGCAGTTTACAAGTATAAAAGCAATTACGAAAAGAACATAAACGTGTGTAATTGAAAGACACAATAAAACGATCCTGCCAAAACATTAAAATAAACATCCGCAATTAAAATGTGTGAGGAAACCAGTCCATTAAAGCAGTTAAAACAGGAGGTTCGGGTTAGGAGATCAGGGAAATGCTTGTTTAAACAGGTCTGTTGTCAAGAGCTGGCAGGTTGCCAATATCGATGGGGGTCTCTTGTATTTCGGCAGGGAGAGCAACTCACAACCTGGTGCCACAAGTGATATATCCTGCCTCTGTGTTACCGCAAGCTGATAATCGTCAGACCTTTGCAAAACTATCTGGGTTATGTTTGTTGATCGTAATCCCCCTACCAGACAATGGAAAGGAGCACCACAATTTGCCATACAGTAGAAGGTAAAGAAGGGACGTGGGTGGCGCTGTGGTCTAAACCATTGAGCCTCTTGGGCTTGCCAATCAGAAGGTCGGTGGTTCAAATCCCCATGATGGGGTGAGCTCCAGTTGCTCTGTCCCAGCTCCTACCAACCTAGCAGTTCGAAAGGATGTCAAGTGCATGCAGATAAATAGGTATTGCTCCTGGAACTGAAATGCTGTAATGCTGAGCTGGCCCTGAAGTCTAAGCTCATGCCACAAGCAACCCACTTCCACCCAAAGACTGGCTCTGTGGTAGAGCCTCTGCTTTGCATGCAGAAGGTTGCAGGTTCGATCCCAGGCGTCTTTGGTGTAAAGTTGCGAGAGAGAAAAGTAAAGGGAAATGTAAAGGACCCCTGGACGGTTTAGTCCGGTCAAAGGCGACTATGGGGTTGCGTCGCTCATCTCGCTTTCAGGCCGAGGGAGCCAGCATTTGTCCACAGTCAGTGGCCAAATGACTAAAGCACTTCTGGCGCAAAGGAAAACTGTGACGGAAGCCAGAGCACATGGAAACACCATTTACCTTCCTGCTGCAGTGGTACCTATTTATCTACTTGCAGTGGCATGCTTTTGAACTGCTAGGTTGGCAGGAGCTGGGACAGAGCAATGGGAGCTCACCTTGTCGTAAGGATTCAAACTGCTGACCTTCTGATCAACAAGTCCAAGAGGCTCAGTGGTTTAGACCGAGGGAACCACTGTCTGGAACCCCTGGAGAACTGCAGCCAGCCAGACCAATGGCCTGATTCCGTCTTAAGCCACTTCCCGGGTGGAGATAGAGGCTTACGAAACACCTTTTTAACTCAAACGCTCGCCGCCGCCCCATCCCACCCCAGGGGCAGCTGGGAAACATCAGGTGACGCCTGCGAATCCTGCAGCTGCTGCCGGGAGCCAGGGGAATGGGATCCAGATGTAGCAACATCTGGGGAGGACAGCCACGTGGGGGATGGGGTTGGGAGGGTAGCTAATCCCTCTCGCCTTTGAAACTGACACTGATGGAGCTCTAACTCCCCACCCCACCCGCTCTCCCTTTCTTCCCCCCACCCCCACCCCCTGCCATCCTTCAGCAGCCAATCTTGGCTGAGCTGAATCTATATCCCTTTACCTTCCTCACCCCTGCCATTCATCCTGGGGGGGGGGACACAGGAGAATGGGGTGGAGCGGTGGGCAGGGAGGGATAGGGACTAGGAGGCGATTGGGGAATAAGCCGTCTCTTTGCCTGTGAAGGACTGGGAGAGATTGCATGGGAGGGGGTTACAGGGATCAGGCTGTATAAGACACAAACAAGACATACTGCACTGGCATCTCCTGAACATGCAGAGAAAGGCATGGACAGATTAAGGGGAGCCAGAAAGGAATTAGGACACAGTTAGGACCCCGCACTGTGGAGATTTGTCCATTAGGGCAGATGGGACAATGATGACCCACAACCTCAGCCAGCGCCCAACTGACTGGCCTCCTTACATCCTGTCCATGGGGCGGCACCAGCTGCCACCTTCTTCCTCCTCAGCCTTAGTGTTGCCATTATAGAGCTCAGCCTGGATAGCTCAGTTGGTTAGAGTACAGTGTTGATAATGCCAAGCTTGCAGGTTCGATCCCTGTAGGGGAGATCTGCCATATTCCCGCATTGCAGAGGGTTGAACTAGATCGTGGGTAGGCAAACTAAGGCCCGGGGGCCGGATCTAGCCCAATTGCCTTCTAAATCTGGTCTGTGGGCGGTCTGGGAATCAGCGTGTTTTTACATGAGTAGAATGTATCCTTTTATTAAAAATGCATCTCTGGGTTATTTGTGGGGCATAGGAATTCATTCATTTTTCCCCTTCAAAATATAGTCCGGCCCCCCACAAGGTCTGAGGGACAGTGGACCGGCCCCCTGATGAAAAGCTTTGCTGACCCCTGAACTAGATGATCCTCAGGGTCCCTTCCAACTCTACAATTCTAAGATCTATAAACTCAGCAAGGAGGGAGAGGATGGGGGCAAATCTGTGATGGGTTGGCTCGACTCTGGTGCCCCTCTGGTCCTCCATCTTTTGCCCGGCTAGTCACAATGGGCACCATGCCCAGGGCTATGGAACGGGTATAGAGGAGGGCAACCAAAATGATCAACGGTGTGGAAACCAAGCCTTAAGCTTGAGGGAGTTGGGTATGTTCAGCCTGGAAAACAGGAGACTGAGAGAAGGAGACATGAACGCCATCTTTGAATACCTTAAAAGCTGCCACGTGGAAGATGCAGTAAGCTTGTTTTCTGCTGCTCCAGAGTGCAGGACCCATGGCTTCAAGTCACGGAGATCCCAACTCAAGATCAGGAAGAACTTTCTAGTGCTAAGAGCTGTTCTGACAGTGCAACGGGCTTCCATGAGAGGAGCTGGACTCTCCTCCCTTGGAGGTTTCTAAGCAGAGGTTGGACGGCCATCTGTCATGGATGCCTTACCTGAGATTCCTGCATTGCAGGGGGTGGGTTGGGCTAGATGACCCTCGGGTCCCTTCCAACCCTATAATTCTATGATTATAAAACTCCTGCTTTCCCTACCAAGGGGAAGGAAGAAAAGAAGGGGCTACAAGCTCAAGGGTCTCCAGGAACAAAGTGGAATCCAAACAGGTTAGGGCAGAGGAATCGGGGATCGAGCCCCCTTGGGGTGGGGGAGGACGGTGTTGTTTTGTGGCTGGGCAGCCTGGGGAAAGGACTCTGGAAGGCAGTATTCTCTGGCTTAGAGCAGGGCGAGGCTTGGGCTCCTGGCTTCCCTGGCAGGGGAGTGGTGCCTAGTGGCTAAGCAAACAACTCTGAAGAGAGTTAAGCCCGACCCTTGGGCTATTGGCAGAAGCATCTATCTGTTCTCCCCCCCACAGTGCCCAGTGCCCGTGACCTCTCCCTCTCCTGCAAGAAAGGGGGGGGGGCGGGTAGTGGGTGCTGCTGCTGTGTGAAGCTGCAGGCAGTCAGCGCAGGGGAACCAGCCCCTGCTCCAAGGAGGTATGCGTAGCTTAGCACCGGGCAGGCTGCGACCTGCCACCTCGCAGTGCGAGCACCGAGCAGCAAGCAGGAAGCTGCGGCTTTGTGGAGGATGCCCAGAGTTCTGGCCCGCAGCTCCCGCAGAGGGGGCTCCCAGTGTCCCATTCATTATTTCCTCTCCCTCGGTGGGGCATCTCGGCCTTCTTTTGCCCACACCCAAAGGCAGCAGCAGATCAGCTTCTGCAGGAAGGCAGCCCCAAGCTCTGTACAAGACAATCCAGTTCCCACAGCTTGGATTTCCGCAGCAATTGCTGGGTTTTTGGTTTGTTTGTTTTTTGCACAATGCCTTTCCCCTTTCTATTTCTAAAATCGAAGCTTCGCCCCCACCTCTGTCACACATGTATGTAGGCTTGTGGAGAAGGAGGAAAGGGAGTGAACAATGAGAAGCGGGTTATATAGGACCTGCAAGTACCGTATTTTTCACTCTATAAGACGCACCAGACCATAAGATGCACCTAGTTTTTGGAGGAGGAAAACAAGAAAAAAAATATTCTGAATCTCAGAAGCCAGAACAGCCAGAGGGATCGCTGCACAGCGAAAGCAGCGATCCCTCTTGCTGTTCTGGCTTCTGGGATAGCTGCGCAGCCTGCATTCGCTCCATAAGATGCACACACATTTCCCCTTACTTTTCAGAAGGGAAAAAGTGAGTCTTATAGAGCAAAAAATACGGTAGTACTCCAGGGGGCGACAAGAAGCAGCATGCAAAGTGCTGAAGCCCTCCTGTATGACTACTGCCCACAACCCGAGCCCTGACTCTGCCGCCCGTGCATGAAGACTAGAAACTTGCATTTGCCAAAGTGAAAGTCAGGATTCTGAGGCCTGTGTGGATCCTTGGCGCAGGCACCCTAAGACCTGGTGAAATGCAGACTGCCCGAATTTCAACGTTGTTTAAATTAACCCTTTTAACCCAGGAGGCCCAGTATTCTCCCCATCCCCACAAACCTCTGCACTGAAGCCACCTTTCCGCCCCATCTCCCTTCCAGGACATTTTACAGCCTTGCCTAGTTGGCAGCTCTGAGCCATAAAGCACCCGGGAGTGCGAAAACATCGCAGCACCTGCCCCCATTCCTCTCTCCTACTGAAGGTGTTAGCAACACTTGGATGCCTCGCCCTGTCAATCAAGCAGCTCTGAATTCACCCTGAAGTGAAAGCAGATGCTTTGGTGTGATTGCTGCCCCAGGAAACCAAGTCTTGAAGCTGGAGGGAACCGGCGTACTTCAGAACCCGAGGGTGCTCTTGGGACAAAAGGCCGCGGAGAGGAAGGCCTCTCAGCCTTTGGATCGCGTGACTAAAGAAACTCCCAGAGACTTGGGCTAAGAGGAGATCCGATTTGTTCCAGAGAACCCAGGCGTCCTGACATCTTTTTGACCCTCGAAAAGAATTCAGATAGCTTCTACCTACTAAGCCAGTGACTGTGGAGAACCATTTTTACTCTGGAGGGTTGCTTTCCTCTCTCTCTCTCTCTCTCTCTCTCTGTGTGTGTGTGTGTGTGTTTTGTGTGTGTGTAGCAGGTAGGCTACTATTAGGTGAAGCCCAGCCTGATGACGGGTGGAGCCACAGCTGATGATGAGCACAGACAAAAGTGTTCTGGATTAACTAATCCACAATAAAAACAGCTCAGCTACTCTTCTGGAAAGCCAGTGAAAGTAATTCCTTTCTTAACTTTGATCTGCAACATACACAAACATAGATATATGGCAGAAACCTACTAATCCGTTGTCAGACAGCTGGGGTGGAGAGCTTCTTTTCCCCAAGCCATACAACAAGGGTTTTGTGTGTGTGGTTGTTGCTTTTTATTGTCTTGTTTTATCACATAAAATACTGCCTCTTCCAAATGTTCCCAACGGAGGGAACAGGAAGGAAGGAATTCAGAGAGAAGAATGGAGGCTACAGGTTGACTGCCTGGGATTTAAGGAGGGCTTTTTTCCCCAGCTGGAACTCGCTGGAACTCACTGCTGGCACAACAAGGGAGGCATTCATATTGAGTTCGGTCACCTCTTTTTCTAGAAAAATAGAGCTGGCTTTAAGCTATGAGGTTGGGCACCCAGGAACCTAAGCCACTAGGCTGGGTAATCCACAGGTGCCAACTCTTAGGAGCTGAGCTCCCTTCAGCTCCCCCCTAAAATATTTAAGGGGCAAGCCGCCCCCCAAGTTGATGGGCATTGATATTCAAATGCTGTGTGCACCCCACGTCTTGTGATCGATTATGTGGGGCTCCCAATATTTTATTCAAGTTGGCATCCCTGCTACTATGACCACTCAGAGCAAATTAACCCACAAGCCATTGGGGCTGTGTAGACTTTTACGGGGACATGGGTGGTGCTGTGGTCTAAACCACAGAGCCTAGGGCTTGCCGATCAGAAGGTTGGCGGTTTGAATACCCCTGACGGGGTGAGCTCCTGTTGCTCAGTTCCAGCTCCTGCCAACCTAGCAGTTCGAAAGCATGTCAAAGTGCAAGTAGATAAATAGGTACAGCTCTGGTGGGAAGGTAAACGGCGTTTTTGTGCGCTGCTCTGGTTCACCAGAAGCGGCTTAGTCATGCTGGCCACTTGACCCAGAAGTTGTACGCCGGCGCCCTTGGCCAGTAAAGTGAGATGAGCGCCGCAACCCCAGAGTCAGTCACGACTGGACCTAATGGTCAGGGGTCCCTTTACCTTTACCTAGACATTTAACAGCTGAAAGCACAACTCGATTGCTTGATTCCCCCTCCAAATCTATCAAAGCTGCTTTGGTGGGAAAACACATCAAAAGGCAGTATTTCATAAGAAACTACAGGACAGAAACCGGATAGATACAGAGTGTGGCTAACACCACGTGTACTATTAGGACTGCCACATTTTCCCAGACATTTCAGCGACTTCCACGCGGACACTGTTTCTGACTGCCATATTCCGGCTATGTCCAGGAAATTCCAGAAGTATTGACAGCTCTATGTACTACGCTTCCCAAACCAGTGGTGGGAGGGCACTGGATGCCGGGTAAACAGGACTGCGTACACAGCCTGGTTCTCTGCTGATGTATCAGGATCCAGTCTTCCATCCCAGCTTAACCTAAACTAGATTGCAACAGCAGCATTGCCCCCTAACAAAGATATGGTAAAACAAGAACAATAACAAGAAGAATGTATGTTTGGGCTAAATGTGGTGCTGGGGCCTGACATACTGAAGACTAGGCCTTAGTCAGAAAAAAATCATAACGAGTCATAATACTCAGTTCCCACCCTGGTGGGACCTACTCCTGGGGAACCCCTTTTAGGATAAGGTAATTTTCAGACTATTATTATTATTATTATTATTATTATTATTAATTGAATTTATATACTGCCCTATACCCGGGGGTCTCAGGGAGGTTCACAAAATAAAATCAAGATATAAAAGCACAAGATACATAATAAAAATAAAAACAACAAACCAATAGCCCCCCCCAAAAAAAAACAGATTTTAAAAAGGCATGGGATCAACCAAAGGCCTGGTTAAAAAGGAACATTTTTGCCTGGCGCCTAAAGGTGTGTAATGAAGGTGCCAGGTGAACTTCCCTAGGGAGAGCATTCCATGTGTTTATTCCCTATGAGCATCTATTTTCTCAGACAACTCGCTGATTC